CCTCTGATTTTAGGTAGCCTGAAAAGGCATCACAGGGAGGGCAGCACTGGAAGCAACACTTCCTTAGATAACACTTCCCGTTCTTCACGGGAAGAATTCACATCCTCAGATGTTCCAGCTGGGAGTAATTGGTGTCCTTACACTGTGTGCCTGTGGGTAAACATGGGAGTGCTTGTTGGCTTCCTGCTGCTTGAGATGAAAAAGTCCATCCTGTGAGAGTCTGGCACCAAGCCTGCCTTGTGCTGCTGACATTCAGGGTTTGCAGTGAACATGTGCCCAAATACGGAAAACTGAAAAACAGTGAAATCCAGTTCACTATCCCAGTAAGAATTTGTGGTGTAATTTGACATCCCAGAACAGTTAAGACAGGATCGTACTTGGAAAAAAACAAGTGGTCTTTAAAGCTTTGCAGGGAAGGAGAGAGTTTCTGAAATATTAACTGCTGGTAGAATTTCCAAAATATTTAAGTGCCTTCGGCTGTTTCAGTGGGACTCTCTACCCTAAGAGCTCGATAGATTTTATTTCCACTCTGTGAGGATTTTGTGGAAAAGTTCCATTTCAGAGAGTGAGGAAGTGAAGTTGTGTAACACAATGCTTTTTTTTGTCAGGGATTGATGTAGAGCAGGTCTCTGTTGTTATCAATTTTGACTTGCCTGTGGATAAGGATGGAAACCCAGACAACGAGACCTACCTGCACCGCATCGGCCGCACCGGCCGCTTTGGCAAGCGAGGGCTGGCCATTAACATGGTGGACAGCAAGCACAGCATGAACATTCTCAACAGAATCCAGGAACATTTCAGTACGTACCCTCAGGCTTTCTCCTTTCTCTAAACCGTTCAATCTCTGCAGAATTTGACTTGTTGGATGCTGAGCAGGTCTAAGGGTGTTTGTTGAGCCTTAAATGGGTGGCAGAGGAGCACAGCAGGAGTGTTTGGTGTAGCATCACTTGGGATTGTGACCTGCTGCCTGTGAGGCAGAATAAATCAGGCTGTGTTTGCTGTCTGCCTGGATAGTCCTTGAATATCCAGGATTTTCCAGGGGTGGGTAACACTGCAGTACCCAGATGGGCCTTCAATAAAAGGAAACAGTTTTAATTTGTATTTTTGACTGAACATTCCCTGATAAACCAGAACTCAGGTCCAGCTGAGGAGAGCAGTTCCCTTCTCTGCTCAGTGTTACAAAATCTGACCTATTTATCTTCTTTCCCAGACAAAAAGATAAACAAATTGGATACTGACGACTTGGATGAAATTGAGAAGATAAATAACTGAAATAGCTGCTGGAACTGGTGTGTGCCCTGCTGTGGAAGCTCTCCCACTACAATTGGATCAGCGTTTGGATTGGCACAGCCTCTCAGCTCATCCTGAAAAGGACTCCAAGATATGAGTACACAAAAATTACCTCATTTTCAAAATTGCAGTTGGACTTCAAATTGTGCAACTATGGGGAGGAAGAGGAAATGTTTACAGAAGCTTTTAACATTTCTTAGTTTAGCCTTAAAATTGGATGATCTTTGGAATTCTGAGAAATACACTTGCCAAAAGAGAGGCAATAGGGAATTATCTAAAATTGTAAAAGAAAAAAACCCCATGATTGTCTTCAATTGGAAAAATGTGCAGCATTAATCTGATCAGTTTAAATTCAACAGCTGAATACATAATGGACACAAGGAAAGGAAAAAAAAAAGAAAACCTAAAAACTCCAAACAAGGCAGCTGGTTTTTGGCTAAATACTTGTACAAACTAGGATGTCATTATTTTTGGCTCTCCCCTGAGCTCTTTAAGACTAATTTCTGGCTTTCTGATGGATTTGCCCTGCTTTTCCTTACATAAATTGTTCTGAGGATGTCTCCAGTAGCTCCTACTCGCAAACACAGGTGCCATGTCGCTTTGCTGGGCAGTATTTTCTTTTCCTTTGTCCTGGATTTTTTGGGATGGCCGCTCTCCGTGACGTGGGTGGTGGAGACACTACAGGAGTTCATCCCAAGTGTTTAACCTGGCTGCGGTGTGGGTGGGTGGGGTGGGAGGGGCAGTATGAAGGGAACTGTACTAATGGATTGCCTGATTAAATTCACCTCTGTGAATGAAATTCACCATGTGGTTAAATACACCATGCTGTGAAGCTCAGCGTGGGTAATGTACAGAGCTGTTGGGCTTCACCCATCACATACAGGATTAAAAGAACAAAAAATCATGATAGCCTGGATTGACCAAAACAATGTACCCTTAGAACACCAAATTTACCTGTTGCAGTACGTTTCGGTAGCAGAGTCTGAGTTACATTGCTCAGCCAAATTGCAGGTGGGAGGTGCTCCATAGTGTAAAATAGGTTGTTGGTCCCTGCCCCGGGGTGTTCCATGGAGAAGGAAGGAGTCACAGCTCCTGGAGAAGGAAGGATGACGCCTCCTGTGTGTTGGGACCACTCTTGTGCACACAGCTGGACACTGGGGGCTGTTCCCCCAGCCCAGTCTCCAGGAGAAGGAGGCTCCTGAACCAGAACTTAGGGTGCACAGCTCTTTGTTGGGGGGAAACGGGACATGCGTGAGCAGCCATGGGCCTGCTACTCAGCATGGGAATCATGTCAAGACAAATGTATAAATTGTAAATTTAAACTGAATTGTTTTCTTTGCAATTTTGGCCATCATATTCTGTTCAAAGACAGGAATATGGATCCTTTTACCAAGTAAAAAAAGGCTCATTTAAAATGTACCTAAAATTTTAGGAAATTGTGCACCCTTTTATCAATTTGTATAAAGGCTTTAGTGAAGAAAAAAAAAAACAGCTTAAAATTAAACTTTTTGTATTCTGGGGTGTATCTATTTTTATTCTGTTGGAATCCTATTTAAAGTGGCAGGTGAGTGAGTGCTTGCGTGTGGAGTGGAAGACTTGATTTAATCACCTACTTTCCTAGTACAGTTGAATGACCTGGTGACAGCAGAGTATTGGGTTCAATTGTCATGGAAGCTGCTGCTGGTCCTGTGTGCTGTTTCTAATGTACTTTTAATTGGAATTAAAGAACACATACTGAACAATCCCTTTGCTGACTTCTTGCTTCAAAACTTTGTTGGTGTTGAAAAGCCTCAGTAAGGACATTCTCAGCCAAAAGTCCTGATAAGTTTTGTATTTGTGACAGAATGAATTTTAATGCTGAATTTCTTAAAAGATTCCCACAAAGAAGTTTGTTAAATGATGCCGCACAATAAATGAAGTCAGATAAATGCTGTTCTTCCCCCATGCTTCTTGTGCTGGAACTTAAAATTGCTGCTAAAACTTCCCAGAACAGTTCTGAAGGGAAGAGAAGGAGAACTGAGGGAGAAAAGAGGTGTTTTCCCTGCACTGTGCTTGCCTAGATCAAGACTTGATGTTTTTTGCCCATCTTTGGAGATGCTGTAGCCTGGGTGAGGTGATTAGAAGCAAACTCAGCTTTATCAGGAGGAACATCTGCAGCATGAGAAACCCACGGTGAGCCAAGTCACTGAATTGTCTGATTGTTCTGTTCTTGCTCTCACAGCTGCCTGGTGGTCCCTGGCTCTGTCACAGCTTGGCACGGATGAAAAGTGCTTCCTCCTTGGCTGCAAGCTTGTGTTCAGCACAGGACACAGAAACTTCAGGTGTGGAGGGCAGGTGACCATCCAAAGGCTGATTTGGGCAGCCCCTGAGGTATTTGCCATCAAATTAAAGGTTTCTTAAGAGCAGGAGTGATGGATAAACTTCAGCTCATGTAAGTCATTTGAAGTTCAAGTTTCAGCCTAAAAGGTTTTATTTAACACAGGATGGGAACACTCTGAAATGTAGGAGTAACACAGTACACACAACAGGCAGGAATAGGGAATTAACTACCTAACACTGAAGGAAACATGGAAAATAGTCCCTTTTCCTGAAACCAAGTGAAATACCTTGTGGTTCTGTTGAAGGCATCCACGTGTTTCGATATCTGGGACTGCTGCTGAGTGATTCCCATCACCAACAGCAGCAGGGACCACTGTTCCATCAGATACCGGTTTGACAAAGCTGCTGGACTCTGAACACTTGATTTAGCATCAGGTACCACACTCACAGCCAGCACCAGCAATCAGCTTTCTGCTCCTGTTGTGTTTGTGCTCCTGTGCCAAGTTGCTTTGGCACTTACACTGAGCTTCAAAATAAATTTGGTTTGCCTCAAAACATTTAAACTCACTCATCTGTGGCAAGTGGTCCATTGTTAAAGGAGATTAAAAATTACTGCCTTTGAAATTCTATTAGAAATAGAAGATATTTCTCTTTTTTAGCACAAGCACATTGTATTTGCCTAATCCTGCTGAGTCACCCAACCAGCCTTTTTATGATGGTTTAGTAAAAGATGGCTTACTCCTTCAGCCAATTCCCATTAATACCTTAGTTAAAAATTCCCAAAGCAGCACTTGCTTCTTGGACTAAGTTCAGTGTAGAGGGGTTAAGTGGAATTATCTGTAACATCCCTTAACTATCCATCTGTTCTTACCTGTGTACCACAGGAGCCAAATAAGAGAAGGAAAACCAAGGAGAAAATCCTGTTGCACCCCAAGACAGCCAAAATAATAATTCTTTGTTCTTAAAAATATGATTTAGTCACAGTTAAGAGCTGGACTGAGGTTACCCAGAAAGACCTGAGCCCTCACAGGTATTTTACAATGTCTTGCAATTTAATACTTTACAATAACTCATTCATGTGTTATTACTGTTATTTCCGGGTGTGTTTGGGGTTTGATCTCCTTTTCAGTCTCTTGAGAAGACGTTTAGGATAATGATAAGCTACTGGAGGTGGTCTGTGGGACTCAGATTCAGTCAAAGAAAGAAACTGAGAGTTTCTAGCCAGGCAGACACCTGAGAAAGAGCTGGAGAGAATGTAAATAATTCTTTATCTCTCTTGTTGTTCACATTGTTTACAGTTAAGTTCTATCACTGTGCATCAAGCACTCTGCACCAATACTGTGACTTGTTTTCACTTCAGGACCGGTGGATTTGGCCTTTGCGAAGCTCTGTATAAAAGAGCAGTGTGTTTTGAATAAATCTGAGTTTTACTCTCAGCAGCCTTCTGATCAGAGTCTATTCATTCCCATCCTGCCTCGACAGCGACAGTGGTCCTGTAGCTAAACCAGTTCTGTGTCTACCTTCCTACCACTCCAAGTGGTGCTTCTGCATTCAGAGAAGTGGTACCTTCCCAAAACACAGAAAAGGACAAGGGGAGAAGTCTTGGAAACCTGAGTTTTCAAAGAACATCAGCAACTTCAACAAACCAGAAAAGGTTGAAGGTTGGTGGTGCTGAGGCAGAAATCTGTGATGGCACAGGCTGTTCTGTATGAATCAGGTTTATGCATCTGAAATAACTATTCTCTGAAATACTATTTCAAGTACTATTACATATCCATAACTCTGCTGGATGGGGATTTTGTGGGAGATAGAAGATTAAGAATGTGCTGGAAGCATCAGACTCTCAGTTTTTTGGAAGAAGCAATGCACCCCACTGAGCAGAAGGATCCACAGTGTCTCTGTGCACCTAAAGATCTGCTGCATCGTGCTGCTCGTCCTGTCGGATGCACAGCACGGACTTGGGGAGGATCCCACACTCCTGAAGGGACTTTGTAAGGTCAGAGAAGCTCCTCCGGGGCACCTCCATGGTTTCAATCCTGCAGTGTTGGTAATCAGCCAACAGTTTTTGTCCTGCCACGGCAAGGACCTTCTGGAGGCTGTCAGAGGGCCTGAAGTGGTGCTCAAACCTCCGCCCAGAGGGAGATCGGACAGCGAGCAGCACCTGCGGCTCCTCCAGGCTCTCCTGCCTCGCTTGCCTTCCCCACTGCTCAGGGGCACAGTGCATGTGTGAGCTCTCTTCAGTGGGAATGCCCCTTCCTGACAGTGTGCTGGCAAATTCCCGTCCTTCAGAAAAAGTCTGGATGGTTTTTGGAGCATCCTCCTGCCCCTCGCTCACTTCCAGCCGGTCGGTCCGTTCAGCCAACGCTTCCACGGCGCTGCCCCCCGCGCCCTTCTGGCCGATGGAGGGGAGCACCCGGTACTTGTTCAGGGAGGAGGAGCTCTTCAAAGGCACTTGCTGCAGGAGCTTTGGGATTTCCTCAGGAGACACCTGGGCAGGTGGGAACGCCGCTCTGCTGAGCGGTGCTCTCCAGCTCGTCGCTAATTCCCGAGGAGAGGCTGCTGGCGGGGAAGATGGCTCATGGCACGGACAGGCTTCCGTGCCCTGACGGTGGCTCAAGCTTGGCCTCTGTCCCTTGGCAGATTTGGGCCTGGAGACGTGCATGGTGATGGTGCCGGCCCAGGGCAGGGGGGCTGTGCCCAGAGGGGAGCAGAGCTGAGCTGGTGCCGAGTCCCCGAAAGCCGCTGTGGCCATCGCACCTGTGGGCCAGGAGCAGAGGGAGAAGTTACAGGAACTGGCCAGGAGACTTCAGGCTCCCACGCTGTGCTGCACATCAGGAAACGACAGAACTAAAGTGGGTATGGCTGCATGGGCATCGCTGGGTATCACATGGGTGTCACTGCAACCCTGCGCTGCAGTACGGGCTGAGTCCCAGAGGGGAGAGATGGGTTATTTATAGGGACTGGCTCTGGCAGGAATTGTGTGAAGCTAACCCAGAGCTTTGGGGAGTTGTGTCTTTTGCCACTGACTCTAAGTTTTTGATGGAAATAACAATTTCTTTCTTCTGAAGCTGGAAACTCAGAGCAAATGGGAGGTGAGTGAAGCTCAGAGCACAGCTCTGGCCTTTTCACTGTTCTCACAGTGACAGATTCAGTTCCCATTTTAGATTTTGGGATAAGATTGACTTCATATTTTAAAGGTATTTCAAGACCACTGAGATTCAAAAACCCTGATTCAATACATAGAAACCTGTTCTGACTCTCCAGTGACCAAAAGCTGCTTAACAGAGAATGATTTACCTGAGGGAATGGCTGGAGCTCTGTCAGGGAGGTTTGGGCTGGATATCAGGGAAAGGGTCATCCCCAGAGGTGCTGGCACTGCCCAGGCTCCCCAGGGGATGGGCACAGCCCCGAGGCTGCCACAGCCCCAGGAGCATTTGGACAAGGCTCTCAGGGATGCCCAGGGTGGGATTGTTGGGGTGTGTGCAGGGCCAGGGGTTGGACTGGATGATCCTTGTGAGTCCCTTCCAGCTCAGGATATTCCATGATCCTGTCATACAACCTCCACTGAGGGGAAGCCACATTCTGCTGCGTGTTTCCCAAAGGAAGCTGCACTTGGAGCTCTCGGCTATGCCAGGACACAGCCCGGCCACTGGGTCACAACCTCACAACAACGTTTTGGAGAAGTGCCACAGGGAACCTCCTCTTCTGTTCCTGTGGGGTTTGTGACAGCATTTACCAAGGGGGGAAAAGGTCCCCTTGGATTGTTTGGCATTCTCCAGAAATGGCACAGTCACACAGCTGCTGTTTGGCACCCCAGCAGTGCATTGCTCAATGCAAACCTCATGGAGTCAGCAAGGCCAAGGGCGTGGGGCCATCCCAGGCACACCTGGGGGAGGAGGGATGAAGAGCAGCTCTGGGAGAAGAACGACCTGCAGAGCTGCCCCAGCCCTGGGGCCCAGCACAGGAAGGACCTGGAGCTGCTGGAGAGAGTCCAGAGGAGGCACCAGGATGAGCAGAGGGATGGAGCAACTCTGCTGGGAGAAAGGCTGGGAGAACTGGGATTGTTCAGCCTGGAGAAGAGAAGGCTCCAAGGTGACCCAACTGTGAAGGAGCCAACAGGAAAGATGGAGACTGTGGGCAAGGGCCTGGAGTGCCAGGACAAGGGGAAATGGCTCCCACTGCCAGAGGACAGGGTTAGATGGGATCTTGGGATGAAATTCTTCCCTGTGAGGGTGGGCAGGCCCTGGCACAGGTTGCCAGAGAAGCTGTGGCTGCCCCTGGATCACTGGCACTGTCCAAAGCCAGGCTGGACTGGGCTGGGAGCAGCCTGGGACAGTGGAAGGTGTCCCTGCCCATGGTAGGGGTGGAACAAGATGATCTTTGAGTTCCCTTCCAACCCAAACTCTTCTGGGATTCTATTCTAAACCAAACAGAGAGAACAGCCCCTATGGCACTTTGCCAGGGCTGTGATTGTTATTTAACATTTCATTTCTCCTCCAGCTCAGCACGGCCAAGGCAGAGTCCCAGCACACCCTGCCAGCCCAGCCGACAGACCTGTCCCAGCGGAAGGTGACAGGGACACTGGCCCAGGTGGCCCATGCCAGCTCCCCAGGAGCCCGTGGGAGGGACAGGGGCTGTGCCTCCCCCTTACTGCCGCTAACAAATTAACTCCAAGGCAACAACACAACAACGCAAAACTCCCAAGCGCACGGGAGCGCTTAGAAACATCCCCAGAGACGCTGCCACTTCCAGGGATGAACCCCCAACCAACCAACCTGGCAGAAGCCCTGGTGGGGCCTCCACGAGTGTCTGCACCGCCCCAGCCCGGCTGATGAAACACGGGGTGTGGGCAGGGGAGGGACGGGGCACAGTCCCACGAGGGCTGTGCCCACAGGTGCCCACAGGTGCCCCCAGGGCCGGGGAGGATGGGCACTTCGCAGCCCTGAGCCACAGCACGGATCCCACTGGGGTAGGCTGGAAGGGACGATGGCAGCTCCGTGCCACCTCCCTGCTGCAGCAGGGCCAGCCCAGAGCACAGGGCACTGTGTGAGATGGGTCTGCGAGATCTCTGGTGAGGGACCATTGTCCTCTCTGCGCAGCGGATTCCGGGGCTTTAAGGAAGTCCTTCCTCAGCTCAGGTGGAACTTCCCGGGATCAGTCCCTGCGCACTTGTCCCGGTGAGGGCTGGCACAGCCCCGGGCAGAGCCCTCCGTGCCACAGCCGGGCCACGGCCGGGGCTGGGGCTGAGCCCAGGGCCGGGCCCGCGGCCCGAGCGCGGCTGCACAGCGCCAGGAGCTGACCGGGCACCTTCCCCGGCCCCTTCCCCGGTTCTGGTCCCGGTCCTGGTCCCGGTCCCTTCCCCGGTCCCTTCCCCGGTCCTGGTCCCAGTCCCTTCCCTGGTCCTGGTCCCGCTCCCTTCCCCGGTCCCGGTCGCGGTCCTGGTCCCGGTCGCTTCCCCGGCCCCTTCCCCGGTCCCGGTCGCGGTCCTGGTCCCGGTCCCTTCCTCGGCCCCGGCCCCTTCCCCGGTCCCTTCCCCGGTTCTGGTCCCCGACCCTTCCCCGGTCCCGGTCATTTCCCCGGTCCCTTCCCTGGTCCTGGTCCCTTCTCCGGTCCCTTCCCCAGCCCCGGTCCCTTCCCCGGTCCCTTCTCCGGTCCCTTCCCCGGTCCCTTCCCCGGTCCTGGTCCCGGCCCCTTCCCCGGTCCTGGTCCCGGCCCCTTCCCCGGTCCCTTCCCGGTCCCGGTCCCGCCGTCCCTCACCTGCCCCGGTCCCGCCGCGCGACGCCGTTACCGCGGCGACCGCGGCACTTCCGGGAGCGCGATCCCCGCCCCGCCCGGGAACGGAACGGGAACGGGAACGGGAACGGGAACGGGAATGGGAATGGGACTGGGAATGGGAATGGGAATGGGAATGGGAACGGGAACGGGAACGGGAACGGGAATGGGAACGGGAACGGGAACGGGAATGGGGACAGGAATGGGAACGGGAACGGGAACGGGAATGGGAACGGGAATGGGGACAGGAATGGGAACGGGAACGGGAACGGGAGTGGGGAATGGGAATGGGAGTGGGAACGGGAATGGGAATGGGAACGGGAAAGGGAATGGGAATGGGAACGGGAATGGGAATGGGAATGGGAATGGGAATGGGAATGGGAATGGGGACGGGAATGGGAATGGGGATGGGAATGGGAATGGGGACGGGAATGGGAATGGGAACGGGAATGGGAACGGGAACGGGAACGGGAACAGGAACGGGAATGGGAGTGGGGAATGGGAATGGGAGTGGGAACGGGAACGGGAATGGGAACGGGAACGGGAATGGGAATGGGAATGGGAATGGGAACGGGAACGGGAACGGGAACGGGAACGGGAACGGGAATGGGGACAGGAATGGGAACGGGAACGGGAACGGGAATGGGAACGGGAATGGGGACAGGAATGGGAACGGGAACGGGAATGGGAATGGGAACGGGAACGGGAACGGGAGTGGGGAATGGGAATGGGAGTGGGAACGGGAATGGGAATGGGGATGGGAATGGGAATGGGGACGGGAATGGGAATGGGGATGGGAATGGGAATGGGGACGGGAATGGGAATGGGAATGGGAATGGGAATGGGAATGGGAATGGGAATGGGAGTGGGAACGGGAACGGGAACGGGAACGGGAACGGGAATGGGAATGGGAACGGGAATGGGAGTGGGGAATGGGAATGGGAGTGGGAACGGGAACGGGAACGGGAATGGGAGTGGGAACGGGAATGGGAATGGGAACGGGAACAGGAATGGGAATGGGAGTGGGAACGGGAATGGGAACGGGAACGGGAGTGGGAACGGGAACGGGAACGGGAGTGGGGAATGGGAATGGGAGTGGGGAATGGGAATGGGAGTGGGAACGGGAATGGGAATGGGGACGGGAACGGGAACGGGAATGGGAATGGGAATGGGAATGGGAATGGGGAATGGGAACGGGAACGGGAATGGGAACAGGAATGGGAATGGGAACAGCGAATGGGAATGGGAATGAGAATGGGAATGGGGATGGGAATGGGAACAGGAACGGGAATGGGATGGGATGGGAACAGGAACAGGAAAGGGAACAGGAACGGGAATGGGAATGGGAATGGGAATGGGAATGGGAATGGGAATGGGAATGGGAATGGGGATAGGGATGGAACAGGAATGGGGACTGGGATGGGAACGAGGAATGGGGAATGGGAATGTGAACAGAAAATGGGAATGGGTACAGGAACAGGGAAAGGGAATGTGAATGGGGATTTGGGATGGGGGCGGGAACTGGAAATGGGAACAGGAATGGGGAATGGGAACAGGGAACAGGGATGGGAACAGGAGTGGAGGCATGGGGATAGGGATGGAAACAGGAATGGGAATGGGGATGGGAATGGGAACAGGGAATGGGACTGGGAACAGGAAATGGGAATGGGAAGGGGGAATGGGGATGGGAATAGCAACAGTGACAGGAATGGGAGTGGGAATGGGAATGGGGATGGGAACGGGAATGGGAACAGGAATGGGAACGGGAGCGTGGATGGGAACAGAGACAGGAATAGGACTGGGGAATTGGGAATGGGAACAGGGAGGGGAATAGGGACAGGAATGGCAATGGGAGCATCAGTGGGAACCAGGATGGACGGGAATGGGAACAGGGATAGAAATGCAAAAGGGAACAGGGATGAGAACAGGGCTGGATGGGAATGGAGATGGGAACAGGCAGGAGTGGGGCAGCTGGGATGTCCCGGGATGGATCCAAGGATTGGGGGGGGGGGGGGGGGGAGAGACATTTGGGATGTTCTGGGATGGATCCAGGGACAGATCCAGGCATGGGGCAGCTGGGATGTTCCAGGGTGGACCCAGGACTGGGAATAGCTGGGATGTCCCGGTGTGGATACAGGGATGGGGACAACCAGGCTGTCCCGGGGTGGATGGAACCAGGGCTGGGAATGACTGTGATGTTCCAGTGGATGTCCCCAGGCTCAGGGACAGCCATGACCCCCTGTGGGCTCTGCACAGGGCTGTGACACGGCCTCAGGCCTGGCACGGCACAGGAGCAACCCCAGGACATTGGGAAGATTCTGGAGGTTTTGTCCCGCTGGACACACCGGACACAAAGGATGGGGGGAGCAGAGGGTGGCTCAGGGGCCTCTCACAAACTCCAGCCAGAGATGTCCCTGGTACTGGGATGCCCCAGCCCTCCAGCAGGAATTCCCATTCCTCCAGCTCACCCCAGGCAAAACCACAACAGTGTCACCCTGCTGAATACCCAAGTCTTTGGAGTTAAGCCCTAACAGTTTAAAACCAAAGTGTTAGAGACCCTCCTGGGCAGGATGGGAGCACAAGACTGGGTTTAACCTCCCTGTGATCCAGTGACCACTGAATCAAACCACACAAATAAACACCAAACTCATGAATTCTGAGGAAAACACCTTTTTAAAATTACATACAAGATCACAAGGGGACCTAAAACAACTCTTTTGGGGAAGTTTCTTTGTGCTGGGAAAGCTGCAGCTGGGAGGAGGGGGGAGTCCTCCTGATCCCCCCTGGCTACAAAGGATCCCTGAGTCAGTTTTCCTTCTGGGAACACCCCACATAACACCAACCTTTTCCATCTCCCCCCACAAATCCCTGTCTAAACCCACTCCTACTTAAGCAGCTGCTGCTCCCACTAAGAGATGCCCATCGAAGGCAGCAAGAAACAAGCAATAAACTTCCACCATAAACTTGGAGTCTCCACCCTGCAGGGTGGGAGGATCAAGGCAAACCTGTGCACGAAAAAGAAATAAAATAAGGAGGGAAATAGTTTCCTATCAGCTCCCTCCAGCCCAGGATGTTTAGCAATGTTGCAGATCAAAGCACACGGGTATTTACACTTCAGTAAGGCCCTGAGCAAACAGATGGGTGGGTGATACCCAGCTCTCCTTGCTCCATAGGAAGGCTGAGGAGTTCCACATTTCCAATGGGATAATAACTTCCACAGGTGGTTTTTAAGCCCTTGAGTTTGTGGGTTAGCTAAAGACAGAGTTTAACTTCCTGTGGGCACTCCCCTGAGTGGATCCTCCACAGAGAGGGAGATCTTAAAATGAGGGGATTTGGTTAAAACCACGTGTGGATCCCAAATCCACATGATCCCAGCTCTCTATTTATGTCTCTGAACAATGCTTTCCACACAGATTTATCCAAAATCTACAGCAAACCCCCAAATTTTCCCCCCAAATCTGAGGGCCTGCAATGCCAAAGCAGCAGCAGCACAAACAACTACCACAGTGGGGAAAAATTTCTGCAATGGAAGTATTTTGTGGAGAAAGTGGGAAAGGGATTGATTAATTTATTATTAGGGATGTCCTGGTTTTAAAAGTCAGGTGGGGAAAGCAGGGGTTGGGGTTGTCACTGTGGAATTTTGGAGTGGTTTCTTGTGCAGATGGTGAGAGGGGAGATGTCACTCCCCGTCCTTAACAGGCTTGGATGGGGTTTTGCTCCACTTGCAGCAGGAAATAAAAGGTTAGAGGGAAGGAAAACCCTGGGACAGAAGCTCTGGCACCCTGGAGGGCAGCTGAGAGGTGACATCCCTTCCAGTGTCAGCTTTGGTGGCTCTTGGGAATTTCAACAAAGGTTTCTCTTCTTGCCTCCAGACCAGTCTGAAGGTCATTTCTGTACAATTTCCAACCCCGAATTCCCTTCCCCAGGAGTGAGGTTAATCCCTGGGGGTGGGGTCCTGCATATCTCCCGATACCTGCATTTGTGTCTGTGTTTGCTCTTGGCCCCACGGTTTCAAGGGAAAACAGCAGCTTTTGTTCCTTATCTTCTCTGGTTTTCTGTCTCCCTCATGTCTCTGCATTCTGTTTGGGTTATGGTAATTAAATAAACTGTATTCCCAAAGCATTGCAAGTCAGGTTTTCATGGCCTTTCCAGCCTTTGCAGCTGGTGGTTTCATTTCACAGATCCTTTGCCTCGAAAACCTGAGGGTGGGAGAGGAAAACTGCAGACTCAGGAACTGCAATCCTGGTGTTTGCTGTTCTCCCTTGCAGTTTGGCACTGCTGGATTTGGATGCAGCCATGGATTTGGGGGGAGCAGTTGCAAGGAAGGAGACAAGGGAAACCATCTTTGAGGGTTCAGGAGGTGAGTTGGTAAAACTGAGGAAATACTGAGCCTGAAGTGCTGCCTCTACACCTGAAACAAGGATTCAAAGGCCTCTGAGGTGCCATCCTCCCACAACAACTCCTACCGCTTCTACCTCAAGCTCAAGTGCCAAGGCAGCAAGGTGCAGTGCTGAGGAGGGAGAATCTGCACACGGAGTTCCAGATTTTGGCTGCTTTTCCCCAGCAAGAAAAGCTTGGCTTGGGGACTCAGTAAAGGCAGAGCCCCCGAGGCTCCCTGTGAGGGGCAGCTCGGGGTGAGAAGGGCACACACACCACAGATGGAGCCCCACCGGTTCCTCTTTTTGTCCCTTCCTCCTCTCTTGATTTCGTTTCCCAGCACAGATAACAGATGCAATAAAAGGGTTGCAAACTGGTTCTCTGCTTTTGTCCCAATTCTCCAGCTGTGGCAATTTAGAGCTTCTCTTCGGTTGCTTTGGAAGGTCTGGGACCCTGGCAGGGGTCAGGAACCCCCCTGGACAGAGCCCCCAGAGACACTGGCTGTGATCTCTGTCCATGGAAAAGAGTTTTCAATCCTACAGGATGAATTACCAGCTCTGAGTGTTTGATAGAAGTAATAATTAAGTGTGACACGGGTGCAAAAGTAAAATTTTAGGATTCTAGATGAGGGGTCCAAAGGGGACAAGATGGAGGAAATTGGGTGTGCCTTGTCCTTTTTCTCCTTCTTCATGCCCTCCATGTTTCACTGTGGTGTTGGCATTTTTCTGTTGGTTCAGGCTGGGGACACACTGTCCAACGTAGGTGACAGATATTGGCACGTTATTGTAAATCCAGCACAGGTAGTTTGTGGTATTTAATGTTTGTACCATCCCACTGAGGGCAGAGCCCCACACGCTGCCCTGCAGGACAGAGCTGCGGCAGGGCAGCAGAACATGTTAGAGATAAGCAAAAATAAACAACCTTAAAAACCAACACAGGTGAATTATGACTTCTTCTTTAGCAACGGAGCAAAAAGACAAAAACTTTTTACAATCTCAGAATCATCAATACCTCAGATTCCAACATCCAGCCACCAAATCCCATGGATTTTAGAACCATGGCCATGGCCAAGGCCTTCACTGGCCTCATGCAGGGATGGAGATGGCCTCGTGCCCAGTGATGAGCAAGATGATGGAGGAAGAATTGGTGCTCACTGATGTGGGAAAACTCACGTTTTTTGGGGAAGAGAAGCTCCCTGTTCCAGGCAAGCCTGGCTTAGGACAACTGACACCATCAGCACAGATAGAGGAGGGGGTGGGCCTCGCAGGGATATAAACCCACCCCGCTGAGCTAGCAGCGTTGGAGCTGCAGGGCCAGGCAGGGTAAGAAGAGGGGATTTCACTGCCCTGGTGTTCATCAGGCAGCTCAGGGCGTGGGGGGAAGGCTGCAGGTCCTGAGCTGCTCCAGCGGCCCCAGGCAGGACAAGCTACTCCATCCCTGCCAAGCCCCACATCCCAAAACTGGAATACAGAACAGGCAGGGTTCACTCAGCCTTACAGTGCTGGGCACCACAGGAATGTCACCTGAGGCACTGCCCGGGTGCACCCAGCTCCTGTGGGCACGGGAGAAGCTTCTGTCCTGCCCGGGATCATCACCCATCCTTGTTGTTCCCTCTCCAGGGCAGCCCAGGATGAGGAATCTCCTCCTTGCCGTGCTCCTGGCTTGTGGTAAGTGCCCTGCTGTCCCTGGCCGGGCCAGAATCCGTCTGTAAACCTGAGTCTTTGTGCACAATTCGTGTCTTTGTTTCAATCTGGCAGTTTCTCTCTAGTGTTTTGTGTAGAACTGCTGCAGGAGGGTTGCTGAAGGGGAAGCTTTGGGATGCTGATGTCCATGTTTATTTTGGGAAGCCCTCCAGCCTGTTGTCACCTTTCCTGCCTGTGCCAAGCCCCAGGCTGATCCTGGTGATGGGGGATGGCAGTTTGCAGCATGGCAGAGTCAGTCCAGAGGGCAAAATATCTTGTGCCAGACCAAATCCAGAGGCTGTAAAAGGCAGATGAAAAAGCCATCCTCCCTGAGAGAACCTGGCACAGATTGCCCAGAGCAGCTGCGGCTGTCCCACTCCTAGAAGTGCCCAAGGTGGGCTGGACAGGGCTTGGGGTAACCTGGCATAGTGGGAGATGTCCCTGCCCATGGCAGGAGGTGGAACAAAACAAGACTTTGAGGCTCTTTCCAGCCCAAACCTTCCCATGATTCCATAATTCCGGAGGAGGGGATAAAGCTTCTTGCGGTTCAAACCCCCGAAGGGCACGTTTCGGGCGATGCCAGAGCAGTGCCATGCCCGTGCCGGGCTCAGGGCTCAGGGGATGCCCGCGGGTGCCAGCCCTGCCCCGGCACAGCCCGTCCGTGCCCCGCAGCGCTTTCCCCGCTCCGGAGCGGCAGCAGCGTCCTGCAGCTGGAGCGGATGATCCGGGCGGCCACGGGCAGGAGCGCCCTGCTGTCCTACAGCTGGTACGGCTGTTTCTGCGGCATCGGCGGCTCCGGGACCCCCGTGGATGCCACCGACCGGTGAGTACCCAGAGCGACCCCATCGCCCCCAGCGAGGCTCTCGCCTCCCAGCGCCGGGGGTTGGCACCGCTGCCCAGCCCGGTCCTCGCCCCTTCTTCTCCCCGGACCTTTGAGGTTGGACCTTCCCCTGCCCTCCGGGCTGCCGAGGGAGGTTTGGGAGCCGCGCCTTGACCCGGTGTCCCCGCAGGTGCTGCCAAGCCCACGACTGCTGCTACAGGAGGCTGAGGGAGGGCGGCTGCAGCCCCCTGATCACCCCGTACCGCTTCAGCTCCAGCCACGGGCACAGCGCCTGCAGTGAGTACGGACCGGGCAGCGGCAGCAGCACCGGCCCAGCCCCGGCCCCAACCCCAGCCCCAACCCCAGCCCCAACCCCAGCCCCAGCCCCGGCCCCAACCCCAGCCCCAGCCCCAACCCCAGCCCCAACCCCAGCCCCAACCCCAACCCCAGCCCCAACCCCAACCCCAGCCCCAGCCCCAACCCCAGCCCCAACCCCAACCCCAGCCCCAGCCCCAGCCCCAGCCCCAACCCCAACCCCAGCCCCAACCCCAACCCCAGCCCCAGTCCCAGCCCCAACCCCAGCCCCAGTGCCAGCCCCAGTCCCAACCCCAGCCCCAGCCCCAGTCCCAGCCCCAACCCCAGCCCCAACCCCAGCCCCAGCCCCAGTCCCAGCCCCAACCCCAGCCCCAACCCCAGCCCCAACCCCAGCCCCAGCCCCAGCCCCAACCCCAGCCCCAGCCCCAATCCCAACCCCAACCCCAACCCCAACCCCAGCCCCAGTGCCAGCCCCAGCCCCAGCCCCAGCCCCAGCCCCAATCCCAACCCCAACCCCAACCCCAACCCCAGTCCCAACCCCAGCCCCAGCCCCAGCCCCAACCCCAGCCCCAACCCCAGCCCCAGCCCCAGCCCCAGCCCCAGCCCCAGCCCCAACCCCAGCCCCAGTGCCAGCCCCAGTCCCAGCCCCAGCCCCAACCCCATCCCCTGCCCCAACCCCAACCCCAGCCCCAGCCCCAACCCCAACCCCAGCCCCAACCCCAGCCCCAACCCCAGCCCCAACCCCAGCCCCAGCCCCAGCCCCAGGGCACGCAGGGCAGCATCCCCCGGCTGAGCCCAGCCCCGCTGCGATCACTAAACGGGCACTGGGGGTGTGGGCAGGCTGGGGAGGGCACGCACCGGGACACGCTCCTCCATCCCCTTCCCCCCTCGGCCCCGGCCCCGAAAGCACCGCAGGCTCCGGGTGTGCCCCGCAGGTAACGAGCAGAGCTGGTGCGAGACAGAGACCTGCCTGTGCGACACCGCGGTGGCTTCGTGCTTCGCCAGCGCCCTGCGCTCCTACAACAACTCCTACCGCTTCTACCTCAAGCTCAAGTGCCAAGGCAGCAAGCTCCAGTGCTGAGGAGGGCGAATCTGCACACGGAGTTCCAGATTTTGGCTGCTTTTCCCCAGCAAGAAAAGCTTGGCTTGGGGGCTCAGTAAAGGCAGAGCCCCCGAGGCTCCCTGTGAGGGGCAGCTCGGGGTGAGAAGGGCACACACACCAGGGATGGAGCCCCAGCGGTTCCTGGAAAGACACACCAGCTTCCTCTTTTTTGTCCCTTCCTCCTCTCTTGATTTCGTTTCCCAGCACAGATAACAGATGCAATAAAAGGGATGCAAACTGGTTCTCCACGGTGTTTTTCTGTAAGGGCTGCTGAGATTTAGGCACTGCAACGGTGGCTGCTGGGGTTGGGGAGCACTTCTGCATCCCTCAGCCACGCCACAAAATTTCCATGGTCCCGACAGGGCTGTAATTCCCATGTCTATCCCAATGTGGAGCTAGAAGTTCAGGGAACAGGGTGCCCAGAGCAGCTGTGGCTGCCCCTGATCCCTGGCACTGCCCAAGGCCAGGCTGGACAGGGCTTGGAGCACCCCGGGACAGTGGAAGGTGTCCCTGCCATGGCACAGAGGGCACTGGATGAGCTTTAAGGCTTCTTCCAGCCCACACTAATCTGGGATTCCGGGATTCTCTGAATTTCTAATTCCTAGCTCAGAAGGCACATCCAAACAGCTTTGTGAGGAACGCTAACAAAAGTCTCAGGAATACAATAAGAGGCTTCACATCACAGGGATTTTTAAGTTGTATATCATTTTTCTCTTCCTCTTGTGCAGAGTCAGGAGAAGCTGAACCACAGCTCAGCACAGGGAGGAGCTCACAGGAGTATCCCCAGTATCTTCTGGGATGTTTGGCTTCTGGCACATGAGGATTTTTACTAGGAATGACACAACTCTTCTTTTATATCTATTTCCTGCTATAAACAATTCCATACAAAGCATTTCACAGAAACGCATTTTGTTATGCAAACACACTAAAAGCGGGAAAACAGCGTGAGTACATAAACGGATTGCAAATGATTAATGAGGCAGTAATTAGCCAGAGGAGCATTAATGGGCTGGGAGCAGTTCAGAAAAGCACAAGGCACGTGCCAGCCAGGGAGCATCACTTGTGACACCAGAGCCAAAGTGGAGCTGGAATCAGGGCTTGGCTGAAAACTTTGTCAGTGGAGGACAACAAAAAGCTATTTTTCCAGCACACAAGACAAGAGACACAGAAAGTCACCTTCCTCCCTTAATGTCCCTCCCAAACCTGTCTGGGATTCCATAACTCTTGGAAATAAGGGTTAAAGAATAATCATCCACAGAGGAAGGAAGATTTCAAAGCCTTGAGCACTTACATCAGGCAAGTGCTAATTGAGGAGGGCAGTTGATGACTGAATGGTTTCTGCAGGAGGGTGTAATGAGGGGGTGGAAAAACCACAAGGAGAGAAATAAAGAGAAGTTGAATTTTCTCACCTCGGAATATTAATTTTGCTTCTCTGTTTTCTGGTGAGGGTGCAATCATCTAGTGTCTGCCCAACCTTGTGATTCTGGGAACTGCATGTTTAGAGATGCTTTTAGTGTTGCCCAAAGAAGTGATAACTCTCCTTGAACCACCTTACCCCTCCTTGAAACCCCAAACCTGCTGTGTCCATGCCCAGACTAAACCAGAGCTATTCTTTTCCCCCCTGATGTGGCTCCTTGGTGCTGGGAAGGGAGAGGAGGAGGCAGCTCTGACTGAGGAAGAGCAGGTTTGCTTCCTCCTCAGGCTGGAAGTGACGCTGCTTTTCCACCTCATCCCACCCAGCACCCACCCCACACGTGGGGAACGGAGTTGGGGCGTCAGGGGATTTCTGCCATTCCTCGGAAGGGGAAGGATGGCACCTTCTCCTTTGCAGGGAAACCCAGTCAGCGAGATTTGGGTCGAAGCAGATGGGAGCACACTTTATAAAGCAAGCACAGCTGGCTGCAGGGCACTGCAGGCCAGCAGGGCTTTCCCAAGGTAAGTGGGGCTGGAGGATTGCTTTTCTTCTTCCCCTCCTCTCGCCAGAAGCTGTGCTGCAGTGGGGAGCAGGTGCCATGCTGGGAAGCAGGATTGAAGGAGATGCTGCCTGTGATGCCAGCACAGAAGAGCAGTGGGGGCAGCCCTCAAAGGCTGAACATCCTCCAATTTTTCTCCTGATTATGCTTTTCCCCACCTCTCCCCCATCTGATTCCCATCACTTCCCATCCCTCATGCTTTGTGCTGAAACAACAGGGGCATCTTTACTTCTCTCTTTGCTCCTAGTCCCTGGAGAGAGGGAGAATCTCTGCTCCTGTATGAGGAAAGAAAGGAGGTGGTCACTATAACAGAGAATGGTTTGGTTTCCTCTCCCAGAGCCATCAGAAGGATGAACTCTCTCCTCATCCTCTCCGTGCTGTTTGTGTGGGGTAAGTGTCCTCTCTCAGTCCCAAGGCCCTCTGTGCAGTTACATCCATTGAAATTAGGACCAGAACTCTCCTCTGCCAAGCTGGGAACACATTTTCTCTCCCTTGCATTACAATTTCTAACGCCCTGGTGCCAGCTTGGGGGCTGGAGGGATGGAGCTGCTGTTGGCAGGGCAGGGAATCACCGTCATCTCCCTGATTTCCCCTGCTCCAGGCTTGTCCCCAGCCCAGGGGAGCCTCTTAGAGCTGCACCAGATGATCTCAGAGGCGACAGGGAAAAATGCTCTTCTGTATTACGGCTTCTACGGTTGCTACTGCGGTCTGGGGGGCAAGGGGCAGCCCAAGGATGCCACAGACAGGTGAGAATCCACTTTAAAACCCCCTGCCCTGACATGATCTCGAATATTTTTAAATCTGTGGGGTGAGGGGAAGAAAACTGCGTCCCCTAAAGCTTCGATCTCCTGTGCAGATGCTGCCAGCTGCATGATACTTGCTACAAAAACCTCCTGAAGTACCACTGCAATGCCAAGACACGGCTCTACTGCTACAACTGGCACTATGGCAGGCTCTCCTGCAGTGAGTAGGGCCCTGGAAAACGGGAAAAGGGGGTGCCATCCCCCCCCAAAGCCGGGGCTGAGCCTGGGCTCCCCTCGTCCCGCAGGTCAGGGCTCCCGCTGCGCCTTCTTGTCTTGTGAGTGCGACCGCAGCCTGGCGCTGTGCCTGAGGAGAAACGCCGGGAGCTACAAGAAACTTTACCAGTTCTACCCCAACATGCTGTGCCGGTGATGGGAGCTGCGATGCGGGACCGCAGCAAGCGCGGGTCGGGCCGGGAGCGCCCTTCATCCCTGCCTGCGCTGAGATAAACAATGTTCAGCGTCCCCGGTCCTCTGAGAGCTGGGCTGGGCAGGGAGAGAAATCCCCGTAAATAGTCAACATCTTCCCAAAACTTTCCAAGAACTCGCTCTCGGCCCCTGCGTCACCCGAGAGGGGAGAGGGGGGCTGGCCGGGGATGGGGGCGTAGCACTCCGTGGGTTTGGGCCAGACGAGGAATTCTGCACTTCCAGTTGGAGCTGGCGGGCTGGACGCGGAGGGAAGGCTCTCCCCGGCAGGACAGACCGACAGCAGCGAGATCCCCGGTGAGCAACTCCCCTGCTCTGCAAAGAAAAGCATCGGGGGGATGTTGGGAGGAGGCAGCGGGAGCGGCCCGTGCCGGCAGGAAAAGTGAAATCGTTCCCAAATTCCCACACTGGGGAGAGGTGCCCCGGGGCCAAAAGCGGGGGGACGGCAGGTGAGAAAGGTTGGAGGGGTGGGACGGCGGCTGGGGATGCTCAGGTGGCGGGGCAGTTCTCGGGCAAGAGGCAGCAACGCTGATATGAGGGACACAGCTGCTCTCCTCCCTCCGGATCCTGGGGTTGATCCGATTTCAGAGGAAGCTTCTCACGGCAGCTCCTCTCAAACTGGCCACGCTGCCTGGTTGAGCCTGTGCCCTGTTTCTCCTCCCAGGCCCAGGTCAGAGGAAGATGAAGGTCCTGCTGGTGCTGACGATGCTGTTTGCCTGCAGTAAGTGCATCCCCGACCCACAGACAGGAGCCAGGCTCATCCCCAAACTCCTGTGCACTCCTCAGGGAGACTCCCAGCAAAGCCTCCTTCTCTACCCAGTCCCCCACGCCTCTTTTCTGCACGTACTTACAAAAAAACCCACATTTTACGGTCACTCTAGGCGTGTTCACAGCGCACGGGAAGCACCCACGCACGTTCACACCGGGACTCGAGGGAAGCACCGTAGGAAACCTGACTGCCCACGGATGCTACAGGGGATGGGGCACCTCGAGGGCTTCAGTGGATCGGTACAACGCTGTCCCAGAGGGCTAACGCTGGTCCCGGGGTAACCCCGGGGCTCTGCATCACCCCAGCAGCGCTCCCTAAAGCTTTGCAAAATGCAGAGCGGGTGCTTGGCAGCAGCGGGAAGGAATCAGGTTTTCGGGAAGCAAGGAAAGTGATGCGGTGTTCAGCCCTAATTCCATCGCGGAGTCGGTGGGGTGGTGCCAGTGACAACCGCCTGGTCCGTGGCGTGGCACAGAGGAGGGGGACGCTCCTGAAGCCGGGATGCGGGGCAGGGCTTGCGTGGGGAGGAGAAGGACAGAGAAGCTTCTGGGTGATCCAGAGCGGGGGGAAGCAGAGCTGGCGGCTCGCAGAGCCTGTGCTAGCTGGGGCAGCAGCCGCGGGTGCCCATTCCCGACGAGCCCAGGCTCTCCTCCTCCCGCAGGTGCTGCCAGCTCCGAGCCTGCTGCTATGCCAAGCTGGCAGCGCGGCGCTGCCGCCCGGGCCCCGTGCAGCCGCTCTCTGCGCCCCGGGCAGGGATGCCCACCTGCAGTGAGTGCTCTCCCGGGGCTGGGGATGCCCTTTCCTTTCCCCAGCACCCCCGGCCCTTTGCCCGGCTCGGGGAAGGTCTCAGGCGTGCTCTCGGTGCCCGCAGGCTCCGGGACGCGGTGCCAGCGAGGCGCCTGCAGGTGCGAGCGGGCGGCGCGGCTGTGCCGGGCTCGGCTCCGCGCCCGGTGCCGGGGACGAGCCGGGCGCTGCTGAAGCAAAAACTCCTTTTTGCGAAAGCATCTCCGCGCTGATGGCCAAGGCACGGCGCCGGCAGCGCTTCCCAGCCCTGGCGAGTCTCATCCTCGGGGCATTTTGGCTTCGAGGCGAGGACAAGAACCGGGGGAGCAGCGCTGATTTGATGTCCAGCACAGCAAAACAAGGGAGGAGCGGACCTGCCCCTCGTCCCGATGAGGGGAGAGATGGAAGCGTCCCCCTCCGCAGCCTGTCCGCTCCCTCCGCTTCTTGCTTCCCAGCAAATTCCCTCCTGTTGCTCCAAAATAAAACCAGAGAGCCCAAAGCACCGGTCCGCAGCGTGCAGTGACTCAGGGGAGCCCAGCGACCACCCCTCACCTCTCACACAGGTTTCCTGTTGAATACTCAGCAAAACTGAGACTTGAGAGGTGACACGGCTCACCCTGAACTGCCCCAACTTAGCTCTGAACCTTCAGCCTCTGAAAATGTCCCGTTTGTCGGAGAGGTGGAGAAGTGAGGCGGGTGGAAGGGCTGGGGGCAGGCATGGTGGAGTGGGAGGGTCGGGCTTGGACTTCCATGATCCTCGTGGGTCCCTTCCAGCTCGGCATATTCTGTGATCCCCTAAATCTCTGCTGTGACAGCATGGCCTGGAGCTTGCCTCACACCCAGTGCTGAGCAAAACAGAGTTCTCACCAGAAAAGAATGTTTTGGCCCAATTCTGCAACAGCCCTGAGCACATTCCTTAGGAAAAGGCAGCTCAGGCAGCAGCTGCTTCCTCCCACTTCAGCATCCCCAGGTTTTGTGACTTGGGGTGTTGACCCCGGCAGGTCTCTGGGCTCCAAACCACCCCAGGGAGGCTCAGCAATGAAATAAAGCCACAGAAAAAGCAACAAAACAGTTTCCTCAGGGCTGATGCCCAGCTGGAATTGCCACCCTGGATTGCCCCATAGCTAAAATCAATGGCACCAAGAAATAGCCCTGAAATCAGCGATGCTTCTGCCAACTGTCAGGCAGGAACCAGGGAATCACTGCTGTGGAACCCTGGGGGAGATGAGGGAGGAGCCCTTCACCCAGCAGCTGATAACTGCAGGGCATAAATCAAGGATCAAATCCTCACCGAGAGGATGGATATCCCAGACAGATTGCAGGCTGGGATAAACTGAATCACATTCTCCCTTTGTAAATTCTCGGTGAATTTTAACCACTCATGAATTTTCCTGCTTGGACATCCGGCTGTACAAATCCATTCATACAAATCCTCCAAATGTTGATGTTTTGGCTCAGATGCTGCACCCCCTCAGAGCATTGCAATAAACTGGACTGCAAGAGTTGTGGTTTTCATACTATGAAACAAAATCCACAGCTTCCCAGGAGGCACCTGGCTTGGGGAGGGCTTATTTCCCATTTGGAGACGGGATCCTGCAAACCTGCCACAGGTAGAGGGGCTGGGGTGGAGAGGCTTTCAGTGGAGCTCAGCCAGTTTGATGGACAAGAATATCCCTTATCCCCCTGTGATAAAACTGATTGTGGACTTGGAAAATCCTGAATTATGGCAAATCCTGGTTTAGCCAATTAACTCAACACCACCCCAAGGGGTAACTTAAATTAGTCCAGATAAGGCAAAGTGCCCATGCCAGAGGGAGGGGGAAGAGATTTTGCTGAGCTGAGTTCCCTTCTCTCAGCGTCTCTCCGCTTCCCACACAAGTTGCATCCTTGTTCCCTGCCTCAGTTTCCCTTGCAGCCTCGGGGGATTTCCTCCCCTGCCTCAGTGCTTGCCATGCTGTGGTTCCCCAAAAAGCAGCACAAAGCAGGTGCAATCTCTGCCAGAAGATATCTGCTGATTGGTCAGTACCACCAATTTAATCAGAGATTCTCCCTGAGCAAATGACACAAAGCAGCCTCTTCCCCCCCCAACGCCCCCATCACACATCACTTGCATTTTTTCTTCCCTGCCACTTGCCTTATTTTGCTTCTAAATAAAAGTGAACCACACACCTCGTGCCATGAGGTATTTGAGAACAAAACACAGTGCCCAGCACACATGGGGAGAGGGATGGAGAGCCCCCACATGCAGGGGACATCTGGGCACTGAGAAAGCACCACTACCAAGAAAACCACCAAACATGGCCTCTGCTCAGCTCTGTCTCCAGCCACAGCCATTCTGGAGACCATGGGATCTTCCTCCCCTCCCAAAGCTGCATCTCATCCACTCTGCTAAGTTGGAAGGGCAGGATACTTGGCACTGGCTGCATTTTTCCCTGCCCAGGCAAGGATGGAAACAGTAAGACACAGAGTGGTGTTTTCTAGCCAAGGCATCAAAAAACTGTCATCCAGGAAGAAAGTGGATCACGGAATCACAGACTCCTCAGGCAATCTAATTCCACCCTTGCCATGGGCAAGGACACATGGTTCCTGTTCTCCCTCAAGTTCTCTCCTTTTACTCAGGGAATGCTGAGACACCCAGAGCTATGCACAGACTCGACCCCAGGCTGCTCCATACATTCAAAACCTCCTGCCAAAACCTCCACCATATAAGGCATCCCATAGCCTCCAGCAGTGCCAGGATACCTGCACAGCAGCAGGATCAGGATGGTGAGGATTGTCAATATTTGCCCACTTTGGGCTCTCCAGAGGAGGGGCCCTGCTGAGGGTGCGTGGCCATAAAAGGTGTGACCAGCAGCACCTTGGGCTCACCAAACCCTGGAGCTGCCACTGCCAGGATGAAGCTCCTCTCGCTCCTCCTCTTCTGTGAGTACCCCCCACCAGCTCCCCCAGACCCTGCCCACAGCCAGGTGGGGATGGTGAAATGCCCATTTTTGCTGTGGGATGGAATGTTGCTTTTCCTGGTGCTCTTAACCCTCCTTCTCCAGTCCTAGGACTGGCCCTTGCCAGCTGCAACTTGGCCCAGTTTGCAGTGCTGATTAAGCAGAAGACCGGGAAATCGCCGCTGGCTTACAACCGCTACGGCTGCTACTGCGGCTGGGGCGGGTCCAAACAGCCCCTGGATGCCACCGACAGGTACCCGGGGCAGGGCAGAGCCCCCAGCCCTCCTCACCTCCCCGGGTACAGCAAGTGCAACCTTCCTGCTGCTCCTGAGGTGGAAATAGCAATGAGAAAATTGTTACTCATCCTTAAAGCCTCTGTAGAAGGGGCTCAGCAGCAGCAAAGATGCTCGTGGGTGATGTTTTACCGCTGTCCCCTGCCCTGACCTCGGCTCTGATGTCCCCAGGTGCTGCCACGCCCATGACTGCTGCTACAAGAAGTTGGTCGCATCCGGCTGCAGCCCCAAAACGGCCACCTACAAATACACCTTAAAAGGAAAGCAAATAACCTGCGGTGAGAGCGGGGCCGGGGCAGAGCTGTAAGCAGGGAGGCACAGCCACCCACACTCAGGGAGCTTCACTTCCAACATCCCTTTTGATCATCCTGGCCTGGAAATCACACACAGCAAAGTGGGTGGAAATAGAGGGGAAAGTGTCAGGAATTAGGCAAATAAGAATTTGCTGGAGTATGGTGAAGTTTAGAGCTTGGAGACTTCCCTGACGAGGGGCAAGAGCCAAACACCAAGGGTTTGAGAGCTCCCATCCTGGATGGGGACCTGGCACAGCTGCCCTGACTCCCCCAGAGCGAACTCATTGTTCCACAGAGCACAGCAAAGCACATGCCAGGCAAACCCCCCCAGACACATCAGAGAGAAAGCTCCAGGAGCTCCACACCCTAGACACAAGACCACCCGAGACACCCCAAACTCAACAGAGGGGCTGCTCAAAAAACACCCCCTGACCCTTCACTGCCTCCATCCCCCCCAATTTTCTTCCAGGAAATGGGAACTCGTGCCAAAAGCAGACCTGTGCCTGCGACAAGAAGGCGGTGGAGTGCTTCCAGAGGGCAGCCAGCTCCTACCGCAAATCCTACGACAACTACCCCAATTCCAAATGCAAGGGCCAAACGCCCTCCTGCTGAACACTGCTGCCAGCCTGGCTCCAAACCTGGCAGAAACCAGCAGAACTGGGGGTTCTGCCTTCCCTGTGGCCAGGCAGGACATGGCACAGCCCTGTGGCACTGAAAAAGTGTCCAGCACCTTTCCCCAGAGCCTTAGCTCTATTTTCCCATAGTTAAATAACTTGTAAAAATGAGGTAAACCCTGCAAATAAAGATATGCTTCAGAACTGTGGCCAGTGTTGTGTTTTGGGAATCAGTGGTGGAAGGGGAAAGTAACAGCATGGAATTTGAGGGCTGATTTTTTGAAGAAAATGTTCCTTCCTGCATACATTTTTTCTTTAAAAATGACCAGAAGTGACATTTTAGCAGCCAATAGCAGTAAATTAGCAGTAAATCTTAAGAGCTCCAGAGAAAAACAAAAGCCCACAACAGCAAGTGGCTCCTGCACCCCAACCCAAAGCAGGCTCCAAGCCCAGCTTCTCTCCAGGGGCTCAGCCTCAATCCTCAGTCCTGCCCCATACCATTCCTAATGACTGTTTAAGCAATTAATACTCACTGAAGGCACGAGGAGCCCAGTGGTGGGGTCTCAGAGGTTTAGGTGGCTCTTTCTTGCAGACAGAGGTCTCCTCAAGCTGCAGCTCCATGCAACCACCTTGTCCCACAGCACAGCTGAACATGGTCCCAAATTAACCCTAATTACCTCTAAAAGGCAGGGCTGGCTGTACCTTGGGCCTCGATGAAGGCACCTCCAGCTGTAATGCTGCATCTGGAGAACTGATCTGCCTAAAAAAAAGGAGTTTTAAGGGCAATTTATTTGATTTCCACCTCTGTGTTGAGGGCTCTTGCCTGACTCTGTTAAGTGTTTCATTCCAAGCAACAGCCTTACCTCAAGTTCCTACAGTAAATGTGGTATCTTTCTAACTCCAAACCACTCATTTCTTCTCAAAAATTTTAACAGGTAATAAGGATTCTAGAAGCTGAGACAGAGCCAATGCTGCCTTCTAAGGCTGATGCTTGCACCCAGGAAGCTCCAAGGAACCACCCCACAGCTCAAAACCAGCACAAGCATCTTCCTTTTATCCCACACTGGATTATGGAACATTCTTCATGCCCAATTTCACTTCCTTTCTGCATCTCCAAAAGCTCTGCAGACACAGAGACCATGGGTGATGTGGCAAAGCTGTGAGATAAACCAGAAGGCAGCTCCTAAGTAGGGACAAGAGACATGGAGCAGCACAGGCAGAAAACCCTCCCCATACACAAACATGCTTATGGAGGTCAGCCAGAACCTGCCTAAATGCTTAAAACTTCCAGTTCAACTGAATTCCTGACCTGCAGGGGCAGGATTTGGGAAAATAAATCCAGGGAAGATGATGGTGAGAGATAGGATGCAGGGAAAGTGGCTTTCTACATCCTTCTGCTACGTATTTGCCCTTGAGAGGCTCACAGTGACCCTGCTGCAGCACCAGCCAAAACACCCTCGTATTTGTCAGCTGCTAACAACAAACAGTCATCTCCTCCAAGCCCAGGGGAATATCCAGTGCTCATTGTCCGTCCTTGGCCCGTGGATTACGGAGCACTCAGCTCCACCAAGGAGTAAACACACACTATGTATGAATCACGGTGTTGTTCTGCTCTGCTTTCTCGCCTCCCTTCCTCCTCCCAGGAAAATCCACCACCTGTTTACAAAGCAAATTCACTGCATAAACTGAGTTCTGGGAAGAATGTTGCACAAAGATTCCCTAGGGAAATAAATATATACATTCAAAAGGTGGAAATTTCAATGGGAAAAACGTGAAACAGTTAAAAATCTGTTTTAACATCTTTCGATATGGAATGCTGTGCAGGTACAAGGCTGCCCTGGCAAGATAAAAGGAATTTCACTGGTTTGTCAATATCTATGAGCCCAGCACATTGAGAGTTTATTTTAAACAAATTACGCTTGGAAATGAAAGCATTTTCAGCCCCAGATTTTGTTCATGTATCAGAGGCCACGAGCTGTGGGCCAGTCTCTCCCTCTGCTGTTGGTGCTGCTGTTGCAGACCCCTTCACCCTGCACATGATGGGGTGAGGTGTGAGTTCCTTCCTCAACCTCCAGACCAACTCCCTTCACAGCTCTCAGGCAACAATGAATGTCATATCAGCTCTGGCTCCAGAAGACAAAATCCCAATTCATTAAGATCAAATCTCTTATTCGAAGTGCACAACTGCAATTCTTTATCTCTTCAAACCTGCAGAACACACCTGCCTTTCAGACCAAAACACAGGACAGGGCAGGACACAGGTGACACAGTCACCTGCACTGCCTTGCCAAACCTCCTGTCACAACTTATCACCCCCTGAAAGAACTTGCACTTTCTCCTCACTAAGCTGTGACTCACCTCTCTTTCCACTACTGTAAAAATGACTGTCTCAGAGAAAAAGGAATTCCTACACCATCAGTTCTTACAGGAGAGCTCCTTTCATTTTATTCTTCAAGTAACAGCAGCAGGCCATAACAAGTACTACCCCAGTTCTTGGCAGTCTGGTAAAAAAAAAATAATTTCCATGCTGATTTATAAACTTTTAAGCACAGACAGATTTTTCAAATGCAATGCTCCTTACTTTAAAAAAATTCCTTTCACCTAAGACACTGGCTGATGAGGTGTCTTCTGTGTGTAAGTACACATGTGCTTTCTTCAAGCTTAGTGCTTGTTACAAGCCCAAAAACCTGAGTGGAGCTGAAACACCATGAGCTATAAATCAAAGGCTGAGTCCCACAGCCCTTTCACTTCAATCCAAATTCCCAGTCCTGCAGTGGAAAACATCACAGGAGTCAAGCTGTATATCCTAGTTGGTGACCTCACTAAAATGGAATTTAAGATGAAAAAAAAAACCTACCCTGGAAAAAAGCTTGATTTATGAAGTGAAATAGGCAGGTTTCCCAGGGATCACTGCTGCATGGGAGATTCTTCTCAGGACTCTTGGTCCTTTGGCTATGCTGATTTCATTCGGAGACTAATACCTATCCAGCTCCTGATTTGGTCTAAAGCCCTGGAGTAGCCCAAAAACTCTGGAACAGGGCAAAGGGGACAAAGATTCCAGGTGTCCGAGTAACAACACTCATCAGAAGCTTCAAGCCTGTTCCTGTCACATTTTACCAGATTGGAAGAATCAGCTCTGCAGTCCCATGAGTCCACTGGGATTACTGTTCTGGGGGGGTTCTTTTACACCAACAGGTCTGATCTTAAAGGAGCTGATTCCAAAGCTCAGCAAGCATGGATGCAGCAATCTCCATCTCTCTCCAAATATTCATCACTTCTGAACCAGCTCAGTGCAATGCCAGCAGTTCTAAAAGAGAGACTAAAACTTGCCACTGCATTCCTGCATGGCAAACAAAGGAGGAATGTCATGTTTGAGACAGTGCTGGCTGACGCTTTGCTTTGGAAAGGATTCTGGGACTCTGTTTCCTTACTTTATTTGAATTTAAATAAAAAAAGATCCACCAGAGATATTCCTGAGTTGAGATTTGTTAAGCTTTCCCTGACAGCAAGGTAAAATAAAGCTCCTCCAGGAATAACCAAATAAAAGAAGAAAACAAAAAAACCAAAACCAGGCACATCAAGATATGTCAAAACAAATCGGACACCGTTGTGTGAAGCAAAGGTCATCACCTTCATCTAATTCCAAGATTATAGACCCAAGTCTCTACTTCCTGTTAAGTAAACTCTTCTCACATGTTGATGCAGAATCAATGAGCAATTGTCCTCCCCAAAAGCAAGAGGAAGTTCTCTTGTGTTTGGAAATCCGAGCAGAGATGGATTTTAAGATAAACATGGGTGCCTATAAATTCTCTTGGGGGAATTTCGTCTTCATCAGTTTTATTTGCTTTTGTCATCAGAGCACTGAGTCATATGTTCAGGGCTGCCATGGCCTTCACCAGGGTGATGTGGCTGCCTGGGTCTGTCTCTGTCCTGGTGTCTGCACTGTCCCTCTTGGTGGCCAGGACCTTCTGCCGGTGCCTCTCCTCCTGCCGCTTCTTCTTCTCCAGCCGCTGCTCCTTCCTGTGCTTCTTGGCTACCTGAAAGGGAGGGATGAAAACACAAAGTTCAAACCACACATGCTCTGCTCAGCTGGGGAAAAGTAATAAAAGAGACAAGCAGATACTAAGGCAGCTGCCAGAGGACATTCCTAACTATTTATGAGGACTTTATTGCGAGTTGTTTTGGGAAGAGTGCTGCATGTCACCAGGAAATGTCTGTGGTAGAGCAGTCGCAGCTGCAGCAGTGACAAAATGCAGTGAGCAGAAGCTCTTTCTAACTGAAAGGAGAAGAGACTTGCTGAGTAAGCAATGCTAAGGCATGCCCCAATCACTGAAGGGTGCTCACATTGCTGCCAAACCTCTCACACACCTTTGGGTTTCTGCTGGTTCGGTTCTCTTCCCTGGATCCAGCTTGTCCCTTGTTGTTCTCTGCTTCACCTTGATGCAAGCTCTGATTTCCAAAGATTCTTGAACCAGTTCCATTCTCTTCCCACAGTGTCCCGCTGCAGGATTTTTGTTCCCTGCCCAGGGGCTCCTGCTGCTCCTCAGTACCTGCCAACAGCAGAGGTTTTCCTCAGACATGCTCTACCCAGGAGCTGTTGCACTGTCAGACATTTCTTTTTCCCAGAAATCCTGGGGTTTTTTGGAAGCTGGATTGAAGTTGCCCTCACTAACAACCTTCCTGAGCAGAGAAGGCTGAGGTGCCAGCACACAAACCCCACCTCTCCTGCTACTGTCCCCAACACCAACATCACAGACACCCAAAGCCCCAGGTGACAAAATGTGCACTCACCTATTCCTTCCCCTTCCTTCACCTGCAAGATGGCAAATATTGCAGATTCCACATTGTAGTCCTCCACCTCAAGAATGTGGCTTACTAAATCCATGTCCTGTCCACAAGAAGGGAAGAAGAACGCTGAAGAAGTTCAAATCTCTGACCTACATACACTTAACAACACCTGCACCACTGAGAGGGGGCTGCTGCTTTTATGATCATTCAGTTGGTCTGTGCTCCATTTCTGAAAGGATGAGGGGGAAAACCTTAAATTCCTGAAGCTATCAGAAAATAAGGAATATGCTGTTTTCAGTGTAAGTTTCCCTCTTGGCCCTTTCTGTTCTGCGCACCTGCACAGTGCCAACAGCCAAGAATCACAGATTATCCAGTTATCTGGGATCTTCAATACCCCCAAAGGATTTCAGAACTTACAGGATTTTTTTCCAAATTAATTTTTGTGAGAGCCTCAAAACAAACCTTCCAAAATGATCAGGCATCCAGAAAAATGTTGGTATTTCACCTGCATGTAAGGGTTGATTCTAGGATGAGATGCACCCTGATTGAAGTTTGTACAAGGTGAGTGTTTTCTAGAATTTTTCCCAGAACTACTTCATTGTATCAAGGTTTGAACATTAAGCGCAGAAAGGTTCCTCAATACTTACTGAACACCCAGTTGCACTGCACACTTTTTCTACAGCATCTTCCATCTCCACTTCAGTCTCATCTTCAGAGTTGCTCTTCTGTGGCTTCACCTCCTCTGCCTTATTTGAATCATTCTTGCACAGCATCTGAAGAATTGCAAGCTCAGCAAATCACACAAGCATGCAATCCATAAAAGTCAGACATCCTAACAACAGTAATTATCATGGCACACTTTTCTCGGGAACATCCTGTGTCAAACCATCTTGGAAACTGTATAACTTCCAAGTGTGTAGCTTCCCACTTCTCCTGCACTTCTGAACAAACTCCAGCGTACTACAACATCAAGAATCATAATAAATGAACTTTTAAATTGAATCTTTTTAATACAGTACCACTGTATTGTATTAAAAAGCTGTGTGCAGAGAACCTCAAGCACAGCACAATTACAAAAATAAAAAAAAGAGATATGAGGAAGACAACTACACCCAGCTGTTACATTTCCAGCTCTTTCCCCTCTTCCCTTTGTTTTTCCATTTGAGGTGAATGATTACATCATTTAGATGAGGTTGCTTCCAGACAGCCCACATCACAGCATCAGCTTTGAAATAACTTCCAGCCCAGAGGCTGAAATCCTCCTTCACAGCTCTTCCCAAGAGAGCCAGCAGCATGAGCTACAACCTCAGGGCTTTGCTCTCGCAGCACAGCACGGAGACCCAGCTCTTCCCTCCATCCCAAATGAGAATGGAAATCAACTGGCAGCATTCCCCAGCTCTGTGTGTCACCCACAGCTGGCTGATTCCAGCACAACCAACCTCCATCCGAAGGCAGGCCGGCGCCTCCGAGTCGTCGCTGAGCCTCCTGACGCTGTCGTAGTGCTCCCCGTGCCTGTAGGCGATGTGCAGCTCCCGGGCGTCGCTCCTGTCTGTGCCCCGGATCTCAACAAAAGAAACAAACTGCAAATGAGCATTTCGAATCCGCTGCAGTGTCTGATTTTTCAGAGTATTTGTTTTTGCAGCGATGGCAAACACCGGCAAGGAAGCAAGTACGTGGTTGCTGGAGCATTTGAAAGAAGAAGAGAAGAAGGAATGACAGCCAGATGTAAAATACCAGGCAGTTACATCAGAACAAACAAAACAGGGAATGAAAGTATTTTTTTTTTTAAACTCAGAACTATTTCCGGAACTTTCCACAGAAGCTATCAGTTTTCTGATCATCTTCCCAGAACCAACTTCAGCAAGAGCTCCCAGGGAATGTACCATGTCATTTTACTCTCAAATATGAGCAAAGAGAGGCCATTCAAGTGAGAGCAACACTGGAAACAGTCAGAGTAAATTTTGATTTGCAGCTGGGACAAGGTGCTGTTTTAACAGCATCCCAAGCAGCTGTGTTTTGTTTTTAAAAGAACGCAATCCATGCAAATGTATTAACTCCATTGAGGAGCACTGTTAACAACCAATTGTTGCTTTGCTTTCTCAGCACCAAGTTACAGCAATTTCCACAGAAAATTCCTGCTCTGAGTATTATCTGTACTGATGTGAGAATAGTTCCTACCCTGATTATCAGTGTCTCAAACTATTAGATAAGAGCTACACAGCATTCCATCTCTGCCAGGAATGCAGAAAATCCCAGTGCACTTGCAGACCAACTTGGCTTGACCTGCCAGCTCAAGTTCACCCAACAGCTCTCCAGACGTCAGTAAGCAAAGGACCAGAACTCCTTGCTTTAGGGCTCCAGAGTTTCCCAACCTTTTTACGTCTGTGAACTGCCTTATCTCAGCTCTCAGACCACACACCAAGCCACCTTTCAGCCGTGTCTGTGGTCTGTGCTGCACTAATGACTTCAGGTTTTCCAACAAATAATTTTCCATTCATCGATTTTACACTTGCTCACCTTCAGGTTTCCAAGTCAACACTTGGTTATACTTAACTCCTGCTTTCTATTCTATTAAATTATTCCACTGCTGAAAGTTGGTAAAATTTATTTTAAACATTTCTCCTCTGCCAGAGCTTGAATAGGTATCTAACAAATCCCAAAGCTCTTGAAAGATTTGAAAATTAGCCAATTTAGCTCTCATTAGAGAAGCATCTTTCCACTCTGGAGTAGGCCCAGAGGAGGCCACCTAACTGATTTAGAGGGATGGAGCATCTCTCCTATGAGGAAAGGCTGGGAGAATTGGGATTGTTCAGCTTGGAAAACAGAAGGCTCCAGGGTGATCTAACTGTGGCCTTCCAGTGCCTGAAGAAGCCAACAGGAAGGATGGAGAGAGACTGTGGGCAAGGGCCTGGAGTGCCAGGACAAGGGGGAATGGCTTCCACTGCCTGAGAGCAGGGATAGATGGGATACTGGGAAGGAATTGTTCCTTGTGAGGTGGGCAGGCCCTGGCACAGGTGCCCAGGGAAGCTGTGGCTGCCCCTGGATCCCTGGAAGTGTCCAAGACCAGGCTGGACATTGGGGCTTGGAGCCACCTGGGATAGTGGAAGGTGTCCATGCCCATGGCAGGGGGTGGCACTAGATGAGCTTTAAGTTCCCTCCCAACCCTAACCAACCTGGGATTCTCTTGATTCTACGAATATACTGAAACTGGTAAGTAAATTAGGGCTGCAGATTAAAAACAGGGAAAAAAAAAAAGTCAGCCTGTTATCCAAAGAGCCAACAAAATAACCTACAAAGCTCAGCTAACTTGAGCCTACAGTTGGACTCCATGATTTTAAAGGTCTTCTCCAACTTTAAGAATTCTGTAATTTACAGTCACGATCAAAAAAGTTAAGGAGTGTTCAAAGACCAAGAAATTCCATGCAGAGATGTCCACCTGCAAAGAGCTTTTCATGATGTTACAACTACTCACAGCTCTCCTAACTCACACCATTCTCAAGGGCCTGAGACAACCCTTCACAAACAACACTGCTCAGGAGAGACAGAACCTCATCACAAGCTCTGCACTGCCACCCTGACACAGTCAATGAGAGGAGATGAAAGAATCAAGGTTTTCAAAAGGACACCAAAATGTCAGTAAGTGATAACACTGAGGAACAACACATGAAAACCACCCCTGTGACCTCCCCTGCAGGTACTTCACCCACCTGTCCCTCTGTCCATGGCTGCCCATAAATGAGAGTTTAAACTTGTTTGAGTTCAGGAATTCATGTGGGGCTCTTTTAAATGAATTGAAAATGTTACTGACAGCTTTCATCTGTTTTTTTATCTTTATTGCCCTGTTTAATTTATATACTTCATTGGCTCTGTCTGTAAATAGAGGCCAGAAACAAATTTCAACCTGACTTGAATTCAGGTTCTCACTTGCTCAATGACCAGGCTGACTGAGCATGGACCCATTCCACTTGCCATGGAAAAACAACAATAAAGAGAAAACGAAGGACCTGAGGGATTACTTGTTTCAGTGCCCCTCTGTCAGAGGAAACCACACCACACAGTTCTTTCCAGAAGCTGATTAAACACCACTTTAAGGTTTTAAAATTTATTTTAAAACCTCGTTTCTCTCTCTGTCAGAAACCCTGGCATTCCACATCCCATGCAGAATTGATGGAGCTTCACTCCAACACAGTGCATGCCCGGCCACACCTTCATTTCCACCTTCCTGAATCTCATTGTACAGGTTCCCTTAAGCCTAGCTCAAACTCCAGAGGGCTGTGCAGCCCTCCAGAAGGACTCACCAGGCTGGAGAGATGGGCAGGGAAGAACTGCCTGAAGTTCAACAAGGGCAGATGCAGATCCTGCCCCAGGAGGAACAGCCCCGAGTACCAGCACAGGCGGGGTGACCTGCTGGAGCATCTCTGCAGGAAGGACCTGGGGGTCCCGTGGTCAGTGAGCTGTCCTGGAGCCAGCAGAGTGTCCTGGAGGCCAAGAGGCCCTGGGGTGCACTGGGAGGAGCACTGGCAGCAGGTCAGGGAGTGACCCTGCCCCTCTGCCCAGCCTTGGGAGGCACACCTGGAGTGCCGTGTCCAGCCCTGGCTCCTCAGGACAGGGGGACAGGGAGCTCCTGGAGCAGGGCCAGTGAAGGCTGCAGAGATCAGGAAAGGCCTGGAGCATCTCTCTGCCCACAAAAGGCTGAGGAAGCTGGGGCTGGGAGACAGGATGGTCTAGTGTGGTCCCCTCCAACCTGACCCATTCTGGGATTCCTATCAGAAAACTCAGCTCAAATGCAGTCTGATCTTCAGGAGGCATGGCACTGAAAGTCGTAGCTTAAAACCCAAGTAAAACACATTGCTCTGCCCCCACATACACACCTCTTATGCACGCACTGCTTTCTTTCCTGCCCTCTCCTCCTAGTTAAAATCTCAAGTGTTCCCCTTCTTCAAAAACCAAGTACAGCTCTGCACCATGCCCAGATCATTACCACTCTCTTTTAATAAATCATGAATTTTCCACACTATTTATATCCCTCAGGCAAAAATTAGACAAAAATGTAGAAGCTTTGTTTCTCACCTGCCACAGAGGAGTGTTGAGCTGATGAATAACCACGTTCAATTGATTGTTCCTTGCAAAGGCCACAATAGCATCGTTGCCAGCAAAAGTACCAGGTTTGGCCAAATTGGCAACTAAAGGAAAAAAACATTCACAAGAGTTGAAATCTAATTTCTGATACTCCCAAAAGCAGGGCAGGGGTAACAAGGGGTGAGATTTCAACATGGGCCCAAGAAATTCTGGAAGGGAAATCCCACCTGTGAAACAGTGACTGCTGAGGCAAGAATTTGGCTGCAACATGAGGTAACGCATGAGGTAACAGAAATATCTAAAAAAGGCACTACACCCTCAGACAAAGTAAGGCCACTGGCTCTGTTAGCTCAGAAGGAGGAGTGCCATGTAATGCATGACCAAACTACTTTCACGCATCATCTTCATGGTACCTGGCACATCAAAGGCTGTATTTGTCCCTGGTTTGGATCTTCCCCTTGCTTCCCAGGAGGAAACACTGAGTGCCAGGGAGAAAGAAACCCAAAGAAATCAGCCACTTACCAAAATAGCCAAATACCCACCAGTATTCAAGGACAATGAGACAGTTTTTCTTAAATTCCTTTTGAAAACACCTATTTTTTACTCCTTGCCTTTTTGGTCTCTCTTTTGTCCAAGTTTCTCCTAAATTTTAATAATTTCCGGGACAAATTCAATGTGGATTAAACAGCTCACCTTCCTACAGCATCACAACAGCCATAAATGTAAAGTCCCTGTTTCTAAAAACTAGAGAAGAGCCCTAAGGTAGTTCTGGGATGAGGAATGGTTAGTAAGGAGGTGCTCTAAGGAGCTGCATGACACAAAGACACCTCCCAGGACGTCGCACGGAGCCCATACCGTGTTTGTCAAAAGGCACATCATCCTCCACGAAGGGCTCGAAGTCCCCGCGCTGCCTCAGCATGAACTGCACCGTCTCCTGGCGGTGCCGCGCGTGGTTCCGGGAGTGTCCCTCCAGCTGGTCCCCCAAGGCCCGGAACAAGCAGTTGCTGCGGAGGGAAACGAGGAGTCCTGTGGCTGAGGCAGCAGAAGGAATGCAGGGCACAGGGAAAGGGGCTGTGCTCATTCTGCCCGGTTTAGCAAGGCTGTGAATGCAGAGGAGCGCTCACTCGCTGTGCTTTGAATTTCCTGCTCACTCCCTGTGCCTTGAATGGCTGCTGCTGCTGGAACGGCTGGGTTTGAGTGATCCTGTCACGGTAAAACTGCTGGGCCAAACTGTCCCACACTGCACCAGACAAGGGATATAAAGCAAGGAAAGACAAACAAATGCCCCACTCAGCAACTTCTCAGCAGGAACGTTTACTACACTACCTTTTCACCTTCTAGAAAAGAAAGGAGTGAAAGTATTCCTTATGGAATATTTATGGACCTTCCTATGCTCTGGAGCCTTGGCCCTGTGAGAAATAGGCACTCCTTTCATAAATTTAGAAAGATTTACTAAACCTTATAAAAAATACAACAGAAGACAGACTAGAGAAAATGTTATGGCACTGGGTGCAAAGGATTTTCTCCACCATGCGCTCACCCACACAATGGACGTTTCACCTTTTAACCCTTGAGCCCCTCCCAAAATTCCAAAATTCTGTCTATCGACTCCGTTCTGCTGTCCAGAGGTGGAGGTCACTTCCTCTAATCTTGATTGGAGGTCAGATGTCACCATAGTGACAAACCGACCCTCCCAAATATCCCAACCGCGGCTGTCCCTTGATAATAACTCAGGGGGTAAAAAAAAAAAAAAAAGTTTTCTTAGCTTATATACGTGATATTTGTCTGTTAATTGTGAGAGTCAATCATCGCATGTATCTGGGCCGCAGGGCTGGGACCGGCCGAGCCGCCAGGCCCTGCGGAGCACAGGGGAAATCCTCACCGCTGCGAGCACAGGGCCCGCTTCAGCCGGGAGGGGAAAACTCGGCCCCGGGGACACGGGCTGCCCACCCCGGGCTCGGTGAAAGGCCTCGGCCGCGGGGACACGGGCTCATATCACCCGGGGAGGAGGAAGCCCTCAGCCTCCAGGGGCTGCTGGGGACACCGGTCGCGGCGCTCACCCATCTCCCGGCACCTCCCGCAGCTTGAGGCCGAGGGCCCGGAGCTGCCCGGCGAGGCCGCCGCTGTGGCCCGCAGCGGAGCCCGGGGAAGGGCCGGCGGGGGCCTGGCGGGGCCGGCGGCCCTTCCTGGCGGCGGCGGGCCGGGCCCTGCCCGCCTGTTTGCGGGACATCCCCGGCGGGGCCGCCTCAGCGCCGCTCCCTCAGCGCCGCCGCGCCGGGGCCGCGTCATGTGGGCGGCACCGTGAGGAGGGGCGGGAAAGGGAGCGGGGAACTGAGGGTTGTGAGGGAAAGCAGGAGCGGCGGAGGGAAGCAGCGCCACAGATCACCAGGGTTGTACCAAAAGCTGCCCGAGTACGGCTAATTGGCCTCTGCTGCTAATTGCACTCCCCCTCGCGCAAGAGCATTTCCCGGCACAGCTCCCGGACCTGACCTCACGGGTGGGCGATTTCTGCTGCCGCTCTGCGCCGGGACACGCCGCCCCAGACCGTGTCTGCTCAGCCCAGATCACCGCTCCTCACCCCCAAATCACCGCTGTTCACCCCCAAATCACCGCTGTTCACCCCCAAATCACCGCTGTTCACCCCCAAATCCCTGCTGCTCAGCCCCAAATCTCCGCTGTTCAGCCCCAAATTCCCGCTGTTAACCCCAAATCCCCGCTGTTCACCCCAATCCCCGCTGTTCACCCCCAAATCCCTGCTGCTCAGCCCCAAATCCCCGCTGCTCAGCCCCAAATTACCGTTGCTCAGCCACAAATCACCTCTGCTCAGCCCCAAATCCCCGCTGTTCAGCCCCAAATCCCGACTGCTCACCCCCAAATCCCCGCTGCTCACCCCCAAATCCCGACTGCTCACCCCCAAATCCCCCTGCTCACCCCCAAATCCCCCTGCTCACCCCAAAATCCCCGCTGCTCAGCCCCCATCCCCACTGATCAGCTTCAAATCCCGACTGCTCAGCCCCAATCCCCGCTGCTCAGCCCCAAATCCCGACTGCTCACCCCCAAATCCCCACTGTTCACCCCCAAATCCCCGCTGCTCACCCCCAAATCCCCGCTGCTCAGCCCCAAATCCCCGCTGTTCACCCCCAAATCCCCCCTCCTCACCCCCAAATCCCCGCTGTTCACCCCCAAATCCCTGCTGTTCAGCCCAAAATCCCCCCTCTTCACCCCCAAATCCCCGCTGCTCAGCCCCAAATCCCCGCTGCTCACCCCTAAATCCCGACTGCTCAGCCCCAAATCCCCCCTCCTCACCCCCAAATCCCCGCTGCTCAGCCCCCATCCCCGCTGATCAGCTTCAAATCCCGACTGCTCAGCCCCAAATCCCCGCTGCTCAGCCCCAAATCACCGCTGCTCACCTCCAAATCCCCACTGCTCAGCCCCAAATCCCCCCTCCTCACCCCCAAATCCCCGCTGCTCAACCCCAAATCCCCGCTGTTCACCCCCAAATCCCCGCTGTTCAGCCCCAAATCCCCGCTGTTCAGCCCCAAATCACCGCTGCTCACCCCCAAATCCCTGCTGTTCAGCCCCAAATACCCCCTCCTCACCCCCAAATCCCCGCTGCTCACCCCCAAATCCCCACTGCTCAGCCCCAAATCCCCTCTCCTCACCCCCAAATCCCCGCTGTTCAGACCCAAATCACCACTGCTCAGCCCCAAATCCCCGCTGCTCAGCCCAGATCACCGCTGCTCAGTCCCAAATCCCCGCTGCTCAGCCCCAAATCCCCGCTGCTCAGCCCCAATCCCCGCTGCTCACCCCCAAATCCCCCTTCCTCACCCCCAAATCCCCGCTGTTCAGCCCCAAATCCCCCCTCCTCACCCCCAAATCCCCGCTGTTCAGCCCCAAATCCCCCCTCCTCACCCCCAAATCCCCGCTGTGAAATGAACTCGCAGCAGACCAAGGGGGCGAGCAGCCGGAGTACCCGCGAGGTGGCACCAGGAGAACGGGGCTGACAGCAGCGGCAGGGCAGGAGCGGAGCCGAGGCTGAAACGATTAATTAAATGTGCTAAGTGTAATAAACGGAACCTCCGCGTCCTGCTTCCTCCAGCACTGAGGGAAATGCCTCCCAGGATGCTGGAAAAGGGGCACAGCAAATGGGTGATTTGTCTGGAGCAGCGCTCTTGGGGAGGATTGCCTGCCATCCTCTTCTCTTTGGCTCTTCCACTTGTCCCACAGGAACCAGTTAAAGGGAGCACCCAGCAGCAGCACCCACCAGGGCATCGCTGTGACTCTGGTTTCCTCTGCTGGTGTCGTGGCAGAAACTGCCTGATGCTGTCAGAACTGCTGCACATCGGCCGAGTCCACAGGAGGCCAGGATGAGCAGAGGGATGGAGTACCTCTCCCGTGAGGGGAGGATGGGAGAAATGGGATTGCTCAGCTTGGAGAAAAGAAGGGTCCGGGGTGATGTAACTGGAGCTTTTCAGTAGCTTTCTCATCAAGGAACTGACAAGGAAGATGGAGGGAGACTGGAAAAAGGCCTGGAGTGCCAGGATAAGGGGGAATGGCTTCCACTGCCAGAGGGCAGAGATAGATGGGATACTGGGAAGAAATCCTTCCCGGTGAGGGTGGGGAGGCTGTGGCTGCCCAGAGCAGCTGTGGCTGCCCCTGGATCCCTGACACTGCCCAAGGCCAGGCTGGACAGGACTTGGAGCACCCTGGGACAGTGGAAGGTGCCCCTGCCATGGCACAGAGGGCACTGGATGAGCTTTAAGGCTCCTTCCAGCCCACACCAATCTGGGATTCCGGGATTCTATGAATTTCTAATTCCTAGCTCAGAAGGCACATCCAAACAGCTTTGTGAGGAACGCTAACAAAACAGTCTCAGGAATACAATAAGAGGCTTCAAATCACACAAATTTTTAAGTTGTATATCATTTTTCTCTTCCTCTTGTGCAGAGTCAGGAGAAGCTGAACCACAGCTCAGCACAGGGAGGAGCTCACAGGAGTATCCCCAGTATCTTCTGGGATGTTTGGCTTCTGGCACATGAGGATTTTTACTAGGAATGACACAACTCTTCTTTTATATCTATTTCCTGCTATAAACAATTCCATACAAAGCATTTCACAGAAACGCATTTTGTTATGCAAACACACTAAAAGCGGGAAAACAGCGTGAGTACATAAACGGATTGCAAATGATTAATGAGGCAGTAATTAGCCAGAGGAGCATTAACGGGCTGGGAGCAGTTCAGAAAAGCAGAAGGCACGTGCCAGCCAGGGAGCATCACTTGTGACACCAGAGACAAAGTGGAGCTGGAATCAGGGCTTGGCTGAAAACTTTGTCAGTGGAGGACAACAAAAAACTTTTTCCAGCACACAAGACAAGAGACACAGACAAGTCACCTCCACCCACTGGTAGGACACAGAGCAGTTAGACATGGAGCATAGATTCATCCCAACTAATTTAAAACTTTTTATGTTAGGAGTGGAGTTGTCCCTCTTGGTGTCTGTTCCAACTTCCAACATCTGCAAGGTATTTTTATATTGTTCTAGTAATTAGGAATCAGGAGATTTTAAGACATTTCCATTTTGGATATGGGAACTGACAGAGCAAATTTGAAGCTTCTAAACTATTGTAATAGGGGGCAGTCTGTTTTCTACTTTCCCAGATCTTTTTTAGCAGCATGGACTTGCTGACAAAGAGTTATATGAAATGCAAAAGAACATTTTCTTTTTAAAGATAAATGAGTCTTGCAGTTCACCAGCCCACTTCCAGACATTTCCGCACTTTGATACCAGCTTCTGAAACTGAGAGATATTCAGGCTCCTACAATTTGGGGTCATCCAAAAGTCCATCAAGCACCACAACATGCCACATCAGCAGAAATGCAGCAGTGCTCAGGCCCTTTGACGAAGTTTGCTTACGACAAACCTTCTATTTCTCAGCAAATAAGAACAAATTCTTCCCACCTCATCCCCCTCCAGTGAGTTCATGAGATTAGAGCCTTCCTGAACTCCCTGTCCTCCTCATCTGCAGTTGTTTCATTTCTTTCTGCTGCTCCTCTCCGGGAGGGAGGGGCTGGGACTTGGGGGCACAGGCAGTGTGAACATGCAGGAGCACTGGAGGCTACCAGTGTGGTACTGTGTGTCTTCTGCTGCTAACACGGACCTCATCTGGCTTTTTGGGATTGGTGGTTTTTCCCTTCCTTCTTTCGTTCCTTCCTTCCATGGGATTCTTGCTGAGAAACCATCTGTATTTTACTCCTCAAATAAAAAGGCAGAAAGAAATTACAGACTGAGGGATTTTGTTCAGTTATTTTTTTCAGATCAGATGAATATTCACAAAATCACTCAAGAAGGGCATTCCCAAGTGCACAAGTGAACAAACAAAGAAGATGGTCCCACCATCTGGGACACTGGTCTTGCTTTTAGTTTCCTCATGGACTCTCAGAGACCCTGTGTGGGCCTCAGTCGTGCTTCAGTTTGTACTAAAAACCTTCTGATTACTAAAACAAACAGGACAAAGGAGTTAACCTAGGCTGAAAAAAGAGATACCCTGGGATAAAAGAGCTAACAACAACTGGACATTCAACAATCAAATTAATAATTTCAATCTCATTCTTCACTTGGTACTGTATGGTAGTAAGTATTTCTACACCAAGAGCAAACTTCCTACCCAGAGAGCACAAAACTGATGATACATATGCTTTAACCAAAGCACTGCATTCTGCATCCAATGTCAGAAACAGGTAATTCCCCCAAGCCTGGCACTGTCTAGCAGAGCACTGTTTGGAGAACAATGAAATTGCTTTCATCTAAGAGAGTTCTAATTTAATAACAATGGTGGTGTCTTGCTGTCAGAGTGGTCTGCTAATAGCATGGAGTCTGCTTCCGGACAGGAATTGCCCACTGATATTATCAGTCCTTGTAAACTGTCTTGGCTGGGAAGTCAATCATTAACTCTGGTCCCCATGTCATAAAAACATCATATTGTAAGAGCTTGACTCGCTTAAGGCTCTCACTAATCAATCAAGCATACAACAGGAATACAGCAACACATAAAAGGAGCCAGAGGCTCGGGAAATCCTTCAGCTAAGGGGAGACAAGCTGTGCTGAGGTTTATCTCCATGGAGAAATCCACTGACAAGCCAAACAAGGAAAACAGCTCCTCAGCTCCCGGAGTACTGCAAGCTGAGGCAGACGGTGCAGCGCCCGTGGCAGGAGGTGCTGCAGAAATGAGCGGAGCAGGATCCGTAACACAAAACTCAAAACGTGAGAAGAGAGTGGGATTCACTGAAGAGTGCACTGAAGAAATGGAGAGGCCTTCAGGAACAGAGAGAGACAATCCTGCTGCCTTTAAACCAGCAGTTTTGGAACAAGACTCTCCAAACTCAAGGCCACTTGCTGTGCTAATGGACACAAACTCTCCCGAAATGAGCACGTTGGAACTGAACCACCAGTGCTCAGACACAGCCACCCTGGACATGGACTGCATGATCTGCTTCAACAAGTACAGCATCTACAGAGTCCCAAAGCTCCTGGACTGCCAGCACACCTTCTGTGCCGTCTGCCTCAAGCTGATCCTCAGGAAAGAGGAGAACACCTGGACAATCACCTGCCCTCTTTGCAGAAAACCCACCTTGGTGTCAGGAGGGCTCATCCGCACGCTCCAGAATAAAGAAGACATCCTGGAGCGCTTGGAGAACCTTGATTCAAACCCTGAGGTGTACATCTGTGCCATGGGGCTGGATGGCAACAGCTGGACTCGGAGCAGCCAGGACATTTTGAACACGGAGGAAAACAGCCCGGCACACAGCAGCCAGGCTGTGCAGAGACTCCTGCTGCTCCTGCTGCTGGGGGTGATCCTCGCCATGCTCATCCTGCCCTTTATGTACTCAGGGAGAGTGAAGTGGGTAATTTGCCTCCTGCTTACTTTGGGGTTGCTCATGTCTGTAGTGCTTTGCTGCACTCCTAAATTGCACTGCAGGTGCAAGAAGGACTCCCCTGCCTCCTGTGACAAGGAGATCCACGTTGTTACTGTTGCCTGAAACAGCTAACCTGCCTGTCCCGGAGTTCAGGGACTGGGCCAGTGTGCACACTGGGCACACCAGTGAATTTTGGACTTAAAAACAATCTCTCAGAGAATAAATTCAACAGTTGGCTGAGCTGGCTCAATGCCAATGCACACTCTTGTTAAATCTCATTACTGCAAACAAAATGAACTATTTATATGTTGATATTTATGTGTTTTCACTTTTTTTTTTTTATTAGTAATTGTGTTGGTTTGCTTTTGCCATTTTGTTCATGTCTGTGTCCTCTCCTGATCAGCCCTGCAGGATGTTATCTGGAACACCTGGGAGGTGATGTCCTGCAAAACCCCGGGGTGCTGTCCCCACTCTGAACACACGGACACCTTTCCTTAGGACAGTGTGGGAAACAAGGCTGCTAAATCAGGGAGTGGGTGTTTGGAGGAGAGTTGTTTTAACCCAGATTATCACCTTAATCCCTGCTAGGGATGGGAAAAGGGGATGTCAGTTGATGCTATTTGAAGTTACACACAAAATTGGAGAGGAAGAGGTAAAATCAATACTCCTGATCTTGAGTTCATGGTTTGCAAAGGGCAAGGCTCAAAAGCCTCATGACCCTCCAAATTCCCCACATTTTTTAGCACAGAAATAGTTCCTCTCACCTGAATTCCTTTATCTGGCAACCTGCAGGACTTCTCTTCTTGCCCCCTTTTACACTGAAGATGCTCACAGAAGTAAACAGAAATCCATTGACTGCTGCGCCACACCACGTGATATTTTTTAATTGAATGTCTCCATTAAATTTAAATAATATGAACTGTTAATTGACTTCTTTGTTTCAATTCCTCATGGACAATTAATGTCAAAACAATTCCTAGTTTCCTTATTGACAGAGATTGCAGCTGAGAAAGCATATTAAGGTGTCTACAGAGCTGAGTTGGTGAGTAAAGCAAAGCAGTAAAGTGTTGGAGTATTCCTTCATTTAAAAAAATACTTAGGTGCTAAGAAAATACCCTGAAACCCAACTAAAATTAAACTGAGGGAAAAAGATTTCTCTAGTTAAACTGTATGTTTAAGTGTGTCAAGTATCTCAAGAGACCTTGGATCAGGTAAATATTTGTGTTTGATAAGAATGGAAACTGATGTCCTGCAGTTGCTCAGTATATAAATACACAGAGTGTCTCACAGCAGATAAAACAGATTAGACTAAGAGGGTAGGAGTTCTTGTGCAGCTAAAGTCTTGGAAAACACAGGTTTGTTTTCTGCCAGGAACAGGAGCCTTCAGGGGAAATAAATCCTTTGGATTTTCTCATCTCTTTGGGCAGCAACTGCAGGCTTACTGCAGAATACATATGACATTTGCTAATAACCAACCGAAAAAAAAAAAAAAGGAAAAAAAGGCCGGTAGTTTTAAACCCAAATACTATATTGTTCCAAATATAAAAACTGGACCAGATATTTACCTGCACTAAAAATAATTTCAGAAACACTTGGCAAGTCTTAAAGCTCACAGACAATATTCTTGTCGAGTTCCCTTCACCAACACCAGTACGTGCCTGGTATTGTAAAGGTCTGTGACAAATGAATTAATATTGGCCTGAACAGATCACTCACAAGGAATCCTGCCACCCCATGTATGTTTTCAGCACATGGGTGTGAAGAAATGAAAACAGAATGAACATGATCAGTGAAATCTGTTATTATGCTTCAAGATGCCCTTCCAAAATAATTGTTTTATTGCACTACTTTCTACAGAACCAAAAAAAAAAAAAAAAAAAAAAAAAAAGGTCAAGAGGAAGCATACAGAAGTGTGATTTCCAGGGTGAGACTGGCCCTCTGAAAGAATCCTTATGGATCCATAGAATTAAAGTTTCCTCTCACAGTGCAGCACCTTCCAAGTTCTCCTTCAGCAGTTGCACTGAAATGTTTTGCAGCCTGAGAGCCACTAACACCCGGGTGATTCAGAGTTCCCGATGCCGGTGGCAGTCATGAGGCTCTGGAACCTGGTACCTTTTGAACAGATTCCCATCTGACAGGATAATTAGGCTCAATAACCATGCAAGACTTTGCAGCGGCAATTAAGTTTATAGAGAAAAGGTTAACGGGATTATATTTCTATTCCAAAATATAAAGGATTTGCTTGTACTCAAGTTTAATTCATGTTGGTCATTTTGGTGAGAAAGTTTCAGCTCTGAAGTCCCATGCTGCGTTTACCTTACCTGGCTAGCTCCTGATTTTGGATAGTAACTGGGTAATGCACTGTGGCCTGAGAGAGAGGAAATTATAATGAGAAATGGGGCTAGGCAGCATCCCCTCATCCCTCGCCATCCCCTCATCCCTCGCCATCCCCTCATGTTATCCCGGGGTCAGCTCGGTTGGCTGGAGCATGGTACTGACAGCACAAAGCTCGTGGGTTTGATTCCTTCATTGGGCCATTCACTTCATGATCACTTCATGAGCACTGCGGGTCCCTTCCGATTCAGAATTCAGAATTCAGAATTCAGAATACGCTGTGATCCCCTCAGCGCCCTCAGCCCCTCAGCCCAGGGCGGCTGCCGCCCTCAGCCGCGCCGATGGCGCAGTGCCGGCGGGCAGCCGGGCCGGGCCGGGCCGGGCCGGGCCGGGCAGGAAGGGGCGGGCGCTGCCGGCGGTAGTCGGTGCTCGGTTCCCGTTCGCGGTGTTCCGTTCCCGTTCGCGGTGCTCGGTTCCCGGTGCTCGGTACTCGGCCGGGCCGGCAGCAGGTCGGGCGGCTGTGAGAGGGGCTGGGCGGGAGCAGCAGCGCGGGCTGAGGGGTGAGCGGGCGGCGCGGTCCCCTCAGGCCGCTCGCTTGCTCTGGCCGCTGCTTCCCTCCCCTCAGCGTGGCCAGAAGCGCCGCTTTCCGTAAATAAGCGCCTGGGATGGATCAGCAGAGACTTCAGACGTGAAGGAATTGTGGTAAACGTGAACACGGGCAGCTGTGGCGGTGTCCGCCCTCACGGCTCCCCCGGCCGAGGTGCTGCCTTCACTCTTCTCCGTGTGCTGTTCCCCCTCCGCAGCTTTGCTCACCCACTGTGAGAACATCGCTTCTCAGCCGCTGCTGTGCAAACTTTAGGATTAACTGAACTAAACACGCTCACTTTTCCAACTACTTATGCTTTGGGTTTCTCCATGTCCCTGACCCCTGGAACTCTGATCACTGTGACCTATCCATAATGCATTTTCATGTTTTTGCATTGAGCCAGATCTGAATTAATGGCATTCCGTATTTATACCTGGTATCTACAGATTAAAAGCCCCTCTGGAGCCATGTGCAGGTCCCCAAAAATTCTCTTTTGCCCAAATGTTTCCACAGTCACAGCGTTGTGTGCAATGCATAACCACAAGTGGGCTGTGCTGTCCCTACTGTGCCTTACACGGAACGATTTGGCCAGCCTTGTCTTGAATAATTACCTACAACCTCATTAACTTTGGGAGGTTGTGGAGATGATGGTTTGGTTGCCTTTGTCACAGTTTAGTACAAACACGATGCCAGCCTGTCTCTATTTCCTCTTTCAGCTGCAGGGGACTCGTGTATTGTACAGCTTTAGATCCCCAAAGGAATTATCTTTCTGCTTTCCAAACAGGAATGTGTTATCTGCTGTATAAAATACATAATTTCTCAAGAAAACAAAGGGCTTTGTTTGAAAATTGAGAGCTGGAAGTGATAAAAAATTTTCTTTCAAGTGACAGTTCAGATTATGGCAATGCTCTTGATTGCTGAACGACATTGTTCGAGGCACGGATCAGAATTCCAGAGCCATGAGATGTAAAAACTTTTGGAATAAATAACTTTTGGAATATGTTTTTAACTCTCAATTCCCTCATCTTGGATTTGTGGCAAAACTTCTTGACCTGAGTTTTCTTTAGTAAATCACACCCTGCCCGTTTTTCACGCTGTATGTCTGAAAATCCTATGCCCATTATTTCCTACGTGTTTATAAGGAAAAAGATACTTGTGTAGAGGGAAGTACATTGATCTGAACATCTTCAGAGCAAAGCCTTCCAGAAACTTTCTCTGGATATTTTAGCTACTCAGCACTCTGAATTGTTTGTTGCATGCCAGGAGACACCATGGTGTTGCTCCATTACTGCTCCATATTTTATGTTATTAGGAAATTAGGTTAAACAGTTATACTGCTCATAGATCCTTTTTAGCTGCTTCGCGTTTCATATGAGTGCAAGTTAAGAAATCAATAAATCTGTCAGGGAAGGGGGTTTTATTTTCAGTGCTGTCTCCCATAATGTGTCCAGAGGTGAGCAGACATGACAAATAATTGTAAAATTATTGAAACTTTAGCATTAGACCTGGGAAAATTGGTCTGGAAGTTTGGATGTTTAGGGTTTCTGAGTAGGAAAGCAGGACAGACACCTTTCTTAAAGGACCATGACAGATGGCATGCAGATAATAAATTCTCTCTAAAAAGAGCAGCTCCTGTTGCATTTTTTTCTTTTAGGGCTCTAAAACAATCCATAAATGGTCTGCATCCCCTGGGAGTCACTTGTAGTGTCATGGGCTCCTAATTCCTATTTAGCCAGGGTGTGGAAGAAAGGAAGTATTTCCATTTGAACTATAAAATGAAATGGGTGATTTGGGCCCCTTAGAAACTGAATGGATCTTAAGGTAGTCAGTAGAAATTCCAGATGATGGAAGTGAGCCCTAGACCAGGTTGTTACCCAGGTTGAATTTGCTATGAGCTGTTGTCACCTCTGCCTGAGGTCTCAGTTTGCTGCTGGCACCATCAGGGGAGCAGCTGGAAGCCTATCACTTGAAAGTTTTGCACATTTACACTCTAAAAAATAAAAGCTTGCCCCAGATCACGATCCTTGTGGTGCAGGGATCTTATTTTTAGGGAAAGAGCAGTGGTAGGTTGTATAGAAGCAAAGCACAGCAATGACCGTGGGACACATCAAAGTCCTTCTCAGAGGCTGCAGCTGGACTCAACTTTCCTAATGCTGTCAGCAAAACAAACAGGAGCAATTTGAGTTGAGGATGAGGGAGGAAAATTATTTCCCAGCCAGGTGGTCCCTACACCAGGGGCAGAGCTTTTATTTTCATGTTATTTTTGCAGTAAATGTGGGACTGATAGGCCTGAATGGAGCCCAGTCCCAAAGGGAACCCAAAGGTTGAAATACTTATGATCACCTAATGTTGTGCAAAACGTTTGAAAATTGGTGAACTGTTCTTCTGTGTCCTGTTTCTGTGTCTTCTTTGGTCACAGCAGTGTGTCAAAGGCAATTTGTCTCCTCACTTCCTGGTTTCCAACTGTTTGCTGTTTTTTTTTCTGCTGCCTTTTCCTCCTTGATCTTGCAGGTGAAAATGGCTGCGGAAGAGAAGTGGAAAGGCTGGGCTTGGAAACAGCAAAAGGCGGCTGAGCCCGGCGGGGAGAGGGAGCCGGGTGTGCTCCTGGGCCGGCAGCTGCCTGAGGCCGGGAGATTCGCGTACGCGGCGCTGTGCGGCATTTCCCTCGCCTGGCTGTTCCCTGAAAACGAGCAAAGGTACAACTGCAGCGAGGCCTGACACGCCAGGTGGATTTTGGGGGGTGGCTCAGCCAGAGCTGGTGTCAGACTCCTTGCGGGGTCTTCTGAATTTGGGGGAGTGGAAGAGTCTTTCTGGCTTGCACCTGTAAGGCTTTTACAATTCAGCACAAAACACATCTGTTAACACTGCAGACATCAAAGCACGTTCTGAAGCAAGGTCTAGTCCCACTCAGATTGTTTCCTTGTTTATTTAGCCAGTTTGTTTAGCAATTCACCTTCTTCTGACTCCTGATGCTTTGATTTTTGTGTGACTCAGTGTTTGAAACCAAGGACTGCTCAAAGCTTCCAAAAATACCCAGTTGTGGAGCCTTGAAATACCCATTTGTGAAGCCTTAGCTGCTTATGTTGCCTTACAGCTCCTTCAGGACAGAATTCATCAAGGGCTTTGTGAAGTGGCTGGACCTGCCTGATGCTGTCTTACCTGCCATGACAGCCTTTGCTGATGGCTTAGGAGGTGAGGGCACAGAAACTTTCACTGAAATTTTGCTGAAGGATCCCATCTTGAAAGAAAATCCACTTCTTATTACCCAGGTAAGTCCATGTGCTCTCCTCTCCCTTGTTTGCTTCGCAAAAGAGGTTTGTCATATATATCTGCTTGCAGCTGAAGTGCTGTTTGTGCAGTCAGGGAAATAAAATCAATATTTCTGTTAGGTATTTATCTATAAGCAGCTGTGGGGGAACTGGCAGTCCATCCATAAAGACCTCATGGAAAGGATGATTGTGAAGCATGGTCACTGTCTGCTGAGTTGTGTCTTTGATGGTTTCACTCTACAGAACAGAGAACTGACAAAGTTTTTACTTTGATTGTGTAACTGCAGTGGTCTCCATTCATACACATGTTGTGCAGATTTTAGTGACATCATAGTAGACATGAACACAGTAGACATGATTTTCACTTGTTTGAAAGCCCCTTCACTGTATATGTATCACAAACCACCTCCACATACATGCTCCAAGGAGCAAAATATCCAAAGTCTTTTTCCCAGAGTACATTTTGACCAGAAGGAAATTATTTTGACTTTATTTTCTTTCACTGAGGAAATGAAACTGGGACTGCTCCATAATGTTCTTTGGTAAAAGCTGGTGCAAAGATAAAAGAGGTGAAGCATTTTGTCAGTGTTTGCTTTTGCTGGGGAAGATCTCTTCTCATCCAACCTCATGTTATGCCATGCAGGGTGAAGAAAGCGTTAGCTGCTGCTGGTGCCACACAGAAGGTGGGCACTGTCACCCTGTGCCAGACACCCTGCCTACACCCTGTGCTCTGGTATTGACTGATTAAGGGCTATCACACACTCACCTTGAGCAATGGCCTGGCAGAGCAGCAAATGTGAGAACTCGGCTATGTTAGGGGAGATAAGAGAGCAGTGAACTTCTCTGGTCACCTTGACCAATTCACATTTCTTCAGCCACCTTTTCCTGTCTCCTGTCAGTCCATGAAATGCCTCAGAGGATCTGCTCCTGGACCAAAGTTCCAGTGCCCAAAGTCCTACAATAGTACAAGGACAGCAACAGAGATCTTAATAATTTAGAGCAGATCTTCTAAAATAAAAGTGGCTCTTTGGATGCTGTTTCCTCAAATTCAATACATCCACACTGATTCTTTCTGCCTTGATGTGCTTCCTGCATTGTTTCCCTCATTCTCTCTGCCTCAGGATGGATTCTCTGCATTGAGGCAGATTTTCCTGCATTGCTGCTGAGTTCATTAAGGGTGAAATTTAGCTTGTGCTATCTCTGACCTTATGCTGCATGGGGGTTCCCTGTGCTTGTACAAAAGTGGCTTGTACAAAAGTGGCTCTGGATCAGCGGGAGCACCCGGGATTTTGCCCTGATAGGAAACTGAGGATATCCTCTGGATTTTGGTGGAATACAGGAACCATAGACAACTTTGATCAGTTGAAAGCAAAGATAAGGAAAAACTATCAGTCTAATGCCATAGCAGCAATCCCTTAGGCATGTGGGCAAGATGATTGATTTTGTCGGGAGGAGAGGCAGAATGAAAGACTTCAGCAGAGCAAGGCAGCAGAGGTGTGTCTGGAAAAAACCACTGGTGTTTGGCAAACATAATGATAAGCTGAGATCAGCTTTTTCCTTCTTACCTGGAAATAAACAAGCTACGGGACAAAGCTTTATGAATTATTGATCTTTTGCTTTATGGTTCTAGTGCTCCTTTGTATTCAGCTGCTACTGATGCAATATTTACTGTTTATTAAGTATCTGCTGTAATTGCTCAGGGCATTCAGTGGGAAGGTCTTGCTGGCACTAATGCTGCATTTTTTGAAGGCTCTTCATGTCAAAGGAGCTGAAGAGATGATCCGTGAAGTCAGGAGATTGTGAGCTCACCACTGATTCAATGAACATCTGAGGATTATGGATTGTTATCTTTGTGTCTTTTGTGTCATTGCAGATGACTAACACAGGCAGATGGTGGTAACTGAATCCTTTAAAGACAGTAGTCATAGCAGGCTGTGGGTGTGGTATGAGAAGGCAATGTAATAAAAAAGGCGTAGAAGCTGTGATAGGTGATTAAACATTGAAAATTCTTATTATTAATATGTGTTTTGCTCTGAACATATTTAGAATGCCCATTTTCCAGTGGTTTCCTACCCACATTGACTGCAATGTGGATTTGAGGCTCTCTGTTGTTAAGGAAGTGGGTTTTGAATTTGCATCAACTCAGAAAAAGCTGGCAAAGACTGAATAAAGACTCCCTTCTTTTGTAAGGCTTCTCAGTCATATGGGTGGTTGTCTTGTCATGGAGTTTTCATGGAGATTCAAAACACTGACTTCAGAATAAGGTTGCAATATAACAACTGCTACTTAGGGAGGAAAACAAACCAGTTGTGAACTAATCTAATCACTGCTGGTTGGATTCCAGCTGCCTGCATGTGCAGTATGTGTACGGCCTAAACTGCATCTTAAATTTGAGTGTACTAACTGGCATAGATGCCATAAAAGCAGTTTTTGCAGTTTATCACCTGTTACCTACGTGTATCCCTGACCTTTTGAAAGGCTTGTGTGTACCTGCAGATTTATTTGGGGTGGTTTGATACGAGGTGTCAGAGGTAATACTGGGCAGACAGGACAGGACCTGAGTCACAGCCCTGACTCCCCGAGCCTCACTCAAGGAGAGTTTATTGCCCACAAACCATCACCTCTTCCAGAGGCTGCTTATGTCAGTCCATGGAAAATTGTGGCAACAAGATCACAAGCTTCACCTTATTCTAGACTCAAGGCCCTTTGCTTGGTCAGCTTTTTGCTCAAGGCTCACAGCCCTGCACCTTCTGCTGGGCTTTGACACCTCTGTGCCAACTCTTCCCCCAGAAATGCACCCAGAGAGGTGGTGATGGTGCCCACATAGTTCATCCCTGGGCACTCCCAGTACTCAGGCTTTGGGAAACCAGTTACATCCCTCCCTCTGCACTGGTGTATCGAATTCCCACACCCCACCAGCCAGCCTGGGGAACAGTCTGCAGTGTGTCCCTCTTCTGGTTGGTTCAGGATGGTTTGTTCTGCATTCTGCACTTCTCATGGGTAGGACTCTCAGGTTAGAGACGTTTTTACTATACAAACTGTTCTTGGGAGCTTACAGGACTAATAATCATAAACTCTTTGGCAGCCTCCTACATCTTTGGCTGCATTTTTTGTGTTCCCAGAGGGCTGAAAGGATTCTGTGTAAAATTCAGCTGTATTGTATTTGTGTGTAGGAGAGGGAAGCAGCTCAACTGAGTTGGTGCTTAATGTAGTCACATAAAGAGCTTAGAATTTGTCCAGTGGCAATAAAAGAGGAGAACACAGTTGTAAAAACACTGGTCTCTTTTTCATGGATTTATCCATAGAAACCATCTATTGAATTGATTTGTTTTTTCTTTTTTTTTTTATGGTAAAGAGCCAATCCAGAAGTCAAGTCCCTCAATCTTGATAGATGGCCATAAATTCTGAGTTTTAACTTAATCCAAAAGAACTTCATGCCAGTTCAGCCTTACTGCCTAAAGCTGTGAATTCCCAGAATGCCAAAGAAAATAGGGGCCATTAGAGGAACATTCAGACCTGTTAGTGATGTTGCATATGTGACTCTAGGGAGCAGAAGGCATTGGAATGGGAGGATTAGAGCCCTGCTCTTCCAAACTTTGAAGTCTGGTGTAAGATCAGGATCATAACAAAATAACAAAGAATGTGGGAAGTCTTAGCATATACTAGGCATAATCTGCTTCTGTCCAGCCCTTTGTACTGGCCTTCAGAGAATTTTGAACTGGTTTTGCCCTGTGCTGCCTCACTGAATTGTAACTTTCTGCTTCCCTCTTGTGAACTCAGCTGCTGAAGTAATTCAATCAGTCTGATGGATTTTATGCCTCCATTTTGATCTCGCCAGACCTACATCATCAATTTTAAATTGAATATTCTTTCTTTTTTTTTTTTTTTTTAGGACCTTTTATCATTCTCTCTTCAAGATGGTAAGTTTACTTTTTTCTTCGTAAAAATAATATAGTTGAGTTTACATCTGATACTTTGAAGTGCTCAAAAAGGTAGTATCCTATTTCACTTCAGCTTCCTCTCTGGCAAAAACTGCACACTCCTTCCCTGCATCCCTTTCAGGGAAAACAACTCTTCTTTTAGGAATGGTTAATAATACCCACTGAAAATTGAAGAGCTCTTCACCTCTTTACCTTCACACAGCATACATTGGCAAGCAGATGTAAATGATGCTGGAGTGGGGTGGTTTTTCCACAATGTTTCCAGGGAATCAGGTGATCTATTCCTTTAGGAAGGCAGTAAAGCTATTATGAAGATCTCAGCCTAAAATATTTTCTGCTGGTTGCCTAAAAAAAAAAAAAAAATCAGGGTATAAATTCCAGAATGTCCTTGGAAGCCCATTATAAATCAATGTGATTTTTCTCACATATTATATTACACATAAAACAATTCTCTGGCTTGCAGTCCATTACATGGATTAGTCTGATAAAATTAATGAAATAAAGACTGTCTGCTGAACAGAATGTTCATTTCTAAAAGAAACCTGGATTCTATCACTGCTTGCATTTTTTTCAATCTCTGTGTTTTAGCATGTTCTCACAGGAAAGAACTCACTGGTTGCTGATTAGCCTGTTGCACTGCAGAACAAAACAAGTTTTGTTCTTACTTTATTTTTAATGGAAAATTGACAAGTCAGTTATTGCAAAACTGCTTATTTTGGGAAGCTGGAATTTAGGAGAAATATCTTTCCAAGCCTCGCTGCCTTCCCACCAGGCTGCTGAGGAAGGAGCACAGCAATGTCAGCAGATAGAAAAAAGAAGGGGGCTCATTCCACCTGTCTGGACTTGCAGGACATGTCACATTTCTGAAGGAGTGAAGATAAATCCTGACCTCATTTCTCAACTAAGCACAAAACTGATCAAGAGTGTCATTAAAGGCTATAGAATTCGTTTGGTATCTTGGTAATTATGGTAATAAAGAAACAATCTTAATAGATTGCCCAATGCCATATTTGATCTACGTGCAGCGGGTATCACAAACATTCTTTGTAATTGGCTCTTGCTGGTATCTTCACCCACCTTGAGAAAAACAATTGTGTTTTTCATCCCAGAGTGCACCAAGAACCCTTTATAAAAGCCAAACATCCTGAAGTAGTAGGTGCTGCTGAGAGAAACACATTAAAAAAGCAAGAGTTGGCACAAATAATTTAAAATCTATTACATTTAAGATGTCTTTTCTTCTAAGATGTCTTTTCTTCAAGAACACCTGCTTACAAAACCAGGAGTAATCAGTTCTGTTGTCTGAGTGCACTGTCCACTCCTGCATCTCCAGCAGGGAGTGTAAAAGCAAACATTTGTCTGTGGTGCTGCTGGGGGAGCTAGTGTGTAGCTTTACACTCCTGAGTGTGTCTTGTTGCCACCAAAGAAGAAGAAGAAGAAGAAGAAGATAAAGGTTTTGCATGGAGGTGCATTTTTACAAAATGCCACCTTCCTGCGGTGGTGCAGTTGATGTGGGCTGTGCTCAGTTACCCACACAGACATGTTTGATATTTCCAGTTAGCAGTGGTCCTGCTGCAGCATTTCTCTGTTGAAAAGTTGCCAGCTGGCCTCTGCCACAGAGGATGGAGACCAAAGGATCTGAGATCCTTTTCCTGCCACAGAGGCTTTACCTGGTGTGGTGGCTCTATTTGGAGGGAGGAAGGATTTTCCATTTATCAGTCTCTTCTCATGTTCCTGGAAGAAAAAGAGGGCCTGGGGGAAGGAGCTGCTCTGTGACACATTCCTTGAGTACTCTGCTCCTCGACTAAACTGTGTCATCAGACAGATCAGACTGATTTCCTGGGCTTTTCTCTCTTCAAGGATCCTATGATGCTCGAGCCAGGGTGTTGATCTGCCGTGTCAGCTGGCTGCTGAGACTTCCCTTGGAAGATCTGGAAGTCCTGGAGGAATCTCTGCTTGAGAGCCTGAAGGACCAAAAAGAGGAAGAGTCAGAGTAAGAACATTCGTGTTGATATGGGATAAAAAAACACTGCCAGTGCTCAAAAACTTAGCAGTAATTACTTGTGCCTAAGTCCAGTCTCTGATTATTCCCCACATGAAATGATTCTTACTGTAATCATTTATGGCTTGATTAGGGTTACAGAGCCCTCACAGCACTGACAAGAGGAAAAGCTCAGCATTGTTAAAATCAGAGCTGAGACCTGGCCTTGCACACTGGTAAAGGCTGTTCTGCACTGAGCTGCCTCCTTTCCTCTTTCCAGTTGCTTCTCAGAGACTGTATATTTTGCATAAATACATCACAAAGATCTTGTTGACTCTTGGCCCAATAGCCTTCAGATAGAACTGCCTCTTGCAGAATGAAGTTCCTACAGATAATCAGGATTAGATCCTCAGCTGTTCATTGTCTCTGGATCTGTCTTTAAGCATCTTTAAGAGACAGCTGGATGACTCCTGTTGAAAGGATATTTCTGAGGACAACAGGCTGAATCTTTGGATATGTACAGACCTGGATCATAATTCTATGTTATTAGCATAGGATTAATTCTTGGTATCTATAAGAAATGTAGTATCTTTTTATTCCTCTCATCAGGCAGGAATTGTGTGACAGTTTAGCAGTATTTAAGGCAGTAAACATGTCCATAGTGGACTTTCAAAGGAAATGTTTTCATCTGTCAACTCAGCAAACGGGTTATGAGATTAGCCTGATTGCTAATAAAGCCTTCAGTTGACAGCCTTGCCATGGTTCTGCTCAGATGTTTACCACGGGGTCCAGCATGTGATGGGTAACTTCCAGTAACAGCTGTGTTTAAATAATGCTTAACTTTATAGCACACTGTAAAAAGGGAAAGTCAGAATAATCTCAAAGATCGTGGACTTCTAAACATTTGTTGTGCAGGAGCAAGGGTTGGTATTAATGGTGTCTGTTTTGCTGTAGTTTGTGAAAACAAACTCAGTGCTGTGTCTGATAACAGCAGAAGAACAGTGTGCATTTCAAACCCTGCTGCCAGCCCAGTGGGCTTCCTGTGTGTCTGCTGTGGGATTCCTAGCTTGTCCTTTGCTCAGATTGCAGCCTTGGGATTAAATGTCTATTGGATGAAAAGAGAAAAAAAATCCTTATGGTGAGAGGAGCCCAAGACCACAGTGCAAACACATTGTTGTTGCTGTGCTTTAGCAAGGCTGAAATTTGTGGGGCATTGATGACCCTTTCTTAGGTTTGAAGTCAGGAGTCAGTGGGGAAAGGAAGAAAAATATAAAGCTGTCCTTGACCTCACAGATTTTGGGGCTGGGAAAGGAAGAAAAATATAAAGCTGTCCTTGACCTCACAGATTTTGGGGCTGGGAATACCATTATGCATTTGGGATGCTTCCAGCTTTGACCAACAAGAGGTTTTGGAACAGAAATAACCAACCAGGGGTTTGGCAGCTCCTGCACAGGTGTTTTTACTGATATTTGTTAACAGGAGGTTTTGCTCCTGCCTTTGCTGCTGTGGATATGTTGGATTGAGGCCCAGAACCTATGAGATTAAATGTACAGTCCTCTAAAGAATAATGCTCAAACCACTTAAACCGTGTTAGTTGCACCAAATGTGTTCTGACCTGCAGGTGAGAACCTTTCTTTTGTAGACAGTTCTGTAAGAAACTGGGAAACTTCACAACATTCACTTGCTAATGTGTGCTCCTGCACCTTTCCTTATTGGAAAATGACCTGAAATTCCCCATAACAATCTCTCTGCATATAATTTGTGGTTCAGGCAAGAAGCTGCACATCTGAGCTCGGTGAGTGTAGAGAAATACCAGAAGCAGCAGTTAATTACTGCTGGATAAAAGCAGTTTGGTAATGCAGTGATAATGGTAATGGAGGAGCCATTAGGAAGCAGCTGCTGGCAGCTCCAGAAGGGAAGAAGTGACAGGCAAAACTTCTTTTATTTACTGCATTGGCTGGCAGGATTTAGCTGCCACTCTTTTTCTCCCCATATAACTCAAACTGCTCATTATTCCAACTGACTCAAAGTTAGACATGTTCCAGCTCTCTTGTCATCATTCTCAGCCTGAGACACAGTGCAGTGACTGTAAAAGCTGATGAACCTCATGTAGAACAGAAATTGCTGGGCATTGCTGGCTTAGGTATGAACAGCCTGGCTGCAGCACTCATCTAACGAACTCCAGGAGCAATTTTATCCTAAGCCAAACATTCAGACTGGTGACTAAGGCACCAAGTAGAGCATTTGGTGAGGATGAGAAGAAATGGCCTCAGGCTGTGCCAGAGAAAGTTCAGATTAAATCAGGAGGAATTTCTTAATGGAAGGGGCTGTCAGGCATTGGAGGGGCTTCCCATGGAGGTGGTGGAGTCCCAATCCCTGGAGGTGTCCCAGGAACAACTGGACATGGCTCTCAGTGCTCTGGGCTGGAGACAAGGTGGGGACTGGTCACAGGTTGAACTTGATGGTCCTGGAGATCTTTTCCAACCTCAGTGATTCCATGATTCTCTGATAGCCAAACCCTGCTTTGTCCATGGGGCTGTAGAAGTGGCTGTGGCTGTGCAGAAATTGGAGAGGTGTTGCTCTCTGCAGACACCGTGTTTGCAGCTGCATAAGGTAATGAGCAATGGTTTTTTGGAGGGGCTCTGTGGAGACAAAGTCTCTGTGAGGTGCAGGTCCATGGGAGTTCTGCCAGTGAGTGCAGTGACTCAGGGATTTCACCCACTGAGCTCCATTCCCTTCCTGCTGCACCACACAAAGCTGCATATTGTTTGGGACTTGTGTAAAATTGTCTTAATCAAAATTACAATGTGCTTAGGGGGTTCCAGGAAAGATTAAGCAATTATATGGATAATGAAAATCCAAAATTAGGCTAGGATTAACAGGGAAAATATCCAAGTTTGGAAGCAAGATAAATTGTCACATTTCAAGACCTGGATTAATTGCTGTTTAAACAGAAGGAACCTTCTTCTTGAAACAACTTATCCCAATATCCTCTGTTTCTCCCACTTTCCTCTGAAGTGGAAATACTTCTTGTAAGAGAGAAAACAAAGACAATGGAGAGAAGTCAAAAGTAGTGGCTAATAACTGGTATTTGTTCCTTTTAGGTTTATTTACCTCTTTCTGATAAGCTTGTTAAAATACAGCTTAAATGCACACTGATGACTGTGTTTAATTCCTATTATATTATTATATTGTGATGTGCAATTAGAAAGCAGCTTGTAGTAAACACTGCTTTTGGAAAACAGTTTAATTGCATCTCTGTTGGTTAGCACAAATTACGCCTATTCCCTTTTATTTCAAACACTTTTCCTGTTTCTTCTTAGCTTTCTTGTGGTTTTTTAGGGCACTTAGGCAGCATATAGTTAATGAAATGCTTTTGACTTTTTGTTTCTTTATTTTTTTTTTTACAAGCTTCAGCCCTATTAGGAAGGGTTTTCTGAGTAAGTAATATCTGTTGGCTTTTGTCAGTAATTAAATTGTTTCAGTTTAAATCTGTGGGCCATTTAATCCATTAAATTTAAATCTCTAAATCCATGCTCATAAATCTCAGTGTGCTGTCACAGTCCACACCTGCATGTTCCTTTTTACTGTTCCTGGGAGGGAAGTTACACTGAGGAGAATAAAAGCAGATTCTGATGCAAGATTGTTATCCATTAAGCTTTTCCCTTAGTTTTTGTACTTTTAATTCCCCCACAGAACTGCAGAAGTCTCAAGAAAAAAGAAGGAAAGAAGGAAAAAGCTGAAGAGATACCTGCTGATCGGTCTGGCAACTGTTGGGGGTGGAACAGTGATTGGTGAGGCTGCCTTGGCATTCTGGGGTCACAGCATCAGGGACAGAGAGGGGTCTGACTCCAAGAAAAGTACTTTCAGCCCCACAAAAATAAACATGAAAGATATAGCTGCAAAAGTTATTCTGGTGTAGCTTCACTAGCTGGGGAAAGTCTTAAACTGAGGTTGTCACCCCTTAAAATGTTTTCTCCTTCTTTGCTGTCATAAGAGGATCAGATCTTCAAAAAGTGTGAGATTAGATCAATGTTTCCTGAACAAGCAGAGCAGAGCTCACCCCAAATCACCACATAGTCTTCCTTTGACTTTGAAATTATTCTTCATTCATCTGAAGTCAGCCAGAGAATTTGGACATTGATTCAGGGCCTGGGGAGGGTCTCAGAAAGCCTCTTTATTGAACATGCAAAAAGCTCTTCCATCAGCAGTAGCAGCACAGGGGAGTGCCTGCCTGGGGTTTTTAAGGGATAATAGTTTGGTGATATCTCTTGCTGCATCCTCAGGTCTGACAGGAGGCCTGGCTGCCCCTCTGGTTGCTGCGGGAGCTGCCACGATCATTGGGAGTGCTGGAGCAGCTGCTTTAGGATCCACTGCTGGGATTGCTGTCATGGCATCCCTTTTTGGAGCAGCAGGAGCTGGTCTTACTGGTGAGAGAGTGACCACACCATTCTCAGCCACTGGGGCACAGGATCATGTCTGTAAACACAGTTAATGACCTCACGGAGCTCTCTGCAGAGTGAGGGAAGCAATTTGAGGTGTAATCTGTGAGATTTTGGTCTCAGTGCTAATTAAGGTGCTGTGTAGCCCTGTGACCAAATAGGGAAAGAATATTTGATGTGTGGTTAATGAAGGAAATGAAAACTTCCTGTTTTGGGTTAGAAAGATGCTGCCATGGAGAAAAGCAGCTGTTACAGCAAAAAAAAAAACCCTTCTGCTGGATTCCCTCAAATCAGAAGCGCAGAAAGATCATGTTGGCTCCTTAGTAAGCTATAAGTAATGCATGAGCTGACTGAGGGTTTTGGAAATGAAAAAAACCCTCTCCAGATTACCCAATTAATTTCTTAACAAACTCCTACTGTTAGCAGAGGGTGTCCTTTCTGTGCCATCTCTGAGCCTTGTGTTTCTTCCTGGCTGTGTGTAGGATACAAAATGAAGAAACGTGTGGGAGCCATAGAAGAGTTTGAATTCCTCCCACTTACGGAAGGGAAGCAGCTCCACATCACCATAGCAATCACTGGATGGCTGTGCACTGGCAAATATGGTAAGAACATGATGAAGAAACTGAGAGGAGCTCCAAGAGCCGTGGCTGTGTCCCACTCCAGACTGTATTTGTGCTCACAAAGCACCATGTCTGCCCCACATTTCCATGGCATGGTAACTGAACCATGTCAATTCTCACCATAAGACTTTGCAACCCAATCTGCAATCCCGGGCAAGCAGAGGAAAAAAACCAGGGCATTATGCTGATGGTGAGAGCAGGACTGGGAGCAGCCATAGCAGGATTGTTTCTGATAGGAACTGTTGCATGGTTTTGCCAGAAAAGGTCTGTCTGGGGACAATTGCCAGCACTAGTACAAAGTGTCTCTGAGACCTTATGTTTATCTGCCAGGAATTAACAAAAAATAGTGTGGTTTTGCTCTCTCCATATCTGCCAGCTAATGAGGTTTATTGGCAAGAAAGTTCTGTTAAGTAAATCCTGTTAAGTACAGCACTCTGAAGGTGACTTACAGGGGAAACCTTGCAAGGTCTGTAGTGCTTTATTTTCCAGTGTAGCTTGTCATATAAAATATGTCACCTGCTGCTAAAGTGCTCAGCTTCAGCTGCCTGAACAGCTGCCAGTTTATTGAGAAGTACCATAATTAACTCTGGATATCATTAATGCAGAAGGATGCCTCGCCCTATCACTTGCCAGGCTGCAGCTTGCTGTCACAGGGAACTTTTCCTCACTTTCCAGTGCTGTGCTTTGGCTTCTCTCTCTGCTTGCCAGAGGTCCAAATCCTCAGAGCTGGAGGGCTCCCAGGCACAGTTAGAGAGGCAAGTGTGTCCCTCCAGGAACATTTTGTGTCTGTTTGCCCGTAAAAGGGAGTTAGAGATGACACACATTCTTCTTCCATAACTAGCAATCTGCTAGAATGTTTTAAAGAGCAAAACTAGGGTTGTCATCCATTTTCCTCCTTACAGCAGTGTCTGTCTGTGTACACAGTCCTTCAAACAGAGGGACTGAGAACAGGAGTTAAGGAATTTGCCACCTTGTGATTTTGGAGCTGCCAGTAGTTGCCAATCCATGTGTTCCCAAATAAGACACACTATTGGGGGGATCTTGTGTTTCTTTGATCAGCAGCTGCCTCAACCTCACCTGCATTGTTTGGGGAAGAAACACTGTAGGAAGGCTTTTAATTAATTAAGATGACAGTTCTGCTCTGCCCTTCAGTGTTGGTCTGTCATAAATAGCATTGCTAGAATATTCCAGTGTCCTGCAGGTTCTGTTCTGATCCTCTGTTGGGCTCCTCTTGCCAGGAATCAGCCATTGTGTTCTCTCCAAACATGAATTCCATCTTTGCAACCTTTCCCAGGGAGCTTCACAGCCCCGTGGAGCAGCATGTTGCACTCGAGTGAGCAGTACTGCCTGGCCTGGGAATCCAAGTACTTGATGGAGCTTGGCAACGCCTTGGATTCCCTGCTGAATGGTTTTGTGAACATGATGGCTCAAGAAGCCCTAAAATTCACTGTCTTGTCAGGTGAGAAACTAAATCCTATCAGATCTGCTTGAGTGGCTCTTGTGCAGTTTCAGTGTGGAGCTTTCCTAAAGAAGGAATGTTTTGGAGGAGGCAGTGCTGGCATTGCCCCCCAGAAGTGACCTGAGAACTTCCTCTACCACACCTGTAATTTAGCTGTGCTTTCCTGGACTGCTGAACCACCACATCATTGCGTCATTCTGTTAAAGTTACAGCTGGAAACACCTTCCTTCACCTGCTCATTTCCCTATATTATTACACATTTACTGCTGTACAGAAACACCCCACACTCACAGGTTACACGCACCCACCCCCATGCCAGAATATCAGACTCTTTCTTATCTTTAGTCCATCAAAGCATTTCTCAGCACACCTATTGGGAAAGAAGAGCTGGAAATTACATAAGCTCCTTGGCTTGGCCTTTAACTTCAGTGAACTCTCTTGATTTTGATGTTTTCTAAGGAACCTCTGTGTGTTGCAGGGATTGTGACAGCCTTGACTTGGCCAGCATCGCTCCTGACGGTTGCCAATGTCATTGACAACCCCTGGGGAGTGTGTCTGCACCGCTCTGCTGAAGTGGGCAAACACCTCGCACACATCCTTCTCAGCAGGCAGCAGGTAACTGGCCACAATTATCCAGGAATAACAGCTGGAAGGGAACTGGCCCAGGGAGGTGAAGTGTTATAGTCATGCTGGTTAAATGGTATCTTTCTAAGGGGACAAAAATGAATAAAACAAAAACACAGAGAGTGCTGCTTGAAGGTGACCAGCAGATATCTGGCTTACTGGGGAAAAGGAGGAGGTCCCAAGAGGATCAGAGAAATCCTGCTGAGATTTGTTCCATTTACCAAAAGGTTTTCTCAGTGAGGAAGAAGAGATCCAGGTTATAAGTTACCTGTGATTTAACCATGTCACAACACAGGCCCACGTGTCACAGCCAGGCCCACTCACCTAGTAGAAATCAGAGAGCAGGAGGTGAGGATGGGTGAAAAGGAAAGGAGAATACAAAGTGTTAAAAATATTTATGGATCATTAAGAGGCACCTGCAAAGCAGCCTGAGAGAAAAGTGGGTGCAGCCAATGCCCAGAGAGCCGTAGCTTTGCCTACAGAGAAAGGGAACTGGCTGGTACCTGACAGAAGTGACAAAAGTCTCTCTGAAAAGGCTCAAAAAAAGACATTTCTTCCCCCCAAGAGCCTGCCAGCATTTGCTGGGCCAGCACTGTTATTTGCTGGCCATATGTTTGTCTCACACCAGTCACTGCTGATTATGGAGGAGTCCAAGGGGAGCTGTGGGCCCAGAGCTGTGTGTCCCAGCAAGGTGGAACAGCAGAGGAGGAACAAATTTAATTTCTCATAAAAACCCAATCCTAGAAAACTCAATAAACTTTATTTCATACAAGCCCTTTCTTTTGCTATGAGGCATTTGTTCTTGCCTGATAAGCATTTGCTGTTGTGAAAACACACATTCCAGTGTGCCAGAGAGTCTAAAACTTGTTAATGAGATGTCTGGGGTGTCCATCGCACACCTGCTCCCTGGATATTACAAAGACCATTTTTCATTGATGTTTGGATTAGGCTCCTTTTAATCTTACAGAAAATCTTATTAGGCTGTTCAAAATAAAAGCTTAAACATTAAAAGCCAGATCAGCTTTTATAACCATTGCATGCTGCTGCTGTCACTCAGCCTGAAATCTGGAAGTGGTCAGTATTTTTGTATTATGGCTTCTTCTTCTGTGTATTGAAATATTTCTAGGAAAATTTTGTTCCTTGAATAAGGTTTTCATTTGGAAATTTCAAACCAACAACAGCATCTGTTTTGGTTCTGTTTGGAACATCCGCTTTGTTGTAACTTCTGATCATTAGACTGTTTTCAGTTGATTTTCTGAAGATCAAAGCACAGAGTTCTCAGATATGTAGCATTCTCCATATTGACCTAGGCATAACTTTGAGGAGACCTGATCCCTTTGAAACCAACCAAATCGCTCCAGTATTTCAAAGGTGGTGCAGAAGCAGGTGCTCTGTGTCTCAGGCTCTCAGGGATCCTAAGCCCAGTGTCTCTTTCCAGAGAAAACTCCATCTGGTGGTATTTTTTTCTTCTCCTTCTTTCTCAGGGCCAGAGACCTGTCACACTGATTGGCTTCAGCCTGGGTGCCAGAGTCATTTACTTCTGCCTGCAGGAAATGGCTCAGGAAAAAGGTAGCATTCACCCTCTAACCATTTTTCTTTTATTTTCCTTACTCCTGGTGGAAAATTTTTTTCTTCCAAGGGGAAAAACACAGATTGGCTATTTTAAGATCGGATGAAAACACAAAAAATGAGGTTTAAATGCATTTGGAGCCAAATTCTTCTGTCCTTTCCCCCAGTCCAGCAGAAAATAAATCCACTGTCTTCACTTGAGGGGTCATTTTGGTCTGTAAATAACAAGGTGACATTTGTGATCAGTCTGGAGCTGCCCATGCACTGCCTGATTTCAGCAGAGGATGCTTTGCCTTTCTTAGGAGCTCTCTGCAGCTCTTGTATCTGATTCCCTGAGTCCTGCCTTCCATTTAAGTCTCTGAAACGCCACTGTCATCTGCTGTTTTCATGGTAATTTTCTCCCAAAGTCAAGTATAAAACCATCTGCCAATTTATTACCCATTGTGGTTCTGTTTATTAATAGATTTCTATTTTTAATTTAGGAAAAAAAAAAGAGTAAAATCATTATGATCAGTTGATTAAAATTGTATCTTGGAGTTGAGTCAGCAGTGAGTATGTGCAGCCTGTCTTCCCCCCACATAGCAATTTAACTCATTAACCATTTACTTCACAATAAATCATAAGTAGGAATTTTCTAAAGGAAAATACCCAGTAAAGTCCAAGAAGATGGGAACAGAGTCAAGTGAGGATGGAGAAGGTCATGATTGACAGCTGTGTGCCAGAACTTCACTTCTTATTTAAGATAAAAGTTTTCAAATACAGGAATTCTGTTCTCAAAATAAATATAATCAAATCCAGAATAATCCTTATGGCTTTACACTGGAGCCAGAACCCAGATCGTAATCTGGCCCTAGATCTACCCTTTTTGTGTCCTGAGAATGCCAAGGGCTGAGGTATTTCCAGGTTTTTATTTCAGTCTACAGGCTCTTGAATGACACGAGCCCATAACTTAGGGAGACCTTAGGGTCTCCAAAGAAATCCAAGTATTGTGGTGATGTATCAGAACAGCTCCCACCATACACTGATTTTTCAGTTCCTTAATTGAATTCTGAAAGCTGAGCTGTTTGTGAGATGAAAAGCAGCATGTTTAGCACAGATTGCCAAGGCGTTCTCACAGGCACATTCCAGAGCAAGCCACAGAAGGAACAGAGCTGGGACCTGGGACAGCTGAGACTGATTTGGGTTTGGACTTGGATGTCTCACACGAAAGGAACATACGGCCTCGTCATGCAGGCTCTGTATCCAGATGGCAGTGGCATTTCTGAGGAGAAATAGCTAATGATGGATTGGCCAGTGAAACACCATGGCAGGAACACAGATTCTGTTCAAATGCTTCTCAGCAAAGCAATGGAATAACCTTTGGATACTTCATCACGGATCACTTGGGGAGCCAGAGCTCAGTAGGTTTCCCGAAAATGACATTATGGCAGAAGCTGGAGTAAATGAGACACGTTGTTGCGTGGGAAGATCGTTGCTCTGATTTCTTCATCGTGATTCCCATGCTTTTTAGTAAATACTTAGCAATTAGCAAACTATTGCAAATTGATAATGGCTGTTACCACCAGAGACCAAAGCTTGAAACCCAGCTGTGTGTGACAGGAGTGAGGTGTCACACACTGGGTGTTTGGTTCTGATCACAGCTCATGTGACCAATATCCCACTGAGCTGTGATCCCTGCTGTGTCAGTGTTGGGAATACTGCTGCCAGCTCTGCCCTGGAATATCTGTACACAGCCAGATCTGAATTATAGTCCTTTGCTCCCTCCAGTCAGGACTGATATGCTGAGGTGCTTTCCCTTTCCCAGTGAGTTGCATCCCTAGCCCAGCTCTCAGGATTGGTTATGGTCTCTGGGACAGCTTCTTTTTCCACACTTTTTCTGGAGAAATCATCGTGATCAGGTTTGAATTTTGGCCTCTCATTCTCACTCTGTTCTCACTTGCTTGGACTTGATTGGAAATTTTTCTTTATAAAACTCCTTATTCATTAGCCAGTCTCTATGAGGCTCTATGGTTAATTAAGCAATTTTTTTTTTCATGGCTTTTACAGACTTTATTGTTTTTCATCATCTAAAAGATTTACAAACTGTGAAATATATTTCATTTATCTCAAGCCTCAGCTGCTCTGCAGGCCAATGATCTGTTCCCATCTTTCAATCCAGTCAACATTCAAAGAAAATGAGCATTTTTCAGCCAAGGTTAAACTTCTTTATTTTTTGTTCTGAGCAAGCAATAAGCTGGACGAAGGACTGGAGAAACAAAAGCTTGCAACACCTTGCCCAAATATTCAGGATCCTGATGAATTAGCTGCTTGTTTATTCACTTGGCTCACATCATGGACATGGAATTTAGAACCTTGGTTGGGATGAGCTTCCTGCAAGACTCTGGGTTTCCTTTCCATTGCCCCTAATTATGGGAACAGGGCTTTATTGCTCACAAATTAGACTCACAAAATTGAATTGCTCTTTGCTCTTTTTGATTGGTGCAAAAATTTCTCTGCAATAAGAAATAATTCCAGGAGAGCTCATTTGGATCTGTCAGGCATGGGATTTACACTGTGAAGAAGGATGCAGGCACTGCAGGCAGCTCCAATCCTTTACTGCTATCAGGGAAAGGAAGCTAAGTGATTTACATTTGAAAAGTGCCCAGGCAGAACCTCTCCCTCAAATGTTGAGTTTAGCTCAAGTCTGTGGAGCCTGGTCTCCCACAGGTGCAGAGTATGGATTTGGAATGTTCTGCTCATGAGTCTTCCATTTAACTGCTGTGGCACCAGAGGCTTCATCTCTCTTTACAAAGATTTATGGAAGACACTGATATATTGTTCAGGAGTTTAGGAAAGTAGCAGAGCTGCCCAATATTTCTCATTCCATCATTATTCCTCCTGAAATTGCCCAGCTGCAGCTCTCTGATAAGTGAAGAAGATTTATTATGCTTAGAAGTCAACACTGCTATTCAGAAAATCAGGCCCTGGGCATTCAGGTTACAGCAGAAAATCAAACCAGTTTCGTAGATCTTCACTAGGTACTGGCAAATGCCTCCATTGTTGCTACTTCCAAATGAATATTAACAATTTGGGATTTCCTCTTGCATGTTCAGGTCATGTTTTTCATAGAATCAGCTGTGGGAAGAGTTCCTCGTGCTTCATGTATGACAACATTTGCTCACTCTGTGGGATCTCAGAGCTCTTCACCTGTTTCAAAGCTCTGTGCAAACTCACATCAGTAAGTCTGCAGAAAGACCTTTCCAGGGGTTTCCAGACCTTTCCAGAGGTTTGTTGCTTGAACAGCATCTTTCTGGGCAGAGGCCAGGACCCTTCTCCCTCCTGCAATCAGCTTGGTCCTTTGCACTGAGGATCTCAGTTTTCACAATTACTAACTCCAGGTGAATTGTGGACACTTAAGATATATTCAAAGTTTTATTTATGATCCTCCTTTCCATTGTTTCTGTCTTTCAAATTGAAGCCACCTAAATTATGATTTTTCTGTAGTGCACATCTGAACACACTTCATATAAGAATATTTTGTGATCTATCTGCTCAATCCGAACTGTTCTGCCTTCACCTTGACAGACTCACAAGGGATCATTGAAGATGTTGTCTTACTGGGAGCCCCAGTGGAAGGAGAAGCCAAGCACTGGAGAGCTCTCACCAGAGTGGTGTCAGGCAGGATCATAAATGGCTTCTGCAGGTCAGTGTGAGCTCAGTGCCCAGCCTTGTTAGCCTGGAAATGGTTTGGGGCATTTGTCCCTTTCAAGGACTTTGTGAGTGCTGGTGAGAATTGAGCAGTGCCAGAGCCTCGTCCCTCCAGGCCTCTGGCTCAGATCCATTCGAGTAGCAGCTTCAGGAGGCATTTGGAGGCTCTTTGATACAGCTCTTGGCTCTTTGTGCCACTGGAAGCCCATGTGGGTCCTGTTCATAGAGGGACAATGTTCTAAATTAGCTGGGTCAGTGTGTTTGTGTGTGTAATCTGACATATTCTGAAGGCCCTTAAAATCTCAGCTCTGTGTGAAGGGCTATAAATACAGCCATTAAGTTCACTGACTTAAAGAATGGGAATTAGAATCTATAAAAACTTTAAGATGCTGTTCATTTGTGGCTGCTTATGGGGAAAAAGATATGAAAATCACAATGGAAGGGAAAGAGCAAAAGCAAATTGAAAGGTTTTATATTTGGAGTGTGTTTCTGGTCAAGATAGTCCACATGAATAAGATATTTAATTTGCAAAGGAAGAATAAGTGGAATAGCTGTAGCAAATTTAGTAAGGATATGAAAGAATACAAAGAATGCCTTCAAAACAAATACCAGCCCTTTAAAACCATATTTAAAAACATTTTAGAAATAAAAGCAGACAACTGTTGTGCAGAATATGAGAGCTGCTCGGTGAGAAGACGGAGGTTCATAGGTCTGAAACAGCTGAAACAATCTCAGAAAAGCTATTAAGTAGTCAAGTGACAGCTTCAAACGTAATGACTGTGTCTTGGAAGATAATTGTGGCAGGAACACTGCTTACTAGCACAATTAGATAAAGGGAAATTAAAACCAAGGAATGAAGCAGGGAAGACTAAGAGCATGGGGAAATAAACTGAGAAATAACCAGGCAAGAAAATTAGCAAAGAACCTGCAAGTCAACACAGTTTATAAAGCTGTGAGCCCTTGGATCAAGGACAGGTGAAAATGCTGCTGGTGTTTTCCATGCTCATATCCATATGGATGCCGACACACATGTACATGGAAGGTGGGAAAATACTGTGTTACTGTGATTCTAACAGTGTTTTAACTTAGAAATAATAATTAAATAAATTAATTTAAAATATTCAAGGTTAAAATAACAAATTGTCAATCCAATCTCACAGCTAGGCTAGAAATTGTTGCTTTTGTCCTCTTTGGATCCCAGGATTTTCAGGGATGCCAGATGTAAACAGCACTTGCTGTGTTTCTTCCAGTGCCATAAGGAAAAGCTGCCTCCATGGGAGTGCTCTGAGTTCCTCCAAGAAGCCATAAATTATAGAAATCATTGCATATAACTGAGTTTACCCATAAAATATTGTTCCTGTCTGTTTGACGAAAAGAAATTTCACTGTAAAAAGCTTGGTGTATCCATTTCCTGTAACACACACACACACACACACACACAAAAGATCTTGTTATAGTTTCTAAGCCTGCCTGTTGGAATAAGATACAGTGTGTGTGTGTCTAGAGGGTTATTCAGGCAACATGGGGGGCAGCTACAGGAGGGAATTGAGAGATTTGGGGAATTTCTGTCAGGATTGAGATAGAGAGAAGGATTATACAGACATTTTGTGGTAAGGCCTCACCTGATTCTGATTTTTGTGATCTATCTGCTTGCACAAAGGGTGGCCTCGTTCTGTCACTTCAGGAGTAACTCTATTTAGGTCAGATGAATTACACTGAACAGAATTCCTGTGAGATCAGATTTGAGCTCAGTTGTTGAACTTCAGTCTTTGTTCTCCTTTGGCTTTGGAATATGAGGGGACAGGGCGAGTGAGAGCCCTGTCAGCTGTTGGAGCTGTCCCCTCCCACTTAACAGCAGGGTTGCAAATTCCTAGTGGGAAACCTCACCCAAATCAGTTGGACTGGCTCAGCTTTTCAAGGAACCCACACCTGAGCAGAGTGAATGTATTGTAAAGGTCTTGCAGGGCTCTGCATAGACTTACAACTCCCAGTGTGGATTATTTGGGAGTAGCCAGGAATGGGCACCTGTGCCAGGAGCATTTCACCTGCTGCCATCACAGAGCACAAATCCCACTCGTGTCCCACTTCAGTCTGCTCTGCAGAGTACAGGGGCATTTCAGTGCCCAGATTTTATGCTGTTGCTCAGCTCAGAAGAATTTTGTATTTCTTTCTCTCCTCATGCCACAGTCTACCTCGAAACTGTCACAGTGACTTATGGCACTGCTTTAGAGTGGGAACAAGCCCTTCCTAGTTCTGTCACTGAAGCCATGCATTTCTGCAGTACCTATAAATCAGGAGCACTCCCAGGAGATTCACAGTCAATATTTATGTCACAACATCAGTGTTGTAGGTCTCATCACCTTTACAGCTTTATGGCCTAGAGAGCCTGTCAGTATATTAAAAAGATGAAATACATCAATGTGCAAACCCTGAGCAAACATAGAAATAAACAGAAGGGTCGGATTTTTAAACTCACTGCAGCAGAGAGACAGTTCAGACTTACACCAGTGTGTTCCAGGAACCTGCCCTGAATCCAGCAAGTGATTCCTGGTGTGATTGTTACATCACACAGACCTGCAGCAGGTCGTGGTCCAGACATCACTGTGCTTCCCAGCACTGCCACTCTCCTCACAGTTTGAGTAGTAACACACTGAAAGGGTCCCAGGTCAGGTTGGACAGGGCTGGGAGCAGCCTGGTGTGGTGGAAGGTGCCCCCTGACCATGGTAGGGGGTGGAACAGGATAAGCTTTAAGGTCCCTTCCAACTCAAACTGTTCTGGAATTCTTTGGTTCCACATGGCATTGGTTGGGCAACAGGATTTATTCCCACTCTTCTCTGCTTCCAGGGGGGACTGGCTGCTGAGCTTTGTTTACAGAACCTCCTCTGTCAAGCTCAACGTTGCAGGCCTCCAGCCAGTGGACCTGGATGACAGGAGGATGGTGAACATGGACCTTTCCTCTGTGGTAAAGTCTCATATTCTCATTTTTTCTCCATCATTCTTTGCCTACAGCACTGTAACCCCACACTGACTGTGCTGGAGAAACTGGGGACAGAAGAGAGCCCCTCTAGGTACTTTGTCCCTCTTTCCTGTCTTTGAGAGAACTCTTACCCACACTTCCATCTGGATTTTGTTGGCCTGGCTAAAGCTCAACACTGAGCAAAACAATGAGAATCTTCCTCTCCCGTTGGATATGTTTGGGGTTTTTTGAAGTTTTTTGGTTCTGACATATCTCATAGTCGAGATAGAAAATACTGTTACTCCTCAAGAAGGGCCTTGCTGTCAGAGAATCATGGAATGGTTTGGGTTGGAAAGAGCCAAGTCCCAAGCCCTGTGAGTGTGGATCCTGGGGAGGTGGGATCAGCAGCTGGAAAACGTGGATCTCAAACACGCGCCCACACGGCAGGTGCAATTCACTGTCTTATCTTGGTGGAGCCTTCACACTGCTCAGGTTCAGCCAGGAACAGGCTCCTGGCCCTTGTACCTTGGTCCCCAGGGCTGCAGGAGCCGGAACTGGTTAGGAATTACAGAAGCTCTGTGATAGCAACGGGTGGTTTGTCAGGTCCTGCTGCCTTTTCGGAGCGTGTGTCTCCAGGAAACAGGGAGAGATTCACAAGTATATCTGGGAAACATTTCGCTTCCTCAAAGCTGTCTGGTGTCATTAGTGATAAGCCACTGTTAGAACATCTGGCAATATATCTAAGCAATATTCAACTCAATTATCTTAAACTCATAACCATGTTGCTGTCTCTTCCACAGAGGAAGTGAGCTTTTCCACAGAAAACCATGCGGAACTTATATTGTGTATATCCATATCCACAGAAATCTTGGATATGCCATTGTGTTTTTTCCATATCTTAATGTTTTAATTTATTGTTTACTCTCTGCCAACTGGATGATGCCCAGCACAAAGCTGAGGATACTTCCTGAGTGTCCCCACAACCTGACAGGGACCATCAGTGCTGCTCTGGAGCTAAAGGCACTTTGAAGAGCTTTTAGATTTTTTGGAGCACCAGCTTGCTGAGCCTATAAATACCCAACTGTTCTCAACTCATTCATGATAACTGAGCTCTGCACAGCCCTTGGCAGCACACACAGGGCTTGATGCTGAGCAGAGAGAACAGACACTCGGAGGAACAAAACAGGGGCTTCCCAGGAGGAAGGGGTTTAGTGGAAGCTTTTAAATGTGGCCCATGCATCTTTGCATCTCTCTGTGCTGTCAGCATTTCCACACTCCCACGTCCATTTTCTCACCATCCCAGAGCTGCCAGTAGTCTCTTGCTCTCTGACAACTGTTGCTGGTATGGAAATGGCCCAAGATGTCAAGTGATGGCACGGGGGTGATGTTTCCTGACAGTCAGTCCATGTCACCCCTCCCTTTTTGAGTTCTCTTCAGAAAGATCCTCCTTCTCATGACCCTCTGCTTCCTGAAGCATGAAACCCCCCAGAGCCCTGCACACTTTATCCTGCCTGGATCACAGCAGCTTCTCCAGTCCCCTCAGAGGAGCAGGATTTAAATTTCAGCTGAATGAATAAGGTTTGCAGAGCTGCTCTCTGCTCATCTCCCAGGGCTGTGTGTCTGCATCCTGGCTGCCTGCTGCCAGCAGTCAGTCCCAGTGCTGCTCTCCTTCTGAAGGAATTGACACTTCCTTCATCTCACTGCAAAGCTCTGGGGTGGAAAAATGTATGTTAAGTAGGTGTCATTGCCTTGATCCCTTTTCCAGACCATGGGAAGAAATACAGTGCATTCTGGTGAACATTTCAGAAAGAAAAGGAGAAATAAAAGAATGGGGAAGGAAATATTTTTTAAAGTGGCGAGAAAGCAAAGATGGATTTTTCTGCAAGTACAGTGCAGTAGCATAACAGAAAAATACAAAGTGATATTTAGAGATATATAGAGATACAGGTATTTTCTTTATGGAGACCAGCTCCACCCCTGCAGCTGCCCATGTAGAAGGTCCCTGTGAGTGTCCTGCCAGGAGAAGGACAAACTGTGATAGAAGAATGAAGTGTAGCTGATGCAAAGGTGCTCAGCATGAAAATACTACAAAGGCACCATCAGTATTTTTGGCATCTCCTGGTCCATCCATAATGAAACTGGTCTGTATCCAAACAGCTTGGTTCTCTTTGCTGTGGTAGCACCAGAATCCTCAAATGAGTGGAGGATTAGGGGCCCTCAGTATAAACAGGAATTCACCTCCAAGGCCTCTGTCTCATGTCTCTCTTGATTAGTGTGGTTTTTATCTGGCTGTCAGTAAAAAAGCAGGGAGAAAAATGTCCTCCCACTCAGCAAATGCAGTTATAAAATCCTTCCTCATGGTTACAAAGGGGCTGATTTATTCTGTGGATTTATTTGACAGCACCTGTTAGAGACCAAAGAAGTTGTGGAGCTGCAGGGGATTATCCTGATTGCTGTTTGTTCCCAAGGGAGTTTGTTCAGTGCAGTCTGAATTAATATTTGAATATTGCAGAGCTGCTTGAGGAGCAGCTTCAGGGAGGCTCAGGAGTCAGCAACAAGTCAGGAATGGGCACTTTTACAGCAGCAGCAATTAGGGATGAACTTGCAGGTATAGAGGCAGCGAGAATAAATGACTGAAAGTCCAGGAGAGAGCAGGGATGGATCTTAGAATTGTGGAATTGGTGAGGGGGAAAAAGATCTCAAGCAACCATTGAGGCCAGTCGTTCCCTCAGCACTGCCAAGTCCACCACTCACCCATGTCCCCAAGTGCTACATCCACATGGCTTTTAAACCCCTCCAATGCCATCCTTGCCCTGTGACAGGGCTGAACAGCCCTTTCCATGGAGAAATTTTCCCTAATACTCAATCTAAATGTCCTCTGGCACAGACTGAGGCTGTTTCCTCTTGTCCTCTCACTTGTCACCTGGGAGGAGAGACCAACCGCCCGCCAGGATCCAGCCTCCTGTCAGCTCTCAGAAAAGGGACCCAAATTCTCATTATGAGGGAGGACAGATTCGAGGCAGTCAGGTACATCAATACCATATGCAGATGGAAGGTCTGAATTTTGTGAAATCCAGTTGATTTGGCACTTCTGTGAGTCAGGCTTTTCTTCTCCAAACACATTAAGTTGTGTTTTTTCTCACTGTATTCCCAAGACTTGCAGCAAAGAATTAATCGTGGTTACAAAATGTGGATTAATTAAGTACTCTGGGGAGTTGGAAAGGCAAAAAAAGAAGTTGCCAGTATGACATTGCTCCTTTGTGTCACTTGTTCCCAGTGAGCAGTGCCACCTCCCCAAGGGCAGGATCAGAGGAACAAGAGCTTGGAGCAGAACTCAGCTTCAGGCAGCTGCCTGGAGGATCTGGGAGAGCTCCTCTCCCCTCAGAGCAATATCCAGGGCCTTGTGGAAACAATTCCATCTGTCTGTTCGGCTGTGAGGTCTCAGGGATGGCTTCCACACCCCTGGAATCATCAGTGGCTTCATCTTCTGTGCTCCTCATTGCTGTTGATTTGGGAGCTCCAAGAATCCCACATTAATTACATATTCAATAAGTTTTTCCCTTTGGGACACAAGCAGAGGGTGCTGGCAGTGTCACTGTGTTAGAACAGAGGAAGAAACTGAAAAAGCTTTTCAAAAACATAACTGCAAACCAGACCATTAATAACTTGCAGTTTGTTTTTGCTTTGTGGCTGACAAACCTCAAAGGCTGATGTCCCTCTTCGCTCCAGCACACACAGACTGCTCGAGCTGGATGTGCTTTGTGGGAGCCTGGGGATGCTCAGCTGCTTCTAAAGGCAGAGAGAACCATTTTACAGGACTCATATTTCATAAGGCTAGTGCCCAAATTCCCAAATTCCTACAACTGGAAACAGAGTGCCACAATTTCCTGCAGATCTACAGGAGGGATCTTCCCACTCCCCTGTGGTGCCTGGTGTGTATCCTTCCACAGGGGATTCCCACATTATCTGTGCAGTGAGTAGAGTGTTCACAGCCCCCAGCTACCCTGGGCAGGGCTGAATTCTGGCACTGCAGCTTCTCCTTCAGAAGAGCTGAAGGGACCAATGCCATGTTTGAGTGACTCACAGGTGGTCTATAGTTCCATCAAATGCAGTCCAGCAGAGGAAATTCACTGTTCCCTTGAAGAGCCAGCAAAGTTGTGATGCCAGCACATCTTTCTCCTATGGAACTTAGCAACGGCATCACAAATCACCTTTGACAGATTTTCTATTCCCCCTTAGAGCACTTGGCATGTGGAAATGGGACAGTTCCTGCAAGTGCAGGCACTGCAGCCCTGTTCTTTCCTGGTTTGCAGTAGGCAGGTCTGTAGCTGTTGGCTTTGCAGGCAGCTTTCCCCATCCCAGCCCTTCCTGGAGCAATGTGGTGGGAGTTTTCCCAAAGTACTGTTCAGCTGAATTCTTCAGGAATGGCCACACAGAGCCTAGGCAAGTGAATTAAGGATAGAAAATTCAGCTTTTAATTTCCTGTCTTCTGTTGGAACACGAATACTGATTCTGTATTATTTCTCTGCTCCCTTTGAATTCCCACTCTGACCTTCCCAGCTAACATGGAAACAATATCCCAGTGGAACAGCCAATTAGAAGTGTTAATCAAGGGGAAGGCTGACTTTGCTGACACCTTGTGCACATCCTGTGTTTGAGATGCTGCAATTAGAGCAGCTGAATTATTGATAAGAGCTGAATGTCACTGAAATACCACGAAGGTGTTGCTGGTGCCACTGGGGGAAGGGGAGGGCTTAAACCTACTGCAAATCCCCATGAGGTGGATTTATAGGATATCACATTGCTGAGGAGAGACATGGCACTACTCCACAGCTCTTGGAATTTTCCAAGTGCCCAAGACTTCTTGCCCAGACATGTTATTGACGTGAGGGATGAGTCAGAACAGGTCATTGTCCCCAAAATCAGCAAAAATTCCTTTAGTTAATCTGAGTGATTGGGCTGAGAACCTGATTTGAAAACAGTAGAGATGGTAATGTTTGAGCTGCCAAATCTTGTGTATTCCTGGAGCAAGATGGGGAGAGGAAGGGTGACAATCCCTTTGGGTGTTACAGGAGTCACCCTCTGCTTCAGGCTGGTCCTGATGCATCCTTCTGGTTGTGGACACCAAACCTCATCTCAATGTTCTTGTGTGGAATCCTGAAAAATTTGCCATAATCCTGGTGCAATCAACATGTCCAGTATTTTGGGTCTCTAGTGGCATGCTCTGTAAGGGACCTTGATCCCCTAAGCTCTTTCTAGGAGCACTCCAATTCAGTGTATTTATTTTTGGGATCTCTTGTCCTCCATGGCCCAAGACATTATGTTCAAATTATTTCTCAGTGATAATTATATGCACAGTTTATACTGGGTCTTTTAAAACACTCTTTAAATCATCGAATTTAAATAATTTCCACTTGGATTAGCACCAAAAAATGAGTATTTAATTGTAGTTACCTTATAAATGAGTGTCAGTCACTGGGGAGAGCATCAACAAAAAATAGTCAACAGCAGCTCCACAAACAGTTGAAAAATCAATGGAAGAGCTGTTTCATTCAGGGGGATGGCTTGGAGTGCATTACTGGCAGCAGAGGGACATTTGTGAAGGCACATTTCCCTTGAAACTCTTTCAAGGACTCTTTAACTAATTGAGAATATTAATTCCCAGTTTTGTGCTGCCTGTTGTCACTAATGTACAGCTGCTCTCCATTTGTCCCTTAGACCTCCAGAACTTGACCCCTCCATTTGCTTCCTGGGTTTTCTTGTTATATTCTGTGTTTTACTCCTCTCCATCTTCCTCTTGGAATTGAAGGTAAATTGAGAATAAAGCTGGCAGAGATTTTCAGCAATGGATGAATCCAGCAAAATCCAGTGATTACTCAGAATTTTCAACATTGATCACAAAACATATCAAAGTTTGATGGAAAAAACTCCTGGAAAAAACTCTTGCCTAGGTGTAGAATTGTCTGAGGGTGTTGGAAGGGAACATCCCTCAGTTATCACCCCAGAAGTGACAATGACTGAATCAATCTGTTGTGGCTGAAAGATGATTGCAGGGAAAAATTACAGTCTGGCTCAAAAAATGCCACTGCAATGAAAGGAGAACTTTTACCAGTCAAGTGAGTTTTGAAATGAGAAGAAAAATAAGAATTGAGTGCCTTATTATGTCCACAAGGACTGTGATGTGAAAGCAAAGCCTCTGAGCCTCAGCAGAATAAGTCTTTATTCCCTCAACTCAGCAGAGCAGAAATAGAAACATTAAAGAGGAAAAATGCAAATGGCATTGTCAGGATTTCCAAAATAAATTCAGCTTGTCGATTTTTCCTCAAATATATTTTATTGGTTTCTCAAGGACTGCTGGCACCCAGGATGCACCACTGCTGCAGGTGCAAAATTCAGTCAGTAAATTGAATCAATTTTTAAATAAATCCATTCAAATTGTAGCTTCTGAATTATTGGATGTATTCACTATCATCACTTTGACATTGTTTCCTGAGGATCCAAACAGAAGAATTTTATTCCTATTCTAACTATATTCAGCACAGCCTGTGTCAAGGCATGTTGAATATTTTCTGTTTCCTGCTCTGCAATCTGCTCTGTCTCTGGATTTTCCAGCTCCTCTCCTCAGGCAGCATCAAGGCTTTGCCATGAGCTCTCAGAAAACTGTGGAAAACCCAGGACATTTTCTGCAAGGCTGAGAGGGGAGAGGAGAAGCTCCAGGGAGAGCTCAGAGCCCCTTCCAGGGCCTGAAGGGGCTCCAGGAGAGCTGGAGAGGGACTGGGGACAAGGGATGGAGGGACAGGACACAGGGAATGGCTTCCACTGCTGGGGAGCAGGGAGAGATGGAATAGTAGGAAGAAATTCTTCCCTGTGAGGCTGGGGAGACCCTGGCACAGAGTGCCCAGAGCAGCTGTGGCTGTCCCTGGATCCCTGGCAGTGCCCAGGGCCAGGTTGGACAGGGCTGGGAGCAGCCTGGGACAATGGGAGGTGTCCCTGCCATGGCAGGGGTGGAATTGGAGGATCTTCAAGGTCCCTTCCAGCCCAAACCATTCTGGATTCTGTGGATGCCCTCTGTCATGCAGGATGTAGCCAGAGTCAGAATTAAGGCTTTCACTGGCATGTGGGAATATCTGTGACTGGAGCAGCCTGCCAGCTTGGCAGAGCTGACTGGATTTTGAGGGATAGCCTGGCAGAGCTTGGGAGCCCTGCAGTCCATCAGCCTGTGCCACCGTTTGGGCTGTGTGGGTTCTGAGGCAGCATCCAGAACTGAGAAGTTTTTGGAAAGCAGCAGGGATGTTTGAGCTTCCTCCCTTCTGCACCAACAGCTCCCAGACCTGGCAGTTCAGTTCAGAGCAGGGCTGGACTCCAGTGCTTGTCCTGGACAACACATGCACTGTAGCTTTGGGAAAGGGAGAGTGAAAATAACAATACCCAGAGGGGCTGAGCTGGCTCTGCCCTTTGGTTTCACTCTGTGTGTGACACCTGGGGCAGGTGAGAGCTCCTGGATGTGAGCTGTGATTATCCACTGGGCTCCAGAACCTTCAGCTCACTCCAGGAACTCCTTCACCCCCCATACAATACCACTTGCTATGAAAACAGACAGTATTAGCCAAAAGGCAATCCTGAAGGATCCCCTACAAGGTTATTGCTGCTCTTGCTGAAATAACCAAGCTCTGCAGAAGTGTTTGAACTTGAGGGGATCTTTTGCTGTGGAATAAAGTTGCTCTGTGGACTTGATGGGCTTAAAACACATCAAAGCAGTGAAATTCTCAGGTGTATGAGTGACCTGTGCATTCCCCACCACACTGCTTGCCTCCACAGTGATTCCCTGTGAATCCATGGGGGCTTTGGTGAGGGGGAGCAGGAGGAAGGCCCAGCTGAGCTACCCTGTCCTTCCCTGCCCACAGAGAGCAGAGGGGTGAGGGACACTCAGCTAAGCTCTGGCAGTTCCATAGCCCTGCAGAGCATGTGGAGCAATGTGCACTCCTGTGTTGGCTGTTTGGGATGGGTGGAGGAGCTTTTATTGAAGGAGACTGGATGGGATCTGAAGTTTCTTGGCTCTGGAGTGAGCAATGAAAGGTTATCTTGCTGTGCCGAGCTTGTCCCTGACGTCATTGTTGTGATATCAGTGTTGTGATATCAGTGTTGTGATATCAGTGTTGTGACTGAATCGTGCCTGTGCCTGAGTCAGTGGCAGAGCCAGGATTGTGGGGAATGTCACCTTTTCCTTGCCCTTCCTCTGCCCTTCCCTTGGCAGCACCTGCTCCAGGACACGCTGTGTTCCTGGCAGGATTCTTAATCCTCTGTATCCAACAGAAACACTTCCCTGGCAGTTTAATTGTCACAACTGATTGTTCTCAGGGACATTTTTGACACTTTTGGGTGGATTTGCACTTCAAAACCTTTCCAAACCTGTTGAGCTGACTGGCTGATGGATCCCCCTGGGCAAAGCCATCAGCTTTGTCCTCTGGAGATCCCCAGCATGGCACTGGAGTCCTCCAGCAGCAGTGCCAGAGGCAGCTGGCTGGTGGTTCCCAGAGAGTCAAAGCAACCATAAAGTCAACCAAATATGTCTGGGGCAAGTCACCTAAACAATTCCAATAAATCCACCCCACTGCTTTCCTTACAACAAGCAAAAATGTATTTGCACTGGTGCCAAGCACATTTCCTTTTGTCCTAAATTCCCTCTGCACTTTGTTCTGACAAATATAAAAATAATTCTTTATTTGCCTTTTAACTTTTTATTGACAATGTTGTAGGTATTCCCCTCCCATCTCCAGCACCACCTGCCCAGCAGAGGAATTCAGGCTTTCAGACTGAAGATGAAAACAGGCTTTAGTGAGCTGGAATTGCTGGGTTTTCTCACCAGAATGGCTTTAAAAAGGCAAGGCAGTTTGTTTGCTGTTCTTTTGCTGGTGGCTCAGTCCAGCAGAGAAGTCTCCTCCCTCCTCTTACACTTCTCAGGGGTTGCTCTGGTCCAGCTTTGTGGAATCCTCTCCTGTGCTGTCCTAGAGACAGGAGTGACTTTCCTTCTTCCTCAGGAAGAGACTGAGCAGAGCTGCAGGAGGGACAGCCTCTCATGAGGTCTCAGCTTTTCTTTCAGCTGCATGAGCTCCTCAGAATGGCTCATACCCAGCATCTCTCAGGATCGTGGTGCTCAGGGAAGGGGAATTCCCTGTTGTTTTAGTGGAAGCTGCTGGATACTGAAGAGTAATGAAAATCAGTCCTTAGGGTGGCAAAGGAAATTTGTTCTCTCAGACTAATGACTCAGTAACAGCAGGCTGATCATTCCCAAGGCAGGGCAGGCAGATGGTGGGACTGGAGAGGTTCTGAATGCAGCAAACCAAGAGCCTTCAGCCCCTGCTCCCTGAAACTCCAGTTCCTGTCTGTGCCCACCTTGCCCAAGGCCGTGCTCATTCCTTCCTCCAGCCCCCCCGACTGAGAAGAAAAAGGGTTGCACTTTTCCAGAGGGCAATGTCCACAGCTCCCAGTCCTTCCATGGTTAATTATTTTAATTAACTAATCTATTCAAAACATCCAGAGCCCATTGAGCCATCTGGACGGATTCAAGTCACATATTTGTATTCCTGATGTGCTGATTAAATCTTTCCGTTTGCTCCAAGCCCTCAGTGGAGCCAAACAGGCCCCTCCAAAGCTGCTCGACACAAACAGCTCAGGGGGTTGGATTTGTGAGGAAAAGGTTGTCTTTAGCTTTGGGAGAGGTATGCTGGGAACCCTGGTGCTGGCACAGCCATGAATCCCACTGGGGATTAGGCTGGGAGGGATCTTAAAACTTAAAAAAAAATCTTAAAACATCCAGAGCCACCCCCTGCCATGGACCTGCCACTATCCCAGGCTGCTCCAAGCCCTGTCCACCCTGGCCTTGGACACTTCCAGGGATAGAGCAGCTGAAGCATTGCTCTGGCACCAGGCAGGAGCAAGCAGGAGATGGGCAGAGGGTCCAGGGCTGAAAAGCTCTTACCACCATCATCCCTTTCTGGGGGTGTCACCCCTGTGTCTGGGAAGCAGCAATCTGGGACTGAGGTTATGGGTATTCCCTGCCGTAGAAATTCCCTAATTACTAGCAAGGCTTGGGAAAATAAAAGGCCAAGACAGTTCTCTGCCTGGGTCAGGAGGGTTTAAACTGCTAAAAATTGGATTTACCAGAGAGGCTGAGGTATCTGGGGATGCTTGGTACACCAAGCGCTTGGGATACCTGGAATGGGAAAGGAATTTAGCCTCTCCAGCCACATGGCCTTTAGCATCAACAACAATCACGTGCAGAGGAGATTTCCTCTCCTCTTGTGCCCTCATTAGAAGGAAACTTTCCAACATCCATCTCAGAAGGGATTATCTTGTCGTGGAATTCATTTTACAATAAAACTGTCTGGGTTTTTATACATACTGTTGACCTTTATTTGGTATATAAACCCATTACTCCTGAGCTCGCAGTTTTATACAGGATGGATCAGTGCAACTTCCAGCTGAGAATCTCAGCCTGGGAGTTGTGTGAGGTTTAATGACTCTGTCCTAATTTAAATAAGATAATCTTGGCTTTTACAAGGGAGCTGAGGCACCTGGAGGACACCTTTAGCAAGAGCAGGCAGCTGAACTAAGAGAACTCTCCTGCCTGGGTGTCTCTCCCATGGCAGAGCTCCTCCTTTACCCTCCTGGCATCCAGGATTTGGGGGGGTGAACTCGGCCAGGCCCAGGCTTTTAAACCTCTCAGAGGAAAAGTCATCCAGCACCAGAGTGTACCCCAAACACTGCGGGCTCTTCAGTCAATGGACACCTGCACCACTCCTGGAAATGTTCAAAAAACATGTGAATGTGGCACTTCAGGACATGAGTTAGTGGTGGCCTCGGCATGATGGACTTGATGACCATAAACATCTTTTCCAACCTTAACAATTCCATGATTCTGTGATTTTTTCCAATCTCATTCTTTCCATCTGTCAGAGCCAAACCCAAGCCTCTCGATGGTGGTGGCTGTTGGGATGAAGGACTTGGCTGAGCTGGATTCCTGTGGGTTCCCCACTCACAGGATCCTTGTTCCCTGCAGGTAAACGGCCACCTGGACTACATGAAGCAGATGGACACAATCCTAAAAGCTGTGGGCATTAAAACCAAGGAATGCCAGCTGGAAGAGAAGGGCAGTGGCAGCCTTTTTTCCCCTCAAGCCAAGCAATCCCAGCGGGCAGCTGGCAGGGAGGCTCGGGGAGAGGAAAACACCAGGAAAGAGGAGGATGAGGTTGGGAGTGAGGCTCTCCCAGCCAACTGTGCTCACCAACAGAATTCCTCCAGCACTGCCCTGGGAGAACCCTCTCCTCCCTGCCCAGACTGCTCACACAGCACAGACAGCAAGGATCAGGCAGTGGGGAAAGGAGCAAATTAGGGCAGAGCTGCTCAGCCAGCACAAAAACCGCTGTCAGCACATCCGTGGCACTGGGACTCCCAGAGGATGGAGCTGGCGGAGCTGCAGCTGGATCACAGCGCTTGGAGCAGCCGCCCACAGCACCTCCCCGAGGCGAGAGAGGGCTGATTCCTGCCTGAGTCTGCGCTGCTCCTCAGGAATCCCAGACAGATCCCATCCAAATCCTTGCGGGAAGCAGCTGCCCCCCTCAGCACCGTGTCCCTCTGTGACTGGGGGAAGCAGGTGGCTCTGAGGGGATTGTAAGCATTTCACAGAAAGGGCTTCATTACTAGGAAATTAAAACCATTTTTCCACTGGAGATGAATTTGAGGATCTGAGGTGTGTTCCAGGCTCTACCTGCCCCACTCCAGAGAGATCCTCATCTGCTCTCCAGGTCTGCTGACCAGGAGGGGAAAGGCTCTGGCTGCCAGGCTTCCTTCCCCCACCTGCTGCAGCTTTGCTGCCAGGACTTGGGCACTTTTCCATCTCCAAGATGCTTTTCCTGTGTCCAGGCTGGGGCTGGTGGTGCTGGAGGCTCTATTGCTGTTAGAAACATGTTTGGGACCCTGGGTGAAAGCAGCAGGAAAACCAAGGGGGTTTTGGATGGTTTATGAAAATTCCTCCCGGGTTCTCCAAGCCAGCAACCCACTGAGACTTTCCTTTTGTGTCCCACAGACATCTGCAGCCTTAAAAGCCCCATCCAGACATATTTTTAATTGGCTTAAAAATAAACCAATGCTTGGCACAGGATAAACATGGATCTGTTTGATTTCTACTTCCTTCCATAAAAGTGAATTGGCTCCACTCTTTTCATCCCCAGTCTCAGAGCAGAGGGAAGGACCCAGCTCTATATCCCTTGCCAGCACAGCTCCAGAGCCTTGTGGGAATGACCCACATCTTCCATAAAAGCCCCTTTTCTGGTCAGTTTTTCTGCTGAGCCCAGGCAAGTGCATCAGGCAGGAGTGTGGCAGGTGGGTAACACCACTCTGTGGTTTTATGCTTTGCCACAAGGGAGGTTCAAACTCTCCCACTCACCTCTGAGGGGTCCTGTTGACTCATGAGAGGAAAAATACTGGGATTGCACCTTCCAGTTTTGGTTCAAACTGACCCAACAGCCATGTTAACCCCCCCTCCCATTCCCAGCTTCCTGCAAACCTTACCTGCGGATCATTCCTCACGGAGTCAGACACAGCTGGGTTTGGGGGTGACCCAGCACAGCCCCGTGTTTTGGATACAGTGCCTGGCAATTCCTCTCCCTAAATCCAGCATCCCAGGGGGCTCAGACCTGCCCAGCTCTGACCTGGAGTGATGGGAGGCACTGGCTGTGGGATCCCACAGGGATGGGGCTGTTCAGCCAGCTGCTGGTGGTGCCCTTGGCTGCAGGGTTGGGATGGGATCCTCTGCTCATCCGAGGGTTTGTCCACAAGCAAACACCTAATTACACAGAACTGCCTGCATGAGACAGTAAGGAATTATTGCTTTTGAACGTTTGGCTTGAGGAAGTGCCTCTCCCTCTCTCTCTGTCCATCTCCCAAGGCTGATTTGGTACCTAACAAACTTCCAGACTCCGCAGTACCTCTTCCTGCTCCTTTTTAACTTGGGTTGTAGTCCAAGCTTGTATTTATATAAAGCCATTGTGGGAAAATGCACATCTTGATCTGAGTGCTCGACACCAGCCCCAAGCTCCATCTGTGGCAAAATGCGTTGAACAGTTTGAGGTTTGAGCCTGTGCTTGGCCCTCGGCATGTCCTGGTCACTCATCCCTGGCTCCCAAGGGATTTGTGGCAAAGAAATGCTGGGTTGGTCATACTAACTCCTGTTCAGTTCTGGAACATCCATGGGCAATGTAGAGAGAAAACTGAAAGTGGCCTGGCATGTGGCTGCTTCTTTCCGTATCCTGTATCCACGGGAGGCTCTGTGTCCATTTAGGTATCAAGGAATTCCAGGAGAACAGTCTTGGAATTAGGCAGAAGGCTTGGAGTGAAGGGTCCAGGGAGGGCACATCGGCCAACTGCCAGCCCAAAGGCACTTGAGAAAGAATTTACTAAAATAATTTGTTTTATTGATTTTTTTGAGTACCCACTTTGTCACATTTACTCAGTGTTCCCTTTGCTTATGGCTCTGGGGAGGAGGCTGGCATTGTCATTTAAATTACAATATTCCTCTAGATTCTTATTTGAAGGGGGAGAAAAAGTGTATTTTCTATCTGCATGATCGAGGACATGATGGCTTGTCGGAGGGAGGCAGGATGGTCCTGTGCCAGGAGTGGGAAGCTGTGGGATGGAGCCTGTGGGAGGAGCTGATCCCATTGCTACTGCGAGACACGCGTGGAGCCACCGTGAGTCGCACCCCACACCCCCACTGAACATCCAAAAATCAGTGTTGGACATTCTGCACCAAATTCAGCCCCCGCAGTGCAGCTCTGCGTGACAAGCCAGGGCTGAGCTGGAGTGAACTGTGTGACAGCAACCTGAGACAGACACGACTCCAGCGAGGAGATCCAGCCCCAGCTCCAGGAAGATGTGATGTTCCGTGGGCTGAAGCAGCCCAAACCTCAGTGTTCCTACTGAAGCAGCCCCAGACCTCTCGCCCATGAGCCACAGGATGTTTTTCCACCACTCCCCTCAGTGCACTTGGAGGAGATCTGCTGAGCTCTGTGTGTTCAAAACCAAGCCTTGGTTTGAGGTTAGGGACACAGGCTGCAATCCGAGGTTCAGACTCACCAGAGATGGAAAGGCCACAGGAAGGGTTAGGGGATGGTGATGGTGAGCACAGGAGGGATAAAAGACAGAGAGAAATCTGGTTAATTCAGCAGCAACACCCGGCTTTGCACGGTTTGATCCTCCTGTGATAGCGCCCGGGGCCACCACCCCTTCCATGAGCTGCAGCGTGTGCCGGAACAGGGAACGTGGGAGATGGCTTGTGGCAAATCAGCTCCCAGAGGTTTGTGTTGGGCTCCTGGGACCCTTCCAGCACCCAGAGCTCCGTGTGCAGCTCAGGCCACGGGGGTGCCGAGCTGCAGCGCCGTGTCCGGGGGCTCCGTGTCCCACAGGCTGACGGAGCGGGCGCCGGGGCCCCGCGGGGCCGGGAGCGGCCTGGGCTCGCTGCCCGGCGCCCCGGAGTCGATGGAGTCGGTCTCAGGCTGCAGGGTGAGGACGTTCTTGAGGGATGTGGCAGCGTGGGGCCCGCTGTTGGAGTTCCTCATGGACAGGGAGATGGCGCTGGGCCGGGGCTCCGCCAAGCGCCGGCAGCAGGGCAGGAATTTGCCCATGGCCCTCTTGAAGTCCCTCATGAAGAGCGGGTAGATGATGGGGTTCATGGTGCTGTTGCAGTAGCCCAGCCAGGTGAGCACATCGAAGAATCCGGCCGGGACACAGTCACAAACTGCCTGGGGGGGACACGGCAGGGATTAGCAGCCTCCCACCCAGAGGGGCTTCCCAGGCACACCAACATTCCCCTTGCAGAGGAAACCTTGAAGGCTTTTTTCCTTGCTGTTGCTCCCTGGGCAATTGCATCATTGGCCTCGGAGGTCCAGCAAGACCTTCTGGTACCTTCAGTTGAACCCATCTGGATTCCAAAGGGGAAACTTCTGGAAACCCAAAATAAAGCCCCCACAGGCTCTTACCTGAGCTACATTGGTGATGAAGAAGGGCAGCCAGGCCACGAAGAACATGCCCAGGAGGATGCCCAGGGTAAGGCTGGCCTTCAGAGCCTTCTTGCTGTGCTTGTTGGTGAACCTCCTGCTCTCACTGCCGGACAGGGGCTGGCTTGGGGCACGTGGGACCTGCAGCCAGAGACAGGGAGTGGTGGGCAACTCTGCCCGGCAGCAGCACTGGCCTCTGCCCAAGAAAAGTGGCATTTGGTGCTCCAGATCCTGCAAAAACCCTGCCAGGAATTCCCTTCTCCAAGGGGCAGGAGCTGGGAACACACCATGAGCCTGAAGCACAAATTAGGAAGGGAAAGCAATAGAAACCCTCAACACTGAAGTATGATTTTATTTACTGCAAACTAGTGTGTTTGTCATTCATCTGCTCTTTAGAGAAAAACCCAGCTCAGTCCATGTGAGGATAAAGCCTACCCTAAACAGGCAGCTCCAGCTGCTGATTACAGCAGCAAATTAATTATGGGTTTAAAAAGAAGATTTGAAACATTTCAGCCTGCAAACACCATAACCCAGCCCTCCATCCCTTCCTGCAATCTAAAATTAAGTGATTTTCTTAACCCTCCCCTGTAATTAAGTGATGCCCTGTTGTAACTCAGCTTCCAGCCCAAAAAGAGAGCAAAAATCTCTAAAATTAGATGAAGATGAAAACGGTTAAAAGAAGAATCTGAGTGTCCCCTGGCTGACACATTGTTCCTCAGCCAATTTGGATCTTCAAGGAATCTTTTGGGCCTCAGCTGAATGACAGGGGGATGGATGCTGCTCTTGCATGGCACAGCAAAGCCCCTGAACATCCCCTGACTCTGTGGAGTCCAAAAACCTGGCAGCCCGTGAGAAAATAAACACTTGATGATATTGTGTGTTTATTCTTTAATTCTCCTTTTCCTTTTGACCATCTGATGCAGCTTATCATGTGTGGGAGAGCTGGCCAGAGTCCTAGCTCTGCTCTTGGAGAGAACAAACTCAATCAAGGTATTTAAAGGCAATTAAGTTTGCCTTTTCCCTGTAGGATATGAGGTCAATAAAACCTATTACAGGGAATTAAAGCTGTTAGATTTAGTGGCAATTACCTTCTCCTGGAGAAATACAAACAAGTGCAGCCACGTCTTTGTTACAAAACCCACACACTCCGGTTCCACCGGCAAGCACACGAGGAGGGCTTTGGCAGCTCCTGTTATAGAGCAGGTAACAAAAATAGAAGCTTCTGTTCAAAATAAGGTGCTCTCGGGAATCTGGCATTTGCTATTAGCTAAAATCCTTCTCCCCCGTATGTCTCACACCCACCACGGCCAAGATTTATGAGTGGAAAGTCAGATAAGATTAAACCCCTCAGGGATGACGCCAGCCAAGAAAGAGGGGAAACTGCATTTCTTTTGCACTGCTGAGCATTTTTGCCTGAATCTTATTTATTTCTCTGCTTCTGCTCATGCTGTTTCTGTTCTCACAAGCAGCTTCAGATCTGTCCATTGCTGGGACAAGGCACGGGGCACCTCAGAGGCTGTCAGGGAGGTGGATGTTGCCCAAAATCTCTCTCCCCGCAGTTGTCAAAGCCGGCTCCAACCCCGAGGCCATCCAAGAGGCAGAAACAGCCCAGGCACCCAAATTGTGGTGTCTGCCAGAGCAACGCCCCTGCGGGCGCCTTACCTGCGGCGTGGCCTCGTCGGCGGTGGCCACGTTGGAGGCCAGGGAAGCCACCTGCACGGCCTGCTTGCGCGCTGCCAGCAGGATGCGGCAGTAGGTGAAGGAGATGGCGGCGGAGGGCAGGAAGAAGGTGAGGCAGGAGGCCACCAGGGCGTAGGGCAGGCTGACCAGCAGCCGGCACTGGTCCTCGTCCCCCCGGTCCGTGACGTTCAGGGGCCGCACCTCGAACTCCAGCTGGTGCCACCCCATCTTGATGGGCAGGAAGGAGGCCAGCGCGGCCAAGGTCCAGGTGGCCAGGATGAGCGCCAGGGCCCTGCAGGACGTCATGCGCAGCTTGTACCTGAGCGGGGACGTGATGAGCAGGTAGCGGTCCAGGCTGATGACGCACAGGTTGAGGATGGAGGCGCTGCAGCACATGACGTCGAAGGAGGCCCAGAGGGAGCAGAAGTCCCCCCGCAGCACCCAGCGGCCGTAGAGCTGGTTGAGCATGGCCGGGGGCATCACCACCAGCCCCACCATCAGGTCCGACATGAAGAGGGACACCAGGAAGTAGTTGGAGGTGTTGCGGAGGGAGCGCTGAGTGACGATGAGGAGGATGAGGAGGAAGTTGCCCGCCGTGGTCAGCAGAATGATGAAGCAGAGGAAGGCGGCCACCCAGCTGCTGCCCACGAGCAGGGAGTGCTCCCCCAGCACGCTGGCATTGGGGGCCCCCAGGTCCCCCTCCATGAGGAGCCGGGGGCAGGGCTGGCTCTGGGCTGGGGACCTTCTCCAGCACGGCCTGTGCTACGTGATCATCACCAGGGCCAGGGAAGGAGGATCATCTCCCTCCACTCTGTGTCTGTCCTCCCTTCTCTCCTCCTCCTCTCCCTCTCTTCCCCCACCCTCTCTCTTCACTGGCACTCGGGGCAGGGTGACGTTCCCAGGAGCCGATCAGCAGGACCAAGGTTCCCTCCCCATTACTCACAGCAGCTCCTGTAAATCCCCCTGCTCTGGGATGTGCCTGGATCCTGCTTCTGGATGCTGGGGACGAGCTGGAGGTCAGGCTTCTCAGGATGCCAGGGATGGCAGGATGCTCTGGATACCCTGATGCTCTGGATGCACTGGACCAAGGAATAACACACCACGGAGATGCTCTGGGTGCTCTGCACTCAGGATACTTCGGGTGCTGGGGATGCTCTGCATCCCAGGATATTCCAGATGCCAGGGCTGCTCTGGACCCAGGATACCCTGGATGCTGGGGATGCTCTGGACTCCAGGATGCTGCAGATGCTGGGGATGCTCCGGCCCCCCGAGGTTCAGCTGCCGCCCCGCCGCTGAGCCGGGCTCCCTGCAGACTCTGTCCCCGGGGTCCCAGAGCTCCTCCGCGGCTGCAGCCGGAGCCGGCAGAGCGGCAGAGCAGCCTCCGAGCACCGCTATGCGCCCAGCCAAGCCAGGGAGGAGGAAGATCCGGAGTGTGGAAGGGATTTCTCCCGCGGCAGAGCAGCGTCCAGCCCACAGGGAGGTGTGGGAGTGGGTATGTGCAGGTGCCAGCCCGACTTTCACCTGCTGCTGTGGATGCACACAAAGGATGCAGAAATGCCGATCGAGGAGGTGGGGCTGGGAGGGGGAGAGGAGGAGATAAAATGAAGCGCTAATGAAAACAGGGATCTGGGCTAAACTCCACAAAGTGGCAGCCAGAGAGTTCCCGTTTCTGCCTTAAAGACACAGCCCGGTGCTCTGCCATCCCTGCCTTCTGTGCCAGTGCTGGAGCCCTGGCTGGAGGCACCTGCCAAACCCATCCAGCATCTCCAGTTCCAGGCCCCATTCTCCACACTCGGTGACAAAAAGCAAAATTTTGCAAAGTAAAAAAACATATTTTGCCAAATATAAAACCAACAAACAGCTGCACACAACAGCCCTGAGGCAGCAGCCAGAGGAGTCGCTGGCAGATATTCCAGCAATCTGCAGGGATGGAGGAGCAGAGACAGGGGAGAGCCTGGCCCCTCTGCTGCTGGGTTATTTGGACTGGCCTAGGGGCAGCCCAGCTCCCTGCCCGAGGGGAAATCCTGGATGGAGCCACAGCAACCTGTCCTTTAGCAAGTGGGAGGCAACCTGTGAGAGGAGCCAGCTCAGAAAACCCTTCTGAGTCTCTGTGTGGGAATTCCACGCTGGCACCTCCCCACTCAGGCCACACTCCTCAGGGTGCTGGGCAGGGACTGCTTGGGGTTTTTGTATTACCCAGCTGCCCAAAGGTGGGGTTTTCCCAACAAATGGCTGTGATTTCTGTTGGGGGAGACAGGACTGTGGGCAATGGCTCCAGCACAGACCAGAGCTGAGGGTGTGCTCCTGGCACCCACCTTGTGCTCCCAGGCACTGCCAGCTGCTGCCTGTTCCTCCCCAAGTGCCCACTAAAGCTTTCCTTAACATGCCTCCCTGCTGCAGATGTGTGGGTGAGAGCCAGCTGTGCACGCCGCACCCCCAGCCGCCCACCCTGGGACAGAAATCGGCCTCTTTACCACGTCCTGCTTTTCCAATCACCTCTCCAACAAATTTGTTGTGCTTTTCCCAGTGCCTGAATGGGCATTCCAGGCCTGGAAACCATCAGTGAGCAAGGCACGGGCAGGCAGAAGGCAGGGAGCCAGCCCAAACACACACGGTTATCCCCTCAGGATCTCTGTGTCAGGCTGCCACTGAGAAGCAGCTGCTGCCACTGGTGCCAGGACAGGCTCTGCCCTCCCTCTGCTTCCCCAGGAGCCTCTCCTTGGATGTTCCCAGCCAAACCTCCCTGGTCACCTCAGTGTCACGGTGTGCTGGCAGCAGTCCCAGGGCAGCACACACGTGTGAGGCTCTGATTGCAGCAGGAGGGGCAGGAAACCCTCACCTCCCATCTGTGCTGGGAGCAGAGAGAAACCCACCCTGAGCCCACCCTGAGCAGCCTCCCCAGGCAGGAGCAGTGAGGGGATCAGCACAGATTTATCCCAGCTGGATGCACAGTGAGGAAGAGAGGCCACAGTGCAGACCAGCCTTCCTTCTCAGCCCAGCTTAGGAACATCCCAGACTGTCTCCAGAGCTTTTGCTTCTGAGGAGGAGATTGGGTCAGAATCAGGGAGTCCTGGAATGGTTTGGGTCTGGAGGGGCCTTAAAGCTCATTCCACTCCCAAATCCTGCCATGGCAGGGACACCTTCCACTATCCCAGGTTGCTCCAAGCCCTGCCCAGCCTGGCCTTGGACACTTCCAGGGATCCAGGGGCAGCCACTGCTGCTCTGGGCAGCCTCTTCCCAACATCCACAGAACATCCTCCACACATGGGAGGTTTTGTACACTTGGTGTGGATGTGTTTGCTGGAGCAGTGAATCCGAACTGATTGAAACAAAATGTGTTTAAAAAAAACCTGCCTTAAAATGAAGACCCAATCCTACCATTGTCCCTGCAAAAGCTTCTCTGTGCTGGCAGCTGTCCTGGCCTGTCTGTGCTCTCTCCCTGTGCCACATTTCTGGACACATCTGCAGGGATCATGGACTCCACCAGCTCTGCTCTCCAGAACCACTAGCAGGGAAAGCAAAACCAGGTTGTCAACAGCCACCCAAGTGTCAACATGGCAAAAACCAAGGATGGGACAGAGAGAGTCAAACTGGGAGCTGAGAGACTCCGGTGGGTCTCCAGGCAGTCCGGAGCTAACACAGAAACATCCAATCGTGCAGTGCTCTCTCACGATGTCCTTCCAGGTTCCTTGGGTTTGCATTTGGGCAGATCCTGGCTAACTACCTTGATTTATGGTTTCATCTGCACACCAGCCCTCCACTGCCTGCCTCTGCTGGAGCTCAGCTTGTGTGGAGTGGAGGTGAAGGCGTCCTGCTCCAAACACCTTGACCTGCAGCTCCTGGAGTTTACAGGAACAGCCCCTGCTAAATCCAGCTCGTTTCCACTGTAGGCAGTAAAAGGGCCCCGTGACGATGCTCAGTGATCACCACAGGTTTCTCCACCTTTGCCTGGCTCTCAGGTAAAGCTCCCTTCCTTGGGAACACACCTCACAGCCTAAAAACATCACAGTAACACACAGAGCACCTCCGGCCCTGCCAGGCCCTCCCCGGTCAGCCCAGCCCCTCTGCTGGGGCAATTCCCACCTAATGCAAACCCTCTCCCACTTCCCAAAGCACAAACCTGCTCTGCCAACCTCTGCAGAGTCCCCAGAGCCTCACAGAGCGGGGCAGTGACAGCTGAGCTCAGAAAGGAGCAGTGAGCTCAGCAAGGAGCAGTGAGGGATGGGCACAGAAAGGAGCAGTGAGGGATGGGCACAGAAAGGAGCAGTGAGAGCTGAGCTCAGAAAGGAGCAGTGAGGGATGGGCTCAGAAAGGAGCAGTGAGGGATGTCTGCTGGCCCAGCACAGCCTCCGCCCTCCCAGGAGCTGATGGACATTCCCCAGGGCCAGGCTCAGGCCAGGGAGCATCACTGATCACTCCTGAGTGCACATCCACTCTACCCTGGCTGGCACCCGCGGGACCAGAAGTTTGCAAGGGCACACGCTGCCCTGCTCAGGGAATGCCCGATCAAACACCCTTGGGAAGAGCCCGCTGGCCCAGCCAGGGTGCCCAGCCCCTCCTGCCCCCACCGAAGCCATGTCCGGTCCTGCCTGATTTCACCTCCCGGAGCATCCCGGGCCCGAGAGCATCTGGATGCCGAGGACCGGCCGGAGCACGGCTGTCACCCCGCGGAACTGGCCAGACCAGGACTGTCACCCCGCGGAACTGGCCAGACCAGGACTGTCACCCCGCGGAACTGGCCGGACCAGGACTGTCACCCCGCGGAACTGGCCGGACCAGGACTGTCACCTAGCGGCAGCACTGCCGGGGAAGGTCCCCCGGGCCCGGAGATGCCGCCGGATCCCGCACAAGCGGGACCTGAAGTCACACGGCAGATACACACTGCCTGTGCCACCAGGCTCTGCATCCTCTTCTCCTGCCCTGGCTGTGCCTTCTTGTCTGCACCGCCAGCCCTGCTGTGCTGTGGGTGATTTTGGACCTCCCTCGTCACTCTGGACTTGTCTGATGCTCCTGGCTGACCCTTGTCACCAGCAGCCAGCCCACCCTGCCCTCCCTGCCTGCACCCCAGGGCTGTGCCAGGCTGGGCAGGGCACTGCCCTGCTGTTCTACTGATGCTCCTCTTGGCAGATCAGCCCACTGATAGAGTAAGATTGTGTAATTATACTCAAATAGATTAATATGGCCACAGCTGCCCTGCAGACTCCCCGAGCCACATGCAGCCCAGACTCTCAGCACTTGGGCTGGGTTTTCCTTCCAGCAGCTCCCTCTGCTTTTCCCAGCTGGAATGCAGCAGAAAGATGTGGGAACCACGGCTCTCCCCTGTCCTGGAGTCAGCACTGCCAAAAACCAGACAGGCATCAGAGCACTGAGCAGTGGAACTCAGAACTAATTTATTTAAGAAAAAAAAAACAAAACTTGTCAAAAGGAGGGGGAGGCATTCGATTACAAGCTCTGGAAGCTCTTGTCAGGACAACGCCAAGGAATCAGCTTTATACAACAGAGAGAGAGAGAGGGGCAGCAGAGGCCATGCTCCCCCCGGCCCCCAGCCCTGCCCAAGCACTCCCTGCCCAGGGACGTTCCAGCCCTCAGCCCCTTCTCCCTCTGCCACCATGAAAGTGCAGCAGAGAGAGGGGGGACAGGGGTCCCAGACCCCCCTTCAGCTCTCGGCCTTCCCCTGCAGCCCCAAAATGTGAAGCCTCAGCGCTCATGATCCAAGTCCCTCATCCCCAGGGAGCAATGTGGTGGTGCTGGGGACAGCAGGTAAGGGCTGTCACCACCAAGGCTCCAATACCCTCAGGTACAGCCCCAGAGGCACATCCTGGGGCAAAACCCTCCCCGAGAGCCACCTGCTACAAAGGGCTGGGCCCAGACCAAGATGCAGAGGGTGCCAGGAGCACGTCCATCCTGAGGGAGAGAGAGGAGGCAGGAGGGGTGCTGCTGATCCCACCGCCCCGGAGAGGTGTGGATCTCTCGTGGCACTGGAGAGGCTGCTTCCCTTCCTCCTCCAGAACCCAGCAGGACTGGGAGGGCTCCCCCCAGGGCCGGGAGCCTGCAGAGAGCCCTGGGAGCCCAGCCCAGCCCCTGCTCTCAGCCAGAGCACTCCTCTCAATATATTATTATTACTATTCTTATTATTCTGTGCATCCTGAAGGCCGAGCCCTGGTGCCTCAGCCTGCAGCTCCAGCCCTGCCCACACCTCGGGACGTCCCGCGGTGTCACCAGGGCAGCGGTTGGACAGGAACGGCTCCAGCACCCCCCTCCCTCCCCAAAGCCTGGCCCAGGCCCTCGCAGGGCCCTGCCAGGACAGTCCACACGGTCACTCCTCGCCCTCCTCCTCGTGGTGGTGGTGGTGGTGGCTGGAGGCCGGCGGCTCCTCCAGCTCCTGCTGCTGGTGGGGGTAGTGGTGGGGCGCGGGCCCCTCGTGGGGCATGTTCTCCTCGGCGTTCAGGTACACGTTGAACAGGGCTCCCTCGTGGCTCGGCTCCTTGCCACAGGCCTGGCAGCTGCAGTGCAGGATCTTCTCCACCAGCTTGTCCACCCTGGGGATCTCCTCGTTGCCTGGGCAGTCCAGTGTCACCTGGGCAGAGGGACAAGGACGCAGCGGGTCAGTGCTCGGGCTCCCGTGGTGGGAGGTGTGACTGCCCCAGATCCTGCAGATCTGGGGTGTTTTAGGGCAGATGTGATGGGTTTCTATCCATAGGAACAAACCCCCGGTTGGTCTGCAAGGTGGGAGTTCTCTGGGAGTGTCTTGTTCCAGACACTCAGGGAAAAACACAGAATCATCAAGGCTGGAAGAGACCTTCAAGCTCATCAAGTCAAACCATCAACCCAGCACACTGCAGTCACCCCTAAACCACGGAATCACTGAATCAGTAAGAATGGAAAGGATCTCCATAAACATCAAGGCTAACCTATGGCCCATCCCCACCCTGTCACCCAGCCCAGAACACTGACTGCCGTGTCCAGTCTTTCCTTGGACACTTCCAAGGGACAAGGATTCCACCGCCTTCTTGGGGAGTTTTTCCAAAACCTAACCACCCTTTCAGTGAGTTTTTTTGTTATATCTAATCTGAACCTCCCTTGGTGCAACCTCAGGCCATTTCCTCTCCTCCTTTCACCTCAGACATGGCAGAAGAGACCAACCCCCACCTCACTCCCACCTCCTTTCAGCACCGACTCCAGCACTGCTGCACTGGAATATTGGTGAGACAGCAAAGGCCACCCACAAGAGGTGATGCCAAGCCTGGGTAGTTTGGACTAAACCCTCTCATCAAATGTGACCTGGAAGGGAGGCAGAGGGCAGTGCCAGTTCCCTGGGCTCTGGGCTTCTCTTGCACCGGGGCTTATGGCTCTGCCAGGATCAGAGGTGGCACGGAACCGTGAGGTCCAAGGATGACTGGCTGTGGGAGGAACTTCTGAACATAAAACACAGCCAGATCTCCCAAGGGGGTGCAGGTGAACAATGGGAGCAGGCATGTGGATAAGCATAGGGACAAATAATGCAGGGAATGACAAGGGATGGTTCTGCAAATAGAGGATAATGGGTTATTCATCAGAGCTTCCAGCAGCTCCTTCCACCCAAGCATCTCAAGACACAGTACACCTGAGAGATGCCCTGAAGGAAACTGTGAGTGGGAAAAGCCCAGAGAAGGAGAAGAACTGGCCCTGAGGAGGTGTCAGAGCTGGGGCCCCATGGAGCAGAGCAGGATACTCACGATTTCCCACATGGACTGGGCTGGCATGCAGGAGTCGCAGTGCACCAGGGACTCTGTGGACTGGGGGAAGGTGTTGGGGACGCTGTAGCTGAAGCACTGTCCCAGACAGGCCCTGCAAAGACAGCAGGAGGAGTGGGGGCACAGGCAGAGATGTGACCTTGCCCTGAGACAGGGCCAGGACACTGTGCTTGGCTCCTTGTGCCAGCAGCAGTCCCCAGAGCCACTCCAGTGCCAGCAGCTGCCTGCAGCCCCGGGCTGGGATAGATCTGTACCTGTTCTGGATGGATTTGGACTCGCAGCCGCTGTGCCCCACGATCTGGGTGATGTTCTTGGCCTCACACCAGGCACTCTTGTCCGGGAAGAGGGCGAGCTTGTTTATGGGCGGTGGAGCGGCCAGGAGCAGCGCTGGGAACAGGGCCCCCACCACAAACCATAACATCATGGCCAGCTCTGCCAAAATCCTACACCTGCACACAGAGAGCAAAACATTAGCAGCAAAGAAAACCGGCAAAGCAGCCCATTTCTCCTACCCCCAGGAAGTTCTTGGCTGTTACAAGCACAGGTCCATCCCCACATCCCCCTCCACAGCCACTGCTGGGGCCAGGACAGCTCCCAGAGCACTGCCCGGGGAGTGGGATGTGCTTCTCTGCCTCTTTCCTCTTCCAAACAAGCTCTGTGCCAGGCAGATACCTGCCTGGCTCTGTGCCTGGAACAGCAGCAGGCTTGTCCTCATTTCCCACCCAAAGCTGGGCTGGGAGAAGTTTGCAAACCAAAAGTGTCACCGCCACCAGTCCAGCCAGGCTGGAGAAGTCCCACACCACAAGAATGTTTTTATTTGAGGAAGGAACAAGCTTTCCTGCTTCCTTTTCTCCCACCTGGGAGGAAAGCCGGCCCTGCTGGGGCTCCTCTCCTCCTGGCAGCGTGCAGCAGATGTCGCTGCAAGGCAGCAGCACGAAGGGAAACCTCAGCCCAGAGGCTGGAAACCCGCAGGAAAGAACAATACAACATTTATTTGTACAGAGCCACTCCAATTCTGCAAAGGGTTATTGCAAGGACGGGACAAGGGGGGGCCTTGTCACACGGACAGGCTGGGAGATGACTGCCCACCCCCAGAGAAATCCCCACTCTCGGAATCTGAGGTATTGGTGATTCCCAGATTGTAGAAAGTCTCTGTCTTTCAGCCCCGCTGCCAAAGCAGAAGCCATAATTGGTCTGTGCGGGTTTCAAGGTTGTTTATTCTGTTTATCTCTGACATGTTCTGCTGCCCTGCCGCAGCTCTGTCCTGCAGGGCAGCGTGTGGGGCTCTGCCCTCAGTGGGATGGTACAAACATTAAATACCACAAACTACCTGTGCTGGATTTACAATAACGTGCCAATATCTGTCACCTACGTTGGACAGTGTGTCCCCAGCCTGAACCAACAGAAAAATGCCAACACCACAGTGAAACATGGAGGGCATGAAGAAGGAGAAAAAGGACAAGACACACCCAATTTCCTCCATCTTGTCCCCTTTGGACCCCTAATCTAGAATCCTAAAATTTTACTTTTGCACCTGTGTCACACTTAATTATTACTTATATCAAACACTCAGAGCTGGTAATTCACCCTGTAAGATTGAAAACTCTTTTCCATGGACAGAGATCACAGCCAGTGCCTCTGGGGGCTCTGTCCAGGGGGGTTCCTGACCCCTGCCAGGGTCCCAGACCTGCCAGGGCAGCCAGAGGGAAGCTCTGGATTCCCACACCCCACGAGCTTTCCCTGCTCTGCTCTCCAGCCAAGGTGCCTGAATTAACACTCCCAAGTCACTGGGGAACAGCAGATGGAAAAGCAGCACAGAAACTGGGAAGTTTTTTCCTGTGTGGGGTTTGGATGGAGTCATGGTGAAAGGCGTTTATATTTCCTAAAATATTTGTTAGAACCACGTTATTTGTTATTTCCTTCTATTTATTTATCCAGACGACGATCCACAGCCCACACTGGAAAGATTCCTGTTGATTCCCATGGCTCCTGGGCCCAGCCCTCTAACACTTGCTGGGAAAGAGAGGAAAAGTGCCCTGTTCCTCCAGAGTCCTCATCCACACCATCTGGGCTGCAGGACCATCAGATTTATCTAAATTATTGAGAAGACCTCCTAAGCACTCAGGGATTTTAAGGTCGTTATGGGATTTTGCCCTGTTATCCCTCCACTGAGCTCAAGCTCCTGGATCTGAATCAGGAGACAGACCAGAAAGATTCTTCCCTGTCTTCCATCCCATGGCACACAGAAAAGAGCATCCTCATTCACAGGATCTCTGGAGGAATCTTGTGGGGTCTCTGCTAAATTTCCTCATTTTCTGGTGATACAAGAACCACAGGAATATAATGCAGCAGCACCTGCAAAGCCTTGGCTTCATAATCCTCCCAGCACTTGTGGGATGTGGATCCCTGTCTCCCTGGTGGGAATACCTGACAAAGGAGACCTTGCAGGTGTTGGCTGGAGATAAGCAGAGGGTTTTAACTCCTGAGTATGCCCTGCCACTAATGAGAGTTGTGGGGTTAAATACATCTGTCCTGAAGAGGACTCTCGTGCCTGAGGGGTTTTTTCCATTTCAGTGGGGGAATTCTGCAATTTCTGAAGGATGAACATGGCTGCGTTGCACACACAGACTCACACACACTTGGTTTGCTTTCCGAAACAAGCATCACTCATTCCTCAAATGCCAGCAGCTCTGTGCTGAGGAATCCTGCTCCCAAAGGCAAGTCCCAGATCAGAGCTGGGATGTGACCCGAAGAGCAATCACAATCCCCCAGGGAACAGCCCAAATTCCTCTGGAGTCAGCACGCAAGTTCACTTCCACATGCCCATTAGAGAGAAATTTCCTTCTTTCCTAAGAAAGGTGGGTTTTTCCAGGTTTCTGTGCATCTCTACCCAGCTACAAAGAGGCAGAATTCCTTTCTGTGCTGACAGGTCCTGTTTCCTGGGGTCTGCCTCCTGGAGGGAGGTGTTCCATGGAGGTGTTTGTGCTGCTCAGAGCAGACCCAGTGCCAGAGGCACGAGGGATCCTCTCCCGAGGAAGATGAGTGGGGCTGTGCTCTGCTAAAGCAGGACCTGGCCTGGATTCAGGAAAGCACTTAAGTGTGTGCTGAAGCCTCTCCTTTCCTGAGCAGGGTGGGTTTGTAACCAGGGCCCCCACGGCCGCCATCCCCTGAGACGGGGTGGTGGGAGAGTGGGGAATTCCCAGCAGGGGAAGCAGGCAGCACCCCCTTGGAGCTGGAACAGTTCCAGCGCCCCATTCCTCAGGGCCCTGGCCCCAGCACTGCTCTCCCCCGCTGACCTGCAGCCCTGAGCACACACATCCCAGCACATGGTGTTTTCCTTCTCCCAGGAATGTCCTGGAACCCGCAGGGCTACTTTTCTAGTAAGTAACGAGGTTGATGCCAGTGCCTAGGAAAACATCTGATGCAGCTGAGTTTGGGAGGGAGCCGGGGCTGGGAGCAGCGTGTCCAGAGCTCAGAGCAGTCATGCGAACAGAGCTGCCACCACCACCATCCATGGGACAGCAGCCGCAGCCACGGAGACAAAAGCACCGTGTTCCTGCTCCCCCCGCCCGGGAAGGGAAGGGAAAAAGGAAGACGAGGCACCCGAGCAGGTTTACAAAAATTAAATAAAGGCATTGAGCACATTCCTCCGTGACAAGCTAAATTACACGTTGCAGCCCGAAAGGAACAAGTGTGTTCCCCGGCTGACCCGGCGGAGCAGCCGCTTCCCGGCACACAGGGGCTTCTTTCTCTCCCCCGAACCGAGGCACATTTTTTTTCCCCGCTAGTCAAAGCTCTTCAAGCAGAAAGTTCAGCTCAGTTCCGGCAGAGCCAGCGGCCCGTGAGGGTCTCCCCCCCTGCTCCCTCTGCAGGGAGCCGCTTCCTCACCATCCCTCCGGCCTTTGGGAAAGAAATGACTCAGGCCCAAAGCTGGCACATCCCAGCTCCGACACAAACAACTCAGCTGCAGCCTGTGCTGAGCTCCGGAGCCCTTTTCCAGCCTTTTTCCAGCCCTTTTCCAGCCCTTTTCCAGCCCCTTTCCAGCTCTCTTCCAGCTCTCTTCCAGCCCTTTTCCAGCCCCTTTCCAGCCCCTTTCCAGCTCTCTTCCAGCCCTTTTCCAGCCCCTTTCCAGCCCTTTTCCAGCACTTTTCCAGCCCTTTTCCAGCCCCTTTCCAGCCCTTTTCCAGCCCTTTTCCAGCCCCTTTCCAGCTCTCTTCCAGCCCTTTTCCAGCCCTTTTCCAGCCCTTTTCCAGCCCCTTTCCAGCCCTTTTCCAGCCCTTTTCCAGCCCTTTTCCAGCTCTCTTCCAGCCCTTTTCCAGCCCCTTTCCAGCCCTTTTCCAGCCCTTTTCCAACCCCTTTCCAGCTCTCTTCCAGCCCTTTTCCAGCCCTTTTCCAGCCCTTTTCCAGCCCCTTTCCAGCCCCTTTCCAGCCCTTTCCCAGCCCCTTTCCAGCCCTTTTCCAGCCCCTTTCCAGCTCTCTTCCAGCCCTTTTCCAGCCACTTTCCAGCTCTCTTCCAGCCTTTTCCAGCCCTTTTCCAGCCCTTTCCCAGCCCGTGCCCGAGGAGCTGAGGGGCAGCCGGGTCCAGGGTACCACCCCCGGGGTTCGACAGCTCAGCTTCCCGGCGTGGAGACCTCCTGGTACCACCTCAGATGTTTTGTGCCACCTAGAAGAGCTCCTTCCTCCCGTCCCAGCAATCCCAGCGCTCTCAGGAGTCCCTCCAGCAGGATAACACCAGCGCCTGGGAGCAGCTGGGGAAATCTCCATCATTCCATAGGCTGGAGGACAATCACTGGAATTACCTCGGAGGCCACGTTCCCACCATCCAGCCCACAGCTGTTCCCAGACATTTGGAAACCAAACACTTCTGGAGGAAAATAAAACAGATCTAATCAGTTTTACCCTCTTTTTCCAGCGGGAAGTTTACACCATAACACAAGACAAGCTTGCAGGTGGACATGGGGAATGTTTCACGAGTCGTTTAATGGGTTTATAGGTATTCTTCTTATCCAGGATCTTGCAATTCTGCCAAATACAGAGAACCACAAACACAGGTAGGTTGTGCTCACGGCCACACACGAGGCACCACAGAGAGAGAAGAGCCCCCAAAGCTTTACAATCACTGGGCCAAGGCTCCCAGCCTGTGAACACAGCATGGAAACGGGGCCCACTCCGTGCTGAGGAGTGGTCTGATCCCCACCCAGGGATCTGGGATCCCTGATCCCCACCCAGGGATCCCTGATCCCCACACAGGGGTCTGGGATCCCTGATTCCCACCCAGCGATCCCTGATCCCCACCCAGGATCCCTGATCCCTGATCCCCACCCAGGGATCCGGGATCCCTGATCCCCACCCAGGATCCCTGATCCCAACCCAGGGGTCCAGGATCCCTGATCCCCACCCAGGGATCCCTGATCCCCACCCAGGGATCCGGGCCCCTCTGTGACACACG